GCTCTGAATATGCTATGAGATCTGTTAACGAAATTTGATATCTTGATTATAACTTATTGAATGGCTTTAGAAAATGTTCAAATGATTTTTGAAATCTTTTAGTACTTTTACAATACTAATTACTCGCCACTTATGAGTTTTTCAAGTGTTCTTGGTACATATATTCTGGATGTGCTTAAGCAGTTAACACGCTAAATTTAGTTCAGAGAAAAACGTATTTTTGTTAAAAAATCCTTTTGACTACTCAGGGCTTTTAATTTTCGTCTTTCGTACCAAATGATTTTGTTCAAAAATTTCAGTATAGGTACTCCTGAATATTACTTCAGATCTAATAACTAAAAATTTGATATCTTGATTACTCTTTGTTCAAATGGCTTTTTAAAATGTTCAAATGATTTTAGAATATTTTAATTTACTTTTTGCAATACTTTATTGCCGCCACTTATGGGTTTTTCGAGGTGTTCTTGGTGCTTGTGTATTATTCTGGATATGCTTAAATAGTTAGGCACATTAAATTTTTAATTCGAGAGAAAAGCATATTTTATTAAAAAATCCTTTAGGCTATAGACTAACGTTTTCTTCATTCATTGCAAAAATGGATTTTGTTCAAAATTTCAGTATAAAATTTTCCTCAGTCATTTCTAACCCAGGATCTGTTAACCAAATTTGTTATCTTGATTTCTCTTGTTCAAATGGCTTTTGAAAATATTCCAAAATGATTTTTAGAATATTTTAATTACTTTTGCAATACAATTACTCGCCACTTATGGGTTTTTAGGGTGAAAATTTCTTGTATTATTCTGGATGTATACTTAAATAGTTAGGCACATTAAATTTTTTAGTTCAGAGGAGAAAACGTATTTTGGCCAAAAATCCTTTAAGGCTATAGACTTACAATTTTCGTCATTTTCATTTGAAATGAGTTTTTGTTCCAGAATTTCAGTATAGGTGTACTGAATGTGCTTTAAGGATCTATTAACCAAATTTGATGTCTTGATTATAACTTGTTCAGAGTGGCTTTTTTGAAAATGTTCAAATGATTTTAGATTATTTTAGTACTTTTTTAGTATAATTACTCGTACTTATGGGTTTTCGAGGGTCATTTCTTGGTGTTGTGTGTTATTCTGGATGTGCTTAAATAGTTAGGCACATTAAATTTTAGTTCAGAGAATAGTTTTTTGTAAAAATCTTTAAGGCTATAGACTTACAATTTTCATTTTCGGCTGTTTGTTTTTGTTTTTTTGTTTTTTTGGGTTTTTTTGTTTTGTTTGTTGTTTTTTGAAATATTAAAATGATTTTTAGAATATTTTTATTACTTTTGCAATGTAATTACTCGCTTATATGTTTTTCGGGTCATTTCTTGGTGTTGTGTATTATTTGGATATTGCTTAAATAGTTGGGCACGTTAAATTTTTAGTTCAGAGAAAACGTATTTTTTGGCAAAAATTATTTAGGCTTGAGTTACTATTTTTCGTATTTCGGCAAAAATGGATTTTTTTTTCAAAATTTCGGTATAGGTTCTCCTGGATATTGCTTGGATCTGTTGAATTTGTATCTTGATTGCTCTTTTTCAAATGGCTTTTTGAAAATTGTTCAAATTATTTTTAGATATTTTAATTGCTTTGTGCTAATTATTGTTACTTATGGGTTTTAGGTCATTTTTGTTGGTTTGTGTATTATTCTGGATATGTTAAATAGTTGGGCACATTAAATTTTAGTTCAGAGGAAAACGTATTTTTGCCAAAAATCGTTTGGAGGCTATAGACTTAATTTTCGTCATTTTAGGCCAAAAATGGATTTTGTTAAAATTTCAGTATAGGTGCTCCTGGATATGCTGCTTAAGGATCTGTTATTAAAGTGTGATATCTTGGTTATAACTTTGTTAGATGGCTTTTGAAAAATGTTCAAATGATTTTTAGAATATTTTAATTACTTTTGCAATGATAATTACTCGTAACTTGATGGGTTTTCAGGGTCATTTCTTGGTGCTTGTGTATTATTCTGGTGTGCTTAAATAGTTAGTTTAATTTTGGTTCAGAGAAAAGTATTTTTGGCAAAAAATCCTTTGGATATAGACTTACAATTTTCTTCATTTCGGCCAAAAAATGGGTTTTGTTTAAAATTTCATTATGGTTACTCTGATATTTGCTTAAGGTCTATTAACAAAATTTGATATCTTGGTTATCTTTGAAATGGCTTTAGAAAATGTTCAAATGATTTTTTGAATATTTTATTACTTTTGTGATGTAATTCTCGCCATTTATGGGTTTCGAGGTCATTTCTTGGTGCTTGTGTATTATTCTGGATGTACTTAAATAGTTAGGCTGTTAAATTTTTAGTTCAGGAGAAAGGTGTTTTGGCCAAAAAATCCTTCTTTAAAGGCCTATAGACTTACAATTTTCTGTCCTTCATTTAAAAAATAGATTTATTTTAAAATTTCAGTATAGGTGCTCCTGAATATGCTGTGAGATCTGTTAACCAAAATTTGATATCTTGATTTATAACTTGTTCAAATAGCTTTTAGAATGTTCAAATTATTTTAGAATATTTCAATTAACTTTTGCAAATGTTAATTACTCGCCATATGGGTTTTGAGGTCATTTCTTCGGTGCTTGTGTGTTATTCTGGATGTACTTAAATAGTTAGGCACATCAGGGCCTGGTTCAGAGAAAAGCATGTTGTTAAAATCCAACTAGGCTATGAACTTACAATTTTCATCATTTTTGGCCCAAAAAATGGATTGGGCTAAAATTTCAGTATAGGTACTCCTAGATGTGCTGTAAGGATCTGTTAACTTAAAATTTGATATCTTGATTATAACATTCCGTCGGCTTTTAGAAAAATATTCAAATGATTTTTAGAATAATTGAAATTACTTTTGCAATGCTAATTACTCGCCATATGAGTTTTCAAGGGTCATTTCTTGGTACTTGTGTATTATTCTGGATATGTCCAAATAATTAGGCACAGTAGAGGCTGGTTCAGAAGAAAACGTATTTTGGCCAAAAATCCTTTAGGCTATATAGACTTACAATTTCACGTCATTTCGGCCAAAAAATGGATTTGTTCAAAATTTCAGTATAGGTACTTTCTAGATGTGCTGCTTAAGGATCTATTAACAAATTTGATATCTTAATTATAACTTATTTCAAATGGCACTGAAAAATATTCAAATGATTTTTTAGAATATTTTAATTCTTTTGCAATGCTAATTACCTCGCCACTTATGGGTTTACGAGGTCATTTCTTGGTGCTTGTATTATTCTGGATGTGTAAATAGTTAGGCACATTAAATTTCCTGGTTCAGAGAAAACGTATTTTAATAAGGCTATATATATAGACTAATTCGTCATTTCGTAAAAAAATGGATTGTTCAAAAATTTGTTAGGCATTAAATTTTAGTTCAGAGAAAACGTATTTTGGCCAAAAATCCTTTAGACTATAGACTTACAATTTTCGTAATTTCGGCCAAAAATGGATTTTGTTCAAAATTTCAGTATAGGTACTCTGAATGTTAACATGAGATCTATTAGCAAAATGGATTTTGTTCAAAATTTCAGTATAGGTACTGTGAAGTACCGTAAATATTTTCTTCCTGTCATTCAGAAGTTCAGGTCTTAAAATTGTAAAACAAATAACATTATGCCTTTTCTGTGTCTATATTATTTATCATTTCAGCTTTCTAGATGTTTGGGTGCTTGGTCTAATCTTTTGTTACTTTGTTTTGACCTTTATTGTCCGGTGTTTGATGCACCTAGAGATAACCTGTTATTTTTGGTAGTGCTGCACTGGTAACACCTTTCTCACATGTCTTCATAGCTGGGAATCGAACCCAGGACACTGATATGAGAGATACAGATGTTACCACTTTACAGTACTGTATGTACTATCAAGCTACACCACCTTTTATGGCTGTCATCCAGAACACACTGGCCAGACATTTTTTCCAGATCTCACAGAAAACATCAGTAAGACCTCCAGCTTGTAGAGTCACATCAACAAGTAATGTTTTTTATATTTTTCTTTTATCAGAACTTTTGCACACGTTCAGGGCTGGAGGCACTGGGGTCGTGTCTCAACAACAAGTATTCCGAGGGTTATCCTGGCCAAAGGTACTACGGTGGCACAGATATCATAGACAAGGTGACTTACTACTCATATTGATTACAGTACAGGTATTTCAATTATTGTTTATTGTGTCAGACTTGATTATAAACTTTATATTGTACTGTACTTAGATGTTGAAAATTAACGGTAGTCTTGGAGAGGTTGTGACTATAATCAATATTAGTCTTTTGAGGGATATTTTTTCCTGCACACAGTATATCATTGTTGGTGTGTACAGTATTAACATAATTAGGCTGGACCCAAAGCGTATTTACCAGTATGTCAGCTTTTACATTGTCTTTATCACTGAGTTGTAAATATTGGCCATTTTGCAACTGGTAGTAGAGTTCAATTTTAATTTATGTCCATAGTTTCAATATATGTCCAGTGTTTAATGTTATGGTCCATAATATAATACTGTATTGTGATGATTACACTCTTCACCAGAACTAATAATTTCAATATATTGTAGCATAAAATATTCCAAGACTTTATTTTCAGGTAGAAAGGTTATGTCAGCAACGAGCTCTGGACGCCTTTCGTCTGAAGCCAGAAGATTGGGGTACTAACGTACAGCCATACTCAGGCTCCCCAGCTAACTTTGCCGTGTATACCGGTCTGCTGAACCCACATGACCGCATCATGGGTCTGGACCTGCCTGAGGGTGGCCAGTAAGTAGTGATCAACTGACCTTGATATTACCAGAAAAACTTCTCTGCTCGTGGATATGTTTTGTTGGGGGTTGGGAGGTGGTGTTGCCTTTAGTAGTTACCTGGCTCATATTATCACTTTAGATGAACTAAAACTATATAGAAAATGGTTTAATTATTTAACTGATATAGTAGTCAGGTTAATCTTTAATAAAAGGCCTTGAAATTATTATTTTTATATTGAAAATTCTGTAGTCTTATTACATGGTACATACTGTACTGTAATAAGATAACTGCCATCTTTGAGTCTTAGTTAAGTATGATGCATCACCATGATGTAATTTAAGTTTATGGAGCTCTCAAACACTGATAACTGATTTTCTCATATAATCTTAAGGTATTATTTGGTTATCCATTATGATTTTTTTGTACAGTATATTACAGGTAGTTATTATATGCATACTGCACAGTGTTTTTCATTCATTATTGTAAATTCCAGCTTTTGTTTTAGTTTAAGGCTGAAGACTTACTGGTATCTCTCTGCATATTATATCCACACTACCCCTAAACCTGTAATACCCTCTTTCTCAACATTAACAAATACTGTGTCAACAATATTCCAGTTTGACTCATGGCTTCATGACGGACAACAAAAGAATTTCAGCAACTTCCATCTACTTCGAGTCAATGTCCTACAAGCTGAACCCTGCCACGGGCCAGATTGATTATGATAAACTCCATGAACATGCTCGTCTCTTCCGGCCAAGAATGATCATTGCTGGTGCCAGTGCTTATGCTAGACTTATTGACTACAAGAGGATGAGAGAGGTAAAGTGTGTGTGGTGGGGGTTGGGTACATGTGATCTTTGCAAGTGTGCTTGTGTGTGTGTGTGTATATGTTTAGTTCAATGTTTACAAACTTGTTACAGTACTGTATTGAAGTGCAAGTTTCAATGCAAATATCATTGATGATGCAGTGAAACATACGTACATATATATTGCAGCGATGTTTAACAAATATAGTGGCAGTGATTTACATTAAACTAAAGATAAATATGATCATGGCAGTAATTAGGGAACTTCAGGAATGTGTCACCTTAAATGTAATGTAAGGTGATACATTCCTAAAGATCCCCAAATATTGTCATTACCATGTATATAGTGAATATGTGAAGGAGGAGAATGTATCACTATGGCATCGAAATACGAGTATGCTAGCTTGATACAGGGTGGGAGGAAATACAGTGGTCCCTCGATTAACGAACGGTTCAATTAATGAAATTTTGATTAACGAATTAGCTCCCATTAGGATTTTCAGTTCCATTAACGAACAAAACTTTGATTATCGACAGCCTTACGAGAAACACGCTTTGTTGTGCGCATCAGCTGGTGGGCTAGTTCGCCAATACAGTAATTGGTTCTATGTTTACATTCATTTCCAGTGAAGTAAATGTCAAGAAAGTTGGGCTGTTGAATATTTTTGCATTTTTTATATTACTGTAAAATTATTGGTCATTCTGACATTTAGTTAACATATTGATAATATATACAGTACAGGGAAGAGTTTTTCTGTGCCCTTCAGCTGACCGAATCACCCACCAACTCTTCTCAGTTTAACTTTGTTTACAGTGGAGTGAACATCGAGTTTCTTGTCTCTTGAATATTTTTGCATTTTTACATTAAAATTATTCGTCATTCTAATTTAGTTAACATATACAGTACAGGGAACAGTTTTTGTGTGACAATCAGCTGATCGAATCACCAACCAACGCTTCTCAGTTTAACTTTGTTTACAGTGGAGTGAACGTCGAGTTTCATGGTCTCTTGAATATTTTTGCATTTTTACATTAAAATTATTGATCATCCTGAAATTTAGTTCACATATCGATAATATACAATGCTGAAATTATTATGAAACATGAAGAAGGCATTAGAACCAATGCACTCTGTAAAGAATATGGCATGTCATCATCGACTGCCTCTACAATCAGCTGTTTGATATGTAAACAAAGCTGCCGGGAATACGACATACACACCTCAAAGTAAGTTAAAATACAGTATTCTATTGTTTTTTATCTTTTATTGGACAGTATACTGTACAGTACAATACTTTAATTTGTTTATATTTAATGTTTGTTAATTCTATTACCGGTATACAGTACTTTGTATATACTGTATACTTTTTCTGTGAGTTGGAACCAATTACCCAATATCCCATTGAAATAATATATTCAGTTAACAACCGACTCTGTGGAACCAATTGTGTTCATTAATCGAGGGACAACTGTACTGTACGGTATAAGAAGATTTTATTGTGTTGTGAGATGTGTGTTACTGTAGTGAGAGGCTACATGTGACAGTCATGGTAGAAAAAATAACATTATTGATATGGATAGATAGACAGCATTATTTTGTTACTTATTTTAACTTTATTTTACAGTAGTTTGGACTGAGTCTTTTTATCAGTACAGTACTGCATGCATATTCCAGTTCCTCCTCAGATACTTAATGCCAATGCCATATATATATATATATATATATATATATATATATATATATATATATATATATATATATACATATATATATATATATATATATATATATATATATATATATATATATATATATATATATATATATATATATATATATATATATATATATATATATATATATATATGTATATATATATATATATATATATATATATATATATATATATATATATATATATATATATATATATATATATATATATATATATATATATATATATATATATATATATATATATATATATATATATTGGATTAAAATTTACTGAAGAATTGACAATGTAATCCATTCCTTTTTCATTAGATTGCAGATGAAGTGAAGGCCATTCTGTTGGCAGACATGGCGCACATCTCTGGTCTTGTGGCGGCTGATTTAATCCCATCACCATTTGAGTATTGCCACGTTGTCACAACCACCACTCACAAAACATTAAGGGGACCGAGGTACAGTAATCTGACTAGTATACAGGGTATTATTCTATAAAGATTAGATGTACAGTCAGTCAAGTGGAAACTGTGACAAAATGTTTAGTGTATGGGGACATGTGGAAGCCCCTCCACAGTAAACACATGGTGAGGGTTCCAGATATTTCCATACAGTATAACGAAACATTTTGTCGGTTTCCACTTGGCTGACTGTACAGTTGCCTCAAATAGTTCCTTTACCCCGTGATGATGTTTGTGTACTTGTGGCAGTCACATTACTAGAGTAAACTTAGGAATGAATCCAGACCTAAATTTGTATAAGTAAGGGAAGCTTTCATTTCTTGAAATAGTGGTGTCAGTTTAGGAAATTTGTATCTTGAAGGATACTTGTATTTGAAACCCTCAGGAGTCGTAATATGTGGAGGTTGATTCATGCATTGTTTATGCATCTCATTTTTCATTTTTATGTTAGTCTTTCCATTACTACAGTACTTTATCTTCAAGAAATATTAGTTTAGTTAATTTTGTGATCTTATTTTGGAAATTGTTTTCTCTAATTTACTGGATGTAAATTTTATATATAAAAAAACATTTCACAGAAGATCCCATCTAAGATATACAGTAATCCAGTGTTTATCGCTGGAATTATGTTCCTGAAACCCCTGCGAAAAGCCAAAACCGCGAATACTCTTTTAGGAATCACTGTACCTGTGGCCACCAAAAACTGTTTTTTTTCTGTTAAGGTCATCACTATTCTTGATCTCTTGGTCACTTTAAGAGTCTTTGATAGTAATATTTGCCTTTGATGGGGCTGGCTTACGTCCGGAAGCCATGTGGATTGCACGTGGGAGGACAAACAATAGAGGTAATCACAGTACCGTTCACAGTACGGTAGGCACGTGTGAACTGAGGCTTCTCGGAGCAGCGGGTGTCTGAGGTGGGAAAGGGTGGCGTCTGTTTGCCGCACCGCACAAGGGAATATCGAAAATGGCGCAAATGGTCAAAACCGCAATAAAAAACCCGCAAAAAACACGGGATTACTGTAAAGGAAAATGATATGATGGAACCAAACTGAACATATTGTATAGTACTTTAAAGTGGAAGTACAGTGCATAGATTTTTAATGTACAGCATGTGTTTAAATAATTCAGTCAGGTGTTTCTCATGTTTCTTTACCCATGTTATAGGATAATTAAAAATTTATAAAAAGATTAATGCTTTTTTTATAAAGGATGCTTGTGTCGCAGGTCTGGTATAATATTCTTCCGTCGTGGAGTAAAGTCTGTAAACAAGAAGACAGGCAAGCCAATAATGTATGACTTAGAACAGCGCATCAACTCGGCTCTCTTCCCTGGCCTGCAAGGTGGACCCCACAACCACGCTATTGCCGGTGTAGCCATTGCTCTTAGACAGGTTAGAAATATTGGTAATACAGTATAGCTTTTAGACAGTTTAGGTTAGATTAGGTTCTAGTTCCGTGGGTTAGTAAAACCCTTATGAATTAATGCTCACAGTTAATGTGTTATACTGTTCAAAGATTTACTTATAGAAGTAAACAGAGAATGTGAAGATTTGACTAATTTTGGCAAAGATTGTGGGTACCGACTTTGTGCATGCATGCCAAACAATGTAAATTACTATAGTGGGTTATGTCCATCATAAAAAGTATCTCATTGCTGCAGGCTGCCACCCCAGAGTTCAAGAAGTACCAAGAGCAAGTGATGAGCAATTGTCGTACGATGGCAGATGGTCTAATAAAGCGGGACTATCACTTGGTCTCTGGTAGGTATTTTATCTACCATTTATTTTTCATCTATCATAATCATCATCATTATTCTACAGCCAATTTCCATGCTTTTTTATCAGCCTTATGTAGGTAGGAAAAAGGGATCACCTGAAGCTTATCCAAACTGCTTATTTTACCTTATGATTTAGCAACCTATTGCTACCTTGGGGGGGTTGGGTTTGGTTAGACTAGGTCAAGTTGGACTAGGTTAGTTTAAGTTAAGTAAGGTTAGGGGACTGGATTACAGTACTTATATTAGGATAGGTTGGGCTAGATTAGCTTAGTTTAGGATAGGTTAGGTTGGCATTACTGTGGTCAACTGTAAGGTGAAATAAGCTTGGGCATAGGTTGTTTTTCATTAGTGTGTTTAATCAAAAAGGTGAAATAAGCTGGGTAGGTTAATCATCAGACTATAATATAGCTAATGTTGCTCACCAGTAAATATGTACTGTACCAGGTACAGCTACCAAACAGGGAGGTACTACCGCCTGGGAAGATATTGGAAGCATAATGTGTTGTCTATGGTAGACCCTGCTGCCACATGGCATCACGAAAATTGTGACCAAGTCCCAGGTTGCTGATCTGACTTTCTGCCTCATTTACATACAATTGCAGGGTCTCATTGCTTCTCTTACTATTGACTACACAACATACAGTACATATTTTGTTTCTCACTTTTGATCTTTTGTTATTTTTGTATTTCTTTATGGTTCTATATTATTATTATTATTACTATTACTTTTTCGCCCCCCAGACCCTGGGTGGGCTAATCCCCGTAAAAAAAAAATAGAAATACAAAAAATACAGGAACCATTTTGTTAATAAACTATTGGTAAGATCAAATTATATAAGTGCAGTACTCCTGTATCACTATAGCCAGTACTGTATTGTACATATGTTACATGAGCCCATCAGCTACTTCATCTGGACATAGTAAATAGATAAGGACATGAGAGAGTGGGTTGAGCTTATCTCTAGACTGTCGAGTCAGACAGAGTGGTTGTGGATCATTATAGTACTACCAATGTTTTGTGTGACTGATTGGCTCTCCTTCCCAATACTAATTTAATCTATCCAATGGTAACCTAATCTGACCTAAGCTAACTTAACCCTTCCTGTTGTTTATTTAATCTACCCAGTCTTGACTAACTTAAAGTATTGATGCACTATTTAACTTACACAATACTGACCTGACCTAACCTAACCTTACCTTACCTGATCTATTCTATCATATCCTAACTTAACCTAACCTATCTTAATTTAACATATCCAATATTGACCTAATGTAACCATACCTCACCTATCCTATAATATCCTGACCTAACTTAACCTATCCATATCTCACCTATCCTATAATATCCTGACCTAACTTAACCTATCCATATCTCACCTAACCTATCCTAATTTAACTAATCCAATCCTGACCTAACCATACCTGCCCTATCTTAAAATATCCTGAACCTAACCCTTACTATACTATCCTAACCTAACCTTACTTAACCCATCTTAATTTAACCTATCCAATCCTAACCCCATGCAGATAACATTTTAGTGGTTAATCTTAAGGTAAAATAAGCTGGTGGGATTAATCTTCATGTGATCCACGTTCTGTAACTTTTATTATTCTGTTTAAAGAAGTTTGAGATAAAAAATATTAAAATAAGTAGAGATGGCAGATAGCAGGAGTGTGACCTTGTGGAGGGAACGAGTTGGAGGAGTTGAAGGTTCAGATGATAAGATTAGGTAAATGAGTTATGAAAGTTGAGGGCAGGTGAATACTGTATTGGAAATGTATAGCAATTAGCCCGATAGTGTCAGGTGGCTTACAGTGCAAAGCTAAACCCTTAAAACAGAAAATTCTAGCTGATATCTATGAGTGTTTTGTGTACAACTCAGCAACCTCATCCTTGTTTGAGATTAAAAAAAAAAGGCTTACCACAGTACTGTACTGTATAGTATACGGTACATTAAAACATTTTATATTTTTATTCGCAGGTGGAACAGACAACCATTTGGTGTTAGTGGATCTTCGACCTAAAGGCCTGGATGGTGCGAGAGTTGAGACCATCTGTAACATGTGCAATATTACAGTCAACAAGAACTCTGTCCCTGGTGATAAGAGTGCATTAAGTCCTGGGGGCCTCAGGCTAGGTCAGTATACATTACTTTATACAGGTTGGGCAAGAATACAGGGTGGATAAGAGGACAGTGGACAAGAATACAGGGTGGGTGTAAGTACAGAGTGGATGATAAGACAGAATAGACAAGAATACAGGGTGGGGGAGACCACAGAGTGGGGAAGAGTACAGTACAGGGTAGGTTAGACAATGTATATAGTAGTATGTACTTCTGCTGCATAGTATGACACTACTGTGCATGGCAGTTTTCTCCTGTACTATCACTGGACGATGAAGGTCATAATAAATTAACAAAAAACAGACCAACCCCATGAAATTGATAAGTGGTGGAATGATTAATTAATTAAAATTAACATCAACTGTTATGTTATTTTCTTTCCCAGGAACCCCAGCACTCACATCCCGTAACTTCAAAAATGAAGAATTTGAGTACGTCGTTGAGCTCTTAGATCGAGCTTGTGCCATTGCCCTTGAGGCTAAGGAAAAGTCTGGAAAGAAGCTTGCAGACTTCAAAGAAACTCTAGAAAAAGATGCAGAAATTAAGGCAAAGGTTGAAGCACTACAGGCAGAGGTTAATGAATTTTCATTGAAATTCCCAATGCCTGGATTTGATGACCACTAATTCATTTCCTGGAGATGTGGTGAATGATGGATACATTAATCCAGCGAGTGGGAGCTTGATGACCAGGTACACTGACTTCTTCACCATTAAATGCCCTTCATTTATCTCTTTTTTGTGACTTGTATCACCTGTTAACAATACTTGCATAGCTCCTCTGCACAAAAGAATTTGATTCAGTTCCTGGATACTTTGCAGTAATCTTGACAATGGCAAAAGATGACTGAGAGGTAGTGAGAGAGTAAAGTTGCTTTTAATAAGGCTTAAATCATTTTTAAACTGCGCAACAAAAATTTTTGTGCAGTTTTTTGCACCAACAGAATACATACTTACAAAGAATTAGGAGTTACTGTATTAATTCTTTTTTTAAGCTGTTTCTCCATTATCAGTGTCAAATGCTGCATCGCAATTTTATTTAAACAGGTAAGTTTCAGTACTGATCAGTTGTGTGTTAATGTAATATTACCACAATAAGTACTTTGTAGTGTCTGATGTGCAGTTTTGATAACTTGCTGTAATGGAAGACTGTTGGTTGGCATATACTGTAGTAATCCTGAATATATATATATATATATTTGTGTCTGTTGTTATTAATACCTTGACCATAATCTGCCAGGCTGGAGGAATATGCTGGCTGGTGTGTGTGTGTGTTTTTAATGTAAAGTTTTGGAAGTCAAATCATCCATTAGTTATCAAGAGAATTTCACACCACTTGGTATTAATGTATAAGGATAGATGTTGTATTTGTGCCAAGAGTTCTAGTCTTTTTCTTACTGTCAGAGTTAACTGCTTATTATTTTTAAGTTGGGATCATTATCTTAAGGTGTCTTTTTTTTTTAATAAGAGATCATAAATTAAAGTAATTGATACATTTATATATTATGTACTGTGTAACTAGCAATGTGTCGGTTATTTCTTGCCCACACTGTTAATTCAAAAATTTTTGTGTCCATATGACAGATTTTGTAAATCTTTCCCTTCTGTTCAACAATATTACTTCATTCTAACCTAACTCTGTTGGACCTGATGAAGAGTGTTACTAACTGACAGGAACAGTATTGGCAGGGTTGTAGCCATTAACTGACAGGAACAGTGTTGACACAGTTGTAGCCACTAACTGACTGGAACAAGGGTTGTAGCCATTATAAAAGTGAGAAATACAGTAAATTTGTAAATTTCTAAAATTAGAATTGTCACTTAGCATCAATCAGTTGTTATATTGCAGAGTGGTGTAGACAATATGTACAATTGAGTGAGCAATGGCTATTTTGGGTAAATAAAAAAAAAGACAAGCATGTATTGAGTTATGCACAGTCTTGATTATGCATTAAAAATTAAGATTCTTTTTTGTATAAGGAAACGAAAGTTTTTGTATTTCATCTCCTGATCTCTTCATTTTGGTTTCTTTTCATTAACAATTTTCACACTTGCAAGTCTATGGTGATGGAAGATGGCCAGAATTAAGATCCAGCACTCTGTCTCCTTTCGTTTAAGTGTTATTCATCCACTACGTGAAACGTGATTTACTATTTGGTATTCCCCAGCCACAATAAGGTCCCAAAATTATGCCAGTTTTATTATTCTTGACAAACAACTGCTAAGTTTTCTCTAGTGCACCATGTACTGTCTATAGCAAACAACTGCTAAGTTTTCTCTAGTGCACCATGTACTGTCTATAGCAAACAACTGCTAAGTTTTCTCTAGTGCACCATGTACTGTCTATAATGTTTTTGAGGTTTTTAGATTTCAAAGTGGGTCAGATGATTTAGTTTATTCCTGTCACTTTGCACAATGTAGTATCATGTCTCTTCAGCAAGTTCATATCCAAAACCCACTGAAAGCTTTGTTTTCAAGTCATTCATGCAAACTTTACCTTCAGGAACAAGCCAGGGAATATTCCTCCCCAGCTGCTTCCTAGGACTTTGGTGCTGCTGCTGTTGTCGTTGGCTGCTGGTGTAATCTAACTCTCTCATCGTCTAAACCATATCTTTCAAAGGTTTTACTGGGCCACTTTTCACTTAACAGATAGTCATGACTCATTCTTCCACCTCTAGTCTTTCCAGGCACTTAGCCAAAAATATGGGGAAGAATATACAACTAACAATAGCAGGAGAGTCCAGCCCTTGGCAGAACAGCTCGATATACCGTAACCAAATCACGTCAGTCAGTATACAAGTGTATGACTAAACAAGACGAGACAAGTGCTTTGTGAAATAGATTCACTATTTCAAGGTAAGATAATTGAAAGATATTTTAAACTGGAGAATTTCTCAGAAGTTGGGGTATTAGGGACTTTGTAATTCATGTAATTTTTCACAGGATTTTGCTACAGTATGAGATCTATTTTACTGTGTATGACAAATTACTCATAAGGGAAGCGATGTTAAATTGTATTTTTATATATTGTCTAGGAGCTACATAGCACTGCAGAACTGGACTAAACAAACCATAAGGAAACTAAACTGTAGATGTGTATTTTTCATTGCTTTGAATTTGACATCTTGATAATACTTGGTGTACGTTATACTTTATTTGAAATTCTTGTTCCCCCTTAACTCCTCTGCATGTGAACAACATTACCACTGTTGCTATTACTATTTCAACGAATATTTCACCACACCTACTACTACAAGAATGCACTCACTCCACATCCACCACTACTGTCATGTTATTTTGCCAGTCCTTATAATTTACAAAAACATTTGCTATAGAAGTTAATGAAAGTGCCTTCTTGACATACTCAGTTTCAATTTTTCTATGAATATTGTTTTACATAATGTGAATTGTGTAATAAAGGTTGTTATTATATAGTTTTTTATTTAACCATGTAAATTTGTTTTACAGATTGTGTTGTCCATGATAAGAGAGGCATTATTTTAAGAGGAATACAGAACATCTTTTTTCTTTTCTTTTTTGTGGCCTGCATGGACAGTTTTCAGTTGGTCGTGACACGTATGAAGACCAATAAATAACATTTTGCATTCTGAATTGACAGTTGTAAAACATGAACTGACAAATATAGCAACAAATTATGTAGAAGACATATTAAGTACTTTGAGTTGAAGCATTCATCGGACACAACACAGTGAATGCTCGAAATCAAAGTATATGTCTTGTGTCATTTGTTGCTATATTAGTCAGTTCATGTTTTATAAATGTCAATTAAGAATGCAATATGCCATTTACTGGCCTTCATATGTCACCACCAACTGAAAAACTGTCCATTCGGGTCAAAATATGATGTAATGGTGGTGTTGTAAAAAGGTTCCCAATTTTCACAACTTTTTTGGAAAACAAGTTTGGTGAGGAAGATGAAGACGACCATAATATATAGTCAAAGAAATGTCGCATAAGTGCCACTTGTTCCAAAACCCATGGTGGAGAATTTAGGTGAGGTTCCCATCAGTGGCAGTAAAGCTACGAGGTTCAATTCTGAACAACCAAATGGGCGTGCATGCCTGTGAGGTACAGTTTGTACCATATCTCGATGTAAGTCACTTAGTAATGCAATCAAGTGTGATTACAGAATATGTAAGTATGATAATTAATAATCTATACATTATTAATCATTCACCATTTCCTAGAGTTCACCGGTGTGACATCACTACAGTTTTATCTAGTCACTGGCAGAGCTGGTGGGCTAGGTATCTCATCAGCTGATTGGTTTACAATTGTTGATATTATGTGATTATGAATTGGTGTGTGTGATAGTATTACAACTATTTTGGTAATAACACTCCTGGATACTGTTGATAAAGATAAATTGAAGCAGTGTGAGAAATCATTCACTGAAGGCGGCAGCAACAAATATGGGCCCCCACCAGTGAGAAGAGCAAATAGAGATTTGGGAATTATAAAGCGTACCTTTGAATACAAAGATCCGAAAATGCTTCTTCAACTGTACAAATCTCAAGTACATCCCAATCTGGATTACTGGATACAGGCATGGAAACCTCACCCCCAGAGAGACTTAACATCCCTGGAAAAGGTGCAACACAGAGCTATTAAGAAGATTACTGAACTATGTCATTTTGATTATCCAAGTAAACTGAAGACCTTAGGACTAACAACCCTTCAGACAAGACACAATATGGCAGATCTAATTGAAATACATGTACAGTATTCAAAATCCTGAAAGGGATGGAAAATGTGAACCCGGGACATTTTTCTTTGTGATGTCGCACACCACCGACATGAGAGGACACGACTACAAGCTAGCCAAGCTATCATACAGAACAAAGAAATAAAATAATTCTTCACATGGGGTGGTAGACCTATGGAACAGTTTACCAGCTGAAGCTGTGGTGGTGGTAGACCGATGGAAAGGTCTTCCAGCTCAAGCCCTTACGGGCAGTCATTCCTATGGGACCCACTTTCACTTTCAAATAACATGCTACAGCTGCAAGAGGACTGAGCGGAGTCACTGATAGAAAACACATGGACTGTATGTACAGTACCAGAATGGAGCTTGGGTCAAGTGCAAAGTTCACCCTAGCTTAAGTTGGAACTAACAGTGTTTAAAATTGTGGATTATTATTGGTTTATATTACAGATAACACACAAAAAAGTGTAAATTTTAGTACTGTATATCTGTTAGCAAATAAAGAGACTAATTTTGCTGGTTCAAGACTTGAACCTCATTAGCTTCACTGTCACTGATGGGAGAACCTTACCCAAATTCTTCATGATGGGCTTCAGAATGTAAGGCATGGTGAATGTAATAGAAATCTTTTCTTTGACTACATCCCTGATTTCAAAGAAAAATAACAGGCAATATAGCAATGATTATCTATGTTAAAAGATGATGGGGTTTAGTGAATGGAAATCTTACAGGGCACCAGGTAAGGCGAGTGTTGGAACAGTAGTGGAATGTACTGTGCTCAGTAGTATACAGTATGTTTTGAAGGCTACACAACTCTAGAACAACTCACAATCGATTCAAGGTATGTTGGTGTAATTTAGTCATAAATCAAAACTGCTTCAAACTTACCCCAGCCAGGTCCTGTAGTGGAATGTTACATCAGTCTCATGCTAAAGCTGCAGAAGAGCGAAATATTACCCACTTTTATCCAAGTGCAAGTCCTGAATGTAACATCTTCTGATAACATATTTTCTGAATGTTGATAGAAAGTGATTACCCCTGTATTCTTGTTGATCACTATGACAGAAATAATTATTAGGCAAACATAAAGTGTAATAGATATTAAAAAACATGCAATCACCAGCCAATTGTCTTAACAAATTTAATGATAGCAAAACAAATCTAATGAAAATTATATTGTTTAATAAAACATCTTGCATGACAAAAAAAAAGCGTGCAAAAACAAAAGATACAGTAATACATTAATCCGCTTTCAACTGAACTACCGTACTTAAAATAGTTTTACAAAGTTGTGAATGACTAATGAATTATATTTCTAACTAACACACACCTAATGATGCAATGATCTCAGCTGACTATCACACCACATTTATATCTTTTCTCCCCTTATGCTGATACTTTTTCCTCGTAATTAAAAAATTAGTATTCAAAACTATATTCTTGTACTATTCATAAGTTCAACATAGCTTAGTAATAATTGATCTGCAAGTTCTGTTTTGATTCACTGCAGTTCTTAAACAATAGTAATGTATCCTTAAATCCTAAATTTTATATTGTATTATTCTTAAGTTCATTATGTTTCCTCAGATTAAATTGTAACCTCATAAAGGACTACAGGTACTGTATTTTTTTTTTATTTAAGAAATATATTTTTGTAGTGTGCATAAATTATCTGACAAATTTTGAAACTTAATTCCCTCAAAAACATCACAAACAGAACATGGTGGTTTTATAGTACATTTACTTGACAAACATATAATTGTTTTCTTTTATTAGTAGACTGCCACATGTGCACCATGTTCTGTCTGTAATATAATTGAGGTTATTAAGTTGTAAAATATGTCCAATAATTTATGGATACCCAGCATTACTCCCATTAATCTACCCGATACAGTTTATGAAATGGGATGATAGTAAGTTGTAGATGAGTGACTGACCTGTAAACAAGTAATGCAAGATGAAACTATTGCTAAATATTTGTGATAACTGCATTATTTGTGGTTTTAGTAATTATTTGTTATACGTATTAGTAACTATTGGTATTTAGCTATTTATAATACTGGCAATTATTGATAACTAGTTGTGATAGTTATAATTATTAGTACAGGTTGGGTATCTCTTATCCAAAATTCCCTAATCCAAAATGCTCTGAAATGTGAGTCTATTTCATTATATATATGGTAGAGAATACACTGAATATGGCATTATCATAATTTTTACTAGGGTAAATATGTACAGTATGTGTAATGAATAAAGTTACGACACAGGTTGCTTAGCACCTCGGAGTCAGGTATCATTGCGATGCCAAACAGACGGTAGTGATTGCTTACCTTTCTGATTCTTTAGTGTACATCTTATCATAAATTTTATACCCAAAATGATTCAATTATCTTTCATAAAACTACCTACAGAATATATGTATCTATAGTCAGTAAATGAAATATAAATGAATTTTGTGCATAGACTTGGGCCCCATCCCTGCTGGGTGAGCTACTGCATTATACAAGTTCTGTATACAGGATATAGGTACAGTATTCCAAAATCCTAAAATATTCCAAATCCGAGACCCTTAAGGGCCCAAGCATTTTGGATAAGGGATACCCAACCTGTACTTAATATTATAGGAGTTATTGTCCATTATTTGTGACATAGGTAGTAGTTTGTAGTTACTTGATATTGGTGGTTATTAGGCATAAGTACAACCTGTTAAGTACTTTGGGTTTAGTTTAACTTGACAAAGAGGTCTTCAGCTTTACTACAACTACAGTACTGTACACTGAATCTGGATCTACCCATGAAGACATTATCAGAATGTTCCCTTACAAGCTACCTTCATAAAGTCAATAAGATGAGCTGGTTATTCTTAATCTGGAAAAAAAACCTAATCAAGGCCTGACTAATGTTACTGGAATGTCATGTTTGGTAATACAGTACTTAAAAACTGTAACATATGTAGAACTTACTAACATGTAAAAGTGAACTACTAGTACCTAATTAAGCATAAAAATCTTCTACTTAGAGCCGTTTTCATATACAGGTATAACAATATTATAAAATATGACGTACAAACCAGAAAAAATATAAACTTAAGAACAAGAGGCTGAACTGTAGCATGAAAATAATGAGAACTAAAATCTGTAAATTAGTTCATAAATGCTGTACAGTACAGTACAGTCCTTCATTCATTATAAAATAAAACTTTGCAAACAACTTAAACAGCTAACGTAACATGGTTCAAGATCCTCAAAGACTTATGTGAAGATTCAATGTCATTCAGTCCTTAACAACTGTTAAGATCCCCCCCCTTATGAAATGCGATGGATGTGAATTTTCCACATTATGGCCGCTGTTTACCGGGTAACCCTTTTCGGATATACAGTATCCCACAACAGACACAGTCAAAATAAGCACAAGTTGTCATCCCCATTCCCAAAGGGTAAGGGTTAAGACACCATCTTTTTGTCATAGGTCAACATAACTAGTTACAGATGTTATACAATTGTAATTAACTGGGAAATCTTATCATAAAAACCCTTGAGAATCCAGAAACACCATCAAAAATGTTCATGTAGAGAAAATAAAATAATACCAAACTTATACTTTAGTTTTTCCCACAGTTCTCTTAATATCTTCAAGTATTGGAAACATAACAGTAGCGATGTACCAGATATCATATTTGACTCCCCAGGCCGGGGACCAGATAATTACAAGTTGGCCAAATCCCAGTAACCTGGCCATATCTTCACTACCATTTAAGACAGCCTAACATGGTCTGAGAAGTTCTTATACACTGTAGGATGGACCTCATCTTCACACCTCTTATGGTATTTTTAAGCTAATTATTTCTTTTCTTTCTTCAGCTACTTTTGGAATTACCCTTTACACGTTATAAATAGAAAATATATCAAACAACAAAACATTGTTTTGTTTCCCAAGTTAAATTTTTGCTTATTATGAACATTGTTCGAAATATTAAAATAAAATTGGCTGCTGTAGTCTCAAAGAAATTAAAATTTTCAGGTGTTAGGCAGCATCTCTGTTTCCCAACACTCACAACCTACTGTACCTGTAATATTCATTACTACAGTACTCGTGTACTGTACAAATTTGTTAATAAATCTTCAATGTTTTATTAAAACTAATGTATGAAATACTGTATAAGGACCACAAGTCTGGATGATCATGAATGTAAACACAAAATGAACAATAACAATAAGATCTGTAACCGTTAACCTGTTTTGAAACTTTTAATTTCAAATAAATGGTTAAATGTAATAATTAATTTACTAAAAGAGTGACTCGGTCTCCTTTGCTCAATATGCAGAGGATAGGACAAGTATGCAGTGCTCCCCTTTTTAAAAGTACAACTAGCAAAATATTGAATATTAAAAAAGTTTGTTCTAAGAAAAACAAAACAAAACAAGACCCTATAGTATAATAATCAATATAGTATTCCTCGGTAAACTGTCAGTATAAATAAATGTCATCGTTTGTGTTGTGTTATGATGTAATTTGCTTTCCTAATTCTTCATCTAGAGATATATTGATTACTGTCCTCCTGAGGTTCAGTGCAGAGAATATTGAACACTCAGCATTTGGTGGACAATTCTCCTCAAAGCTTTTGTCATCAACCCTATGAAACAGCCGGTGTTGATGTGTCATAGTTAATAGGAGAGTATAATTAATGAAATAACTGGAGAGTGGAAGAGAAATATCACCAGAAATACACCCATCGTGGGTCATCCAAACCGACGTCTACTATCCTACAAGCAACATTTTTATAACATTTGATCAAGATCAGTTAAACAAAAATGAAGTTATTGTGTGGATAATGCCTCTCCATAACACAACCAACAAGTTCTTGGACACATAAAATGGTGAAGTGTGGATACAATGCTAGACACACACATAATAAAAAGAACAAATGGTAAATGACTGTGGAAGACTGACAAATGTGTGATAAGATCACCCAGTTTGCCAAGATGTAAATGTGTCCAATGAACCATCAAAATAGGAATAATACTTTTTTGTACAGCAATGGTTTCTCAGGGGGCTGTAACCATTGTTTAATAAACCAAGACCAGCCTAGGGCCATATTTTAACTACTGTACTGATCATTGTTTTAATAACTAATCCCATTCTGAGGTCAATAATGCCATAGTGAATCATTGATGATGATGAATCTTAGGTACAGCTCGAGGCCATTGATTTTAATATGTACAGTAGCTAAAAAAAAGTATCTGACAGGGTGGGTCCGATGACTTCCGAAATTATACGTACAACTCATGATTTCTTGGGAAGGTTGGTATGAGTGTCTTCACCCACCGTCATTCAGTATCCAACACAGAGGGCGAGTTGACAAATAGGAATAAAATATAGTCAAGTGATTACGATCACATAGTATAAGGAGGCAGCATGCATATCCCAACACCTATCGTCCGTGGTCTCATATTGTTTCACACAATGTATGCACAGATACTTTTTTTTTAGCTGCTGTATGTACAGTGTGAAGCCAGTTTTAATAAGTTTTTACAGTGTGATGCCAGTGTTTTAATAATATGATGTACATTTTTTTTTCCACAAGGCTGTCAAACAAGAACTCAACATTAAAGATGATAAATGTCATAGAAATAGAATAGGCTGGACAATCAAGAAGTTTTTGTTCATTAAGCAAAATGTTAGCTATATCAATACCATCTGGCATCAAGATATAAAACAAAACATGGACGACAGAGTAAATGGAAGTGAATTGTAGTTATTTTTGGATGTTAAAATATACCCAACTATTTTTTTGTTTCCTGTATAGCCTAACCAGGTTCCCATCACCACAACAACTACCACAGTACTTAACCCTCTGAGCCTCCTACTGGATGTTGTGTCTGATAAATAGGTATTTTGATCAGTCCAACACACTGGTTCAAAATAATCTGTTGACTTTGAGGAAGAAAATCTAGTTATTTTATGAGCCTCAGTATCAGCCAAGTGACCTAATAACCTTCCCTTAACTAACAAGAATTTGGCTCTCATTCAAAATATACGGCAAAAAAGAAGTGATGTAAAAAACTTAATGAACTCTAATGTTACAGAGAAAAGTTGAAGACTTTATTGTGCTGGTGTAGAACTTTTGTTTTGTTTACTTTACAAACCCTGTGTGGGTGCTAATGGTTAATGTTTCTAGTATAAACAAATGGGCAACTCCAAGAAACTAAAATGTGAACCTTGTGTTTGAGTGAGTGAGACAGAAAGCTTTACACCTATAGTATATTGTATAAACATGTCGTTTGAACCTACAAAACACAAGTAGGTGTGTATGACAAGTAGGTGTGTATGAAACAAACATACACAAACAGGTTCCTTGATACATGATATTCCATACACCATTATAAACTTTAAAAGCATGTATTTGTAGAAAGACAAAGTTATATTAATTTCTAACAAAAATTTTAAAAGTCTAAAGCTGTTTTTCGATAAATGGTTGACAATGTTTGCTAATGGCAGAAAATGAGTGACCAGCTGTGTTTAGCCACACCTGGGGGAAAAAGAATTTGGTGCACAGAAAACCTCCATCAATCATGTGAGAAAAGGTGCACATTGGGCTGAATGATCACAACAAAATTAAATCATAATAAGTCTTAGGGTGATTAAAATGATTACAATGTGTAGTGCAGCAAAACAGTCAGAAAACTCTGTTGATTTATTAGTTAAAGGATAAAAATCGGAGTGAATCAAAATGATGATACATAGCAGCACCTAACAAGTCTTCTTCACTTAAAGTGTGTCATCGCTCACACTGGATTACTTAACACTTATTCTGCTTTGAGGAAATTTTGCATAATTTTCAGGATTTCATAGATCTAAAAGTTAATACATCAATTTGATTTAAACAATATCCTATTTATAAAAACTGCTTGCATAATTTTCTTAATTTTAAACACATAAATAAAGTTATAACTATCACAATGCACTATGCAAGACCTGTCAAATGCATTAATAAATTTGGCACCTTTAGTACTACTGGAAAGCTTGATGTGAAAGATTTCCTCACAAAGTTTGCCCAAAAGGAGTGCAGAGGAACACGACAAAATTTTACTCTGTTGGCTGACCAGTAATGTGCTGGCTGAAGCGAAAAGTTTCTTAGACAATCATAACTACTACAGGAACGTGTTCCCTTGACTTGTATGTGACCATGACAAGTGTATCCCACAAAACATGTCCATTTTGATTTAACACAATAATTTACATATTTTAGGCTTAGTTCACAGTTGGGCTGGGTAAGGATAGGATGTGATGAGATGGATCGAGTTTGGCTAACACTTAACAACACAGCTTAATTACAGGTATATTATTTCTTGTGCACAACCACTCCAGACTCCCAGATGCAATAAATATTTTGGGACGGCTCATATGAAGGCTTCTGGCAAGATCAATAATGATGAGGATGAAGTACAATGATTACCATGTGCATGAAACTTACAGCAAAGGCAGTGAACGCTTCATCTACACTGCACTATCTATATTTAGGAGACTTTAAAAATTTACTATTTGGTCATTCTCAGAAATAGAAACAACTATGGTAAATTATCCTACTAGCTACTGCACCTTATTCATAATCTCTAAATGAAGTGAGTTCTCAGTTAAATTAAGACATGACTTCATGCTTGATCTTAATTATTTCAGGCATCTTCTACTGTATACAGCCATTAACATTTTACAGTTCTATATCCATTCATAACATAATATCAATCCTTGCCATGTTATCACAAAAAACATGATATTTTTTGTAGGTGATACAATCAAAGATGCACATCACACTTACCTCTACTTTTATTGTGCTAATGTGGTGCACCACACATCACACAAGTCTAATGCTTCATTAAGTTAGTGTGGTATGTGCACCTCATTTAACCCTTAATTGGCAGCGAAGGATTTAACTTCTCCCTCCTCAACCATGTGTGCAAAAATGGAAAGCAGGTAACATTAAATTTCCACAGATGATGGTTGCCGTCCCTACCTTCCACTGACGATGGCCACCATTTAAGGGTTAAGCCTCATCCCTTTATGAGGTGCAGTTCTTATATGACCACATCTCTGTGATTCTGGTGGGCATCTGGTCTGAAGTCTTAAGAGGTTGTGCTGATTCACTGACCCATCTTTAGGTAAGCTTTGGTCATGGCAGACAGGAACCACTGCAACAGAGACAAAGTAATGGTAGAGAAGATCAACATATTATTCATTACATTGGTGCAGACTTAGTCAAGGAATATTAATGTTGTAGAATCAGTCAAGAAGGCAACATAATAAGTTGGGGTCAGTGAAGACAAAGTGTAACGTGTAGAATGAGCCATGACAAATAATGGTCTAAAATCAGAGAACAATCTCCTCAACCACTACACTACAACATATCCCTTCAATGATGAGCTTGAATCATTATAAATCCTTCTCATCTTATTGATTTACTAGCTGGGATACCCTGGGTTCGTTTTTGACCAAGAAAAGTCAACCAAAATGAAAGCAGCTATGTAACCAATGTTGGCCAAAATAAGCTGTACATTCAACAAAAAATATACCAAATTTCAGCTCTATGTTAAAAACTGTGGTCATGCACTTTATGGTTGACATAGAGGTTGACCTCCTCCTCCAATTTACATATTCATGGTCATCCTCAGGACAATTTACACATACATACTAAATTTCAACTCTCAATCTTTAAAAATTTGGCTGTACATAGCAAAGAAATGGAAAAACAGATGTTTTTAACGAGGGGCAGCACCTTTTGGAGAGTGGGGATGAGGAACCATTGGAACTAACCCCTCAAAATAAATAAGCAGACTTTGATTTTTAAATAGATAAAACCTCAGTAAATCTAATAATTCAAGTTTATATCCTCAATACCTTAAGAAAACAATATGTGTGTGTGTGTGTGTGTGTGTGTGTACAGTTGTGGACAAAAAGTACTCAATGGGGAAAGAGTGCAAGCTGCGTCAGCACTATAATTAAACTAAAAAAAAATATGTTTGTGGCGTGGAAAGAAAATCACAGACTTTCAATGCCACCTCTATGAGACATGTCACGTCTTCACCTACCCCTACCCTCCCATACACCACCTCCCTCCCTGTCTACCTGACTAATTCTTTTTGTCCATAACTGTACATGTTTATGTCACTTTACAAGAAAGAATGATCCAACTTATCATGCAATAAGAGTGAATCAGTGAGTGAGTGAAGAGGGAGTCACTTTGCTTTTGGATACAGACATTCCACAGTAATGTTTAGTGTTCTGTGAATGAAAAAATAAATAAATACTAATACTACTACTATTAAGCACATATTAACAACACAAGCAGGACATATTGACAATACACACATGAAATATTTGCAACATGTAAAAGCTTAAAAACTGCCTGTTAAGTTAAACAATGGATCAGGGGATATTTAAAACACATGGAAAACTATTCTGCATGATTGGTTAAGGTAAATGCTTGCAAGCTGTCTAAATTTTGCCACTCTGACGTACCTGAACACCCAGCATTACTCAGCCCTGCATATATGGCTTCTTATTCTAGGCTTGTGTTATGGCTTAATTCTGTTTTTAAGTTATATGGTTATGCCTCAGGTTAATATTTTATGTACAGTATCGGCATTCCCCAATTTACGAACAGGTTCTGTTCCTAAAAAATCTTCATTAAATATATTTTCTGTAAATTGGAACACATTTTCTCCTGGAGTCCCCTTGGAAAAAAAACTAAATTAAACTACAACAAAAATATGTTGTTAATGAACACAAAGATTATGGGCCAATAAAAAACATAATACAGTACATGAAGTACAGTACATCCAGTAGAGAACGTTGAAGATGATGAGAGAAGTGCCTCTGGTTATGAAGCAGTGTGAGACTGTGAGGCCGAGCAAATACTTATAGTTTTAATTATATGAACCAAAAGTAAGTCTACAGCACTGGGTGTACTGTACTGTATATACATTTTGAGATATTTGACTTTCACTAGCATTTGATTTTTGATGTCTTTTATCTGAAGAAACAATGCTAACCTTATCCATTTAACATTTTACTCTTTCCACTGACACCAGATCAAACTCAAAAGCTGCTACTGTACAGTGGATATCTCTCACGTCAGCATCTCGCCAGTGCTTCATGTAACAATCCTCTGAGGCATCATGACTAAACCAATACAGTATTACCCCGCTTTACGCGGTTTCACCCTTACGCGATTTCTCATATACGCGGTGCCTCGCCAGAACAGAACTTTCACTTTCCGCGGTTCATCTACCCATATACGCGCAGTGTCCGGCTCGACGCTATTTTTAGATTCACCCCACCCGCCTGCTCCCGCCTCCGCCTGGGCAAGCCGCGTGGTAAGGTTGCGCAGTGCATGTCTCTGTTGCGTTATCACTGACGTCATATGACGTATCGGATTGGCCATGCATCCCTACCCACCTCTGCTGCTAGCTGTAATTGGTTTAAAGTAATATGACGTGTCCACCCGGGGAGGGAGGGAGGGAGGGAGGGAGGAAAGACGACGCTTGACCTAGCCGCGGCAGTTTCATCCCTCCAGGCCCCATATGCCGACCCATCTCTTCTACTAACGTAAGTGTTACACCTAACTTTTAGTTTTCCTAACCTAACATTTATTTTTCCAAACTTAACCTTTATTTTTCCTAACCTAACCTCTTCTATATTACTTGTTTGTGCATACCATCATAAAGTTAAGATAAAATTTTTACTACAACATAGTTGTGTGTCGTCAAAAAGTGGAGTTTGGGGGTCGGGCCAGTCTCTATTGGAATTAATCCCATATGTTCTGTTGTTCCATTTACGCGGATTTCACTTTCCGCGGTACCCTGTGGGTTCAATTGACCGCGTAAATTGGGGTACTACTGTACAAGTATTATATTTAAGCTTTGTTAACCACTCTTAACCCTCTTGTGGCGCAACCCCTCCTGCTCAGCCGTACCTCACACTGAGAGCACCCATCCTGTAAGCACAAATGCAGGAACAGGTGACTGGCCCTATCGACCACCTAAATTCCTCCCACTAGCCTTGTGGGCTGGCAGATGCGTCTTTAAGGGTGCAATTTGGGTCTGGAGTGCTCTATCAAATGTTTACTAAAATGGAAAAACTTTTCGTTACTAATGCAACCTGCATTAAAAGACTACAAGGAGGTGAGATTATAAACGATGCTATTTGTGTCGAAAGACCACGAGGGGTTGATATTTCTGACCATAGCCAGGAGTACCAGAGGGTTAATACAGTACAATACTTTATGTTGCTTTTAGCTTAATTGACTTTATAAACTGACCAGTTCCAGCAGAGGAAGCCCTGAGATGCCCATGTCAGCACCTCAGTATCTTCCAATACTGCAGAGAAAAAACTTGTAACTAGATTTTTGGTACGTAAGTCAAACCCTGGGACAAAAAAATTTTTTTAACCAGATTTTCGTAAATTGGAGTCTGTCTATATGTACTTACAACAAGATTATCAGTAAGGATCACTTCCCACAAATAAATATTTGATACTCCCAAATTCAGTACTGTACCTGCATTTGTGGCTCCTCATAAGGAACCACTACAAACAGTTCAGCAAAGACAACCATCTGTTTATTTTGTTGGGACAAATTATGTCTAGGTGACTGCAATGAGTGATGTTGTGGATGCCTGCCTCTGGAACTGTCACCAACTCTGGAATTAGTGGACAAAGAGGAACCCCGACCACTGGAACCTGATCCTAAATTTCCAAGATGAGAGAATCCTCGACCAATGTCCTTTCCGGCTTGAGTGACGCCAGTGCCGATGGCTCCCAGCACGCCGAACAGCCCCTTCTTACGGCTGGTATGTGCTGCTGGTGAATGTGGAGGAGAAGCAGGGGATTGGGCACGACCAAGCAAAGTGCTACTGTGTTCCACACCATGCACATACTGCCTGCCTACATTGGGACTTACTTCTGCCTGTTCATTAGAATTTATATGAACTATTTTTGAGTTGTCTCCTCCGCCAAACACACCGAGCATCCGCTTCTTCTCCTGTTTTACAGAGAGGCGCAGACCCTTGGGGGTGAGAACAGGTGTCTCTGAGAGTTCTTCGTAGCAGTGCACCCAGTCAACCTGTATATAAGAAATATTTAAGGTCTCACAATCACCAATATGGTGTATAATTAACCATACCATATTACTACACTGTATGATACAAGTACAGTACAGGTATTATAATCCAGGAAGACTTAAAAGGCTACCTGGTGTTGGTGGTAAAGAGGTTACAGGTGTATTTCTCACACATATATCCTGAGTTCAATCCCCAATCCATGAAATATATGAGAAGCGTGTTATCCAGAGTGACCATATCTAACTTGGCAGGCTTTTTCTGGCACTACAGTTTCCTCCTGTACTAACACTGGACAGTAAAGGTCATAACAAAAAACAGGCTAGTAAACTGATAAATGGTGAAATAACCAATAAATACTGTACACGTATCCACATATAATTGTGACCATTTTAAACCTGTGATATGATTATATACCTGCCACCATGACCGACACACACACCAAGTCTCTATGAAGTAGACCATCAAACACCTTTATACATCACAACTGAAAAGCCAACAACAGGCTGTGTGTGTGTGTGAGAGTCATCATACATAAACCCATAATATAAATCTATCCCCTAAGAAATAATCTTGCTACATTTATCACAAGACTGTACAGTACTAACCTTGAGGCTGCCTAAGATATCATTGCGTGTAACTTGCATGATTCTCTTATTTGTGGCTATCAGTATAGATTTGCTAGCAGTCAGGTGGGCATGAGCCACGTATAAATCCGTCTTTGCATATCGTCCTTTCTCCAACTCCTGAAGGAAAACAAAACCAGTTCATAGTATTAATCATAACCTCATCCTACCATCAGATAATACAATAAAATACTTTCATTAATTAGGAACAAAAAGTTTGAAACAATACTGAAGGTCATGTACCAGTAACATCTTGGCTCCCAGGGCAAAGCTATTCACATATGGTCCAACAACCCCATCGGCGTCAATGAATCTCGCTGGACGACGTCGCTCTATTTCTTCAGTAGCATCAGCAGCTCTGGTGGCAATTAAAACATTATGAGGTTATGTTAGGTTATATTAGTTTGAGTTACGTTAGGTTATGTTAGGTTATATTAAGTTACTTTAGTTTGGATTAAATTAGGTTATGTTAGTCTGGATTAGGTGAGGTTAGGTAATGTTATATTAGGTTACATGAGTTTGGATTAGATTGTGATACATCAGGTTAAGTTATGTTAGGTTAGGCTAAGAGATCCATAGAGTAATTAATTGTCTCAACCAACATATCCATAATTACTCACCTCATGACTGCATCGAAAGATCCGCTGGCAAAGTCTATGACCCCAGAGGCCGGGCGAGTTACCAGGCCCACCATGCCCTTGCCTACCCCCTTGAAGAAGCCCTCAAAACCTTCCTCCTTTGCTCCATCGATGGGTTTCATGAACACTCCTGTCACACCGTCAACAACTCCCTGTAGAAGAGGAGGTATTGAAGTGTTGCTGATTGTTCAGTGTACATTTACTGGCATACTGTACCACCATTTACATGAGAGTTTCATTCCAAAAAACTTGCCCTACCTCATTTATTTCAGCCCATTACCAGAAACTCCTGGTTATTTTTTTTTTCCAGGCCTTAGCACTATGTACGGCCCCCAGCTGTAGTGTGTTCCTACGATTGTAACCACTGGGTCACTAATAAGGTTGAATATTAAGTCATTTCAATCATGGTCATTACTTCTATGGGTCGTGGAGGCTTATCGTTAATTAAAAGAAGGACTCGCTTGCCAACAATGTCACTCACCGTAACAATGCCTTTTCCTCCTCTGGCCAGACTCTCAATGCCATCAGCAGGTTTGCGGTGCATTGCTTCCCGTCGCCTCTTCTGGTACTCGTCATCCAAGGTCAGAGCCGCTACACCTTTCCCTACACAACAAAAGCCAGTTAATGGTAATTCCTCTCCTACTTGTCACATTTCATTACTAAAATATAAAATAATTTCAATAATGTATTAGTGACTGACTACAACAGTTTAACATTAGTCACTACACAAGATCAACAGTTAAAGTTGTAATGAAGTATTATAAACATTTGTGGAATATTTAACACAACAGTAGTCAATATAGGTTCTTAAGTGAATTAAAAATAAGAAGAAAAAATTATAAAAGAAAGGAAAGAAGAAAAAGAAAAAGAAAAAAAGCAGAAAGAAGTTAGTTACCAATGGTTCCTGTGATGCGGGAGACAGCACCAGCAGCGCCCCCCACAGTCTTGCCCATAAAGCTGGCCACACCCAACAACATCCCCTCAGCAAACTCTCCAGGGCCTTCAATTGCTCCCTGAAACACAATCATACATATACAATCTGAAGACCTCACCTATATGCTTCACCCTCATGGCAGCCAAACCACCACATACAATTACTCAACAACTGTTTCAAGGATTCTTAAATGTTTATTCTATATAAGGTGAAGTTTATAATTGTTACAACATAGTCACTTCTACTTTAAATAAACAACTCTTAATGCCATTATAACACTCCACAACAGGGGGTACATCATAGCTCATAACATCATTATAACACTCACCTGAATGGGCTCATAGAACAAATCCTCAACTCCTTTGGTCAGTCCCACTACCAGGCCAAATGGGTTGCCAATAACATCAAGCCCAAGCACCAACACATAGAGCTGCTTAATCACTTGTCCGCGATAATGAACGATCATCTCCTGCACCAACTGATTCCAATTCATCCACTGGTTGAGGCGTTCCATGTAGGCCAGTCTAGAACACAAATAGGCTGGGTTAGTGAAGGAGTCTGCCAAGATTGGAGAAACATGTAACAATGACAGCAAGACCAAACTTGTACCCTTGGAAAAAAAAATTTCTTTCAGGCGGGATCTGATTAATTTTGAACTGAACAATCGTGTTGTCTCATTAGGGTTGGTAGGCATGATTGTGAGACATTTTTTACCTATTATGGCAGGCCTAATTTAGTTATTTAGCTCAAAATATAAAATTAGTTCATTACAATATGGTTGGTGAATAACAGTATGTCCCATGGGCCTTTACCAAAACCTTCATTCATGGCGTCATTTTGTTTTACACAAGAATTGTAAAGATAGTTTTTTATTGAATGTACAATTGTAGCACTGAAGGAAAATTTTCTACATGATAGTGATAATGACTTAAGTTTATCTTTATTATTACTGAATTTTTTAAAAATAATAATAAAAAATAAGCCTCAGAAACCATGTCATGTGAATGTTTCATAGTACAGTCAGCACTGGCTTAATGTACGGGCTTATAGGAACACACCACGCACGTCAACCGGACACTGACTGTACGGTATAAGTGAAGTGCAGAGTAACTACCTGAACACAACATCCTGGACCTCAGTAAGTGTGACACCAACACTCTGTAAGAAGAGATGTATCACTTGTCCTCCCACAGGAACACCGGCACCCGACTCTGTCCCGCTCAGTGAGAAGCTCAAGTGCATCTGCCGGAGGTGGTAAATGATTGTCACAGGTTTATGATTTATGTCCATTAATTACCATCTTGATTGAAGGGGGGTAATGTTAGACTAGTATGGGGGTTAAAAATACTACTATTATTATTACTACTACTACTACTTATAATAATAATAATAATAATAATAATAATGTGCACTTATATCCCTCCAACACAAAGTATATACTGCACCTTAATTGGGGAAAGATGGAGATGATCAAAGAAGTCCCTCTGGCCCCCGGCTGATTGACTCTTCACTGTTGTGGTCAAAGTCTCATGGATAATGCCAACATCATTTTCATATTTCTCTACCTGGAAAAAATAAACTGATTATAATAAAACAAGTGTGTCCATGAACTGACAAAAAACAAAATAATAATAATAATAATAATAATAATAATAATAATAATAATAATAATAATAATAATAATAATAATAATACATGACCAAAAACTGACCACAAGTTGCCTTAATGTCAATTGGTGCTATAAAGTTCTTTCACAGAGTTGGTAGAAGTGGCCATATAAGTACCTCAGATTTAAATAAAACTAGAGTATCACCAAGATTTCCCATGGGTATTAAAATATAGCAACTTTCTAAAATATTAAGATGGTAATCACACAAGAGACAATCATTACTCAAGTTACTAACACAAAAACAGCAGTGTAATTTGTCGCATTCGATTTTTCTTAGAACCTTGAGAAAGTTCCTTGGTATAATTAAAATACAGTTTATTTTCCATCACTCTTGCAAGGTCTTAATTCACACTCGTCCTTCAATGCCATTCATTCTAATACACACTCTTGCTTCACTGCCATTCAAGAAACTATGAACTCCATCACACAATCAATAATTCAGTTATACACTATTTATTAACTTATACTATTATATATTTATTCAATGACCATTTCATCACTTGCCAGCTCACCAGCTACTCAGTCAATTGGTCTGTTCTTTGTTACTTCGTTATGACCTTTATTATCCAGTGCCATAGTGAGTTTTTTCTCAGCTGAGAAAAAATGCCCCGCCCCCTCCTCAAGAGTTACAGCTAATTGGCTGTTGCAAACCTGTCCGATTTTGTCCTGAGTAATGATGTATTTCTAAACGAGTTTATTCATAATGACCGTTTCTGACGAAAGATATTTAACTAAATTATATAAAGATATATACCTTCATTATTTCCAACAGGAGCAGTTAGGAAGTTTATCAGAAGTATTATACGTGAATTAACTGATAAACTCGGGTAGCAAATTTACGCTTTCGGAGGATGCATTTAATATATACTTATTTTTAACCACAATAAGACATACTAAAACAAATTACATATCAGTAATATTACATTATGCAAAAACTAACATTATAAAAGATCAGAATCACATTGAAATATTACACGACTGTTAGAAGAGGCAGGAAAAATATGAAGTACCTAGTGATAATGGGTCAACTAATTTATGGAAAGTCTGTCTGACCTTCAAGTGATCCAATTATCTTACCGAGTAAAGGTCTGGAGACATCTCATTAACTGGGCTAACAATCTCCATGATGGCGAACACAAATGGCAACTCGACCTTCACGTGGAACTCTTGTATCAATACGGCCAGGTACTTGTATTGTGCGAATAACGGGGAAGTCAGCCTCTGGTAGATGCTCACCTCACAGAACGGCTTGGCCACTGATGGTAAGATTTTTACACTTATTATGGTTGTGATAATTTTTATTATTAAGGTTAAGTTAATTAGCATTTTGTTAGGTTAGGTTATTTTAGCTTGACATAGGATAGGATAGGATAGGATAGTATCAGGGTATTTAATCAACAAGCTTCTTAGTCTTCAAGAGAACCTATCAAAGATAAAAGTTTTTATACAATTATTACCTACAAACATCAAACAAAGACAAGTATAAATAAACTACCGAGCAGCTACATGGTGTTATGATGATAATACAACATCAACTCTTTCATTACAGGGACCCCCACTTTTAATATTTTATTTGGCTAATGCCAGAAGATTTTATTCAGCACAGAGGGGAGCCCGTACAAGAAGGGTTAACATACCAGTGTCAGCCATCACACTACGGGGAGGTGGGACTCTTGCCAGAACCACTGGGAACATCACATCCACCATCTGGTTGTCTATCTGCACACTGTTAACTTTGAGGTGTATCTGTTTCTGGTGAGGAGATGTTTTGAACTGGAAAAAATAAAAATAAAATTATTACAAATGGAATGTTTCAAAATACTATACTGTTATCGACAAAAGTTCACTCCCTGTGGTGAACCGAGTAAGGGGAATGGGCTCTCCAAACTTACTTACCCTGATTGTCATCCCTTGCGGGTGTGCTGTTTTATCTCATTTTGGGTCAATGTTGCTTCATTTTGGGAGGGAGCGAACTTTTGACCCCGACTGTACATTAACCTCACTACCCAGAATGTATTTTTAAAAAAATTTCCCCAGAGGAACCATCTGCAGTGTCACAATGTAATAATATCTGCATTATCATTCCTCTTAAATTTGATTTACTGTATTTACAAACACGGTAAGTCTCCCAATAATGTTTTAGAACTGCTACTACACTACAGCTGTGACCATTACCTGGAACCAAACGCCAGGCTGGAATGTTCGACGAATTTTTCGCTTGAATGGTTTACTGCACGTCATGGTAGAAAAGTCAACCTGTTGGAATACAAATTTTTATATTACTATAATTACAATTCCCGATATAAATCAAGCTTAATCAAATGCATTAAAATATTTCATGACATTATATTAAGGTTATTTGTGTGACTAAATAAATAACACCTAAATATGATGATAAAGATAATGACAGCGTGGTGGTAAGTCGCCAGTGTGCAGTAGACAACATACAAGATGGGTACTGTCAGCAATTGAGTTGTTAAAACTGTAAAATTGTTAGAGAGGATAGGCAGAGGTGTGATATAAGGCAACACATAGTACACAAAATATTGATATAAACTCAGGGGGGCACAACAAGAAATCACTTCTTTAGAGCAACTCTTAATTTGAAATAAGAAAGGCAATTATAACATTAAGTTAAGTGACACACTGATGTTGAATCTGGGCTAATAAAGTTCTACATTCTTCACACAGATGATCTGTATATTATATGTGTACATGGAAGATTGAATGATGATGGAATTCTCACTAAGAACTTCAGTACGTGAAGGGCAGGTGTGTGTGTGGTCATTACAATACTCACCTCCAGGGCTTTACCCAACTCAAAACTGCTCTGGATGAAGGAAGCATCAGCTATTGCCTTTATCTGATTCTGGTACACCTGGTGAGACTTCTCAATACTCTCTGTCTGAGCGTGGGTGAAAGGTCGGTGTTTCTTGCCTTTTACTTTGCGATATTCCCACACAACTCCCGAGCTGGAAAAGAAGAAAGAATAAACAGATACATAAACAAATCCTTCATATGGTGAGGCATTGATTCTTGTGTCAGTGATCTTTTGTCTATGGTCAATAATATGATTGAAACTGGATGATGCAACCATTGATGATGGAAGAATGTATATTTCTCCACTGTACTATTAACATGTATGCAGTATTGCATCAACTTTAGCACATTCTTTGAACCCTACCAATTTTAATATATTGCATATAGCATACCATCACCCTCACCAATGTTTTAGGGGAATTTACCACATGTGTATGTGTTAGTCATGATTATCTGAAGGCAGCTCTCCATGCTGCACAGTCTCTTACAGTTTCTCTTGCCAGGTTCTGAATTCTGAGGTTAATTCTCACAACCTTTCCTCATGTCATTCTTGACCTACCCCTGGCTCTCCTGCCCTCCACATTCAAACTCATGCATATCTTGATTCAATTATGATTGTTCAAGCAAGGAAGTCATACAACAACATAAGTAATGCCAAGGATGTTAACCTGGCCAGACACAACATACAATAGTACCAGGGATGTTACCTAGCCAGACTCAAGTACATGACCTCCTTCTTCTTGATGTCGTCAACTAAGGAAAGGCCGATGCTGCTGAGAGATAAGTTTATATCTTGATCACAGCGCTCCAGCTCCACAGCATTAAGGGCACTGCTAGCAATACTTATGTCATCAGTGAAGAGAAGACAGCGCTGGTTGTTGCTCAGGAACACCACCCAGTGGATTGAGTCGTTCTCCATCTTGCCTTGGTCATCCTGTCGTCAGTAATTAAAATTATAAAAATATTCAGGAGCATAAAAGTACAGTTTGGTTTGGTTATTGGATTTACAAGTTGCCTGTCTATATGATAGAAATTGGAGTAAATATCAAGATAACGAGAATCATAAGAGCTAAATGTTGATTAAGGAAATTGAGTGTTGATATTGGGACAATTTTGAAAGACAGCCAATATGACCTGAGGAAAATTGCATTTGCAGTTTTAAAATTTTGAAAAAGTGGAAATTCTATGGATGGATGATGAGGATAATGACAATGATGATGATGATGATGACGACGACGATGATGGTGGAGGGACAGATAAAAGTATAATTTCAAATATTCAAAATATCATTAAAACATGAAAAATTTATAAAACAAAAATAACTAATTAATAATAAAAGCATTATTTTGACTCCTAGACACGTACTATGCAAGACTACCAAGAACAATGGGAGGTTCCTACACTCGCTCCTCACCTGATCCAGCATGTGGGACACCGCCTTCCCTGACCCACAGGCCCAGAACATCTTGAGCGATCCTCCCGGCTCATTCCACGTGTAAAGCTGAGTACTCTGGGGTGATAATGACCTGGAAATATTTACATGTAACTTGCTCATTATTAATGTGGTAATGAACGATTTATCTAGAAGCATATGTATCCAGGGGCGGATCCAGGAATATAAAAAATTAGGGGTCCATGAAGTTGTAAGTGGGGGAACATGACAAGCACAGCAAGCTCACCAGCTGTAAGCCCCTCCCCCCAAGAAATTTTTTTGAAATCTGACCAATATCATAGGTATTTTGAGGCCATTTGCACCTGATATTAAGAGATATTCTGACGTTAATAGTAATTACTTTTTACTATACAAAAAACGCCCGAGTACAACACTGCATTAAAGAAAAAGAACTGCAATTTTCTGATGAAAAGGGAGGGGGAGGTGTCCGGTCCCCTAGGACCCCCCATCGTATTTGCCTTCTCAGAGGTATTCAGCTAATAATGTATAAATTTACATCTAAAATTCCACTCTTTCCAAGCACGTTCATAAAAGGTGTGTTAGTGAAGGACTGGCAGGTCTTTTTTGTACTAATTATGTGTTACGCGTGTTCGCCATAAGTTTCTGTTCTTGGTACAGTATGAAATACGTTGGTTCGGATGGTGTGTGGTTAGTTCGAGCAGTTTCGCTCATTACTTGTCCTCACTGAATGATTCATCATTTAAGTATTATCTTTGTTTATCACTTTGTGAATTTATCGTATTATGTTTGAGTATATTATATTTTATTGTATTAGGTTTGTATATGGGTTAGATAAGTGGAACTAATGTCAATAGATAATTTAGATAAAGTTTACGTTTTGGCCAATCAGGATAGGATACGTCAGTATTTGGCGGTAGAGAGGTGACATCGGTGACCACCTGGTAGGCGGCAGTCAGTCTAGGCACGGCTGTCTTGAGTTAAGTAGTACCCTCTCTCTGGTGTTTTGGGAGTTGGCATTTGACTATTAAGATTTGTTTTGCTTGATATTGATTTTGTGTGATCTTGTTGGACCTTCAGTCCTTACTCGGCCACTTCCAAACACCTTGTCGTATTATTATTGTTATTTATTTTATTTTATGTACAGTAGCTAAAACAACTATCTGTGCAAACTTTGTGGGAAACAATATGAGACCATGGACGATACATTTTGGTATATGAGGGCTGTCACTAGTCACACGTAAAGTTTCGGAGCATATCGACTCCCACCTACACAGATAGTTGTTTTAGCTACTGTACATATATGTGGTGGTGGGAATAGGTTAATAATGTTCATATTTTTATTGACTTGTTTAGGTTTTCACCTGTTAACTTGACCTTTGTTGGGGGAACTTGGGATTAAGAATATAATAATAAATACGGATATATTTGAAAGACTTACCGGTAAGCGATTTGTATTTATGTAACGATCTACCCTTGGGTCGTAACATTATGCATGTTATATTCTTTGTGAAATAAATACAGTACTGTATTTTATTTTAAAATTTTTGATAAATATTATATTCTATACAGTATTTCTATGAGTGCAGTACAGTATACATTTTTCCATGCCATAATGAGTGTTTGGATGAGTACAAAACAAATGCTATCAATACCTATGAACAATGCTTACATGTGTTCACTGTGTAATATTATTTTGTGAGTTTTTACAACCATAGCCACAAGAAACCTCAAACAAAATGAACAAAACCGTCCAGTTCAATGACACTAGCAATTGTTCCCCAAAACCCATAAGGCAACTGTCAAGTCAAGTTAAGATATAAGGTGGTGTAAGATACAGTAAAGGCAGTGTGAGATACTCAGCACTAATGAGGAAACTGCTGCTGCTTCAAATATTGTTTTTCTATACATCTGTACGAGTCATCCAAAGAAGTGTGCCTAATATTTCAGGAAATACGGTACAGGTACATTGCTTACATCTTGTTACTCTCGTGTTCGTCCTGCCAGAAAGAGATGGTTGTGTTGGTCAGCTGGTTGATGATGAGAGCCGTGGCTGCCCCTTGGAATATCTGGTCCAGCTTGATCACTATGCCACCTTCTGTGATGCTCACTTCTCCCAGGATTCCTCCATACTGTGGTGAATGAGAATGATAAATACATCTCCCATATAGTGACTACTGGACATGTATATCTTTTTCTTTAACTCCTTCACTACAGGGATGCCACTTTTAATATTTCATTCGGTTAACGCCCGAGATGTCTTCACCCTCGAGTACTATGAATATACCGGTAATGTCTTAACCCTTCAAATACTGTACAGTGGATTAAATGAAATAGTACTCTGGGGATTGTCATTGTAATTAAGGGCTGTGTTGTTGTACTCAAGGGGTTAAGGGAGTTACAACTACACATGAACACTCATTAACCTCTAAACATTCCAGCAGAAAAAAAAGTTAACAAATTAGAACAAATTAGGTTTAAAAACTGGATTTACCATCAAACTCATATGACACTATGGTTCAACTCACTTTGTTAGGCAGTGAGAGGAGTGTGCTCAGAGGGCCGTCGTATGGGAACCCAGATGTGGCATCCTTGGTGCCTCTCACACGCATTCGGATTTTCCTGCCCTCACCCACTGGCCACCACCCAATACACTCGCCTGCAATGTAACGAGCGTTTAGGTGCTGCAACCGACCACCTGAAAATTAGCCCCCCCAGCTTTTCCACCTCATGATTAGGCCCTAGCTTATTTCACCTGATGATTAGTGCTTAGCTTATTTCACCTGATGATTCAACACATTACTGCTAACCGGGGGATAATATTATATTATCCCATGTTGTGTTACATTATGCTTGGGTTTAACCAGATGGCTCATTTACCGTATGATTGTATATTATGGTTTTGTTTAAAATGGCTCGGTTTAAGGGTTCATATTTGATGTTCGCTTTAAAATTACTCATTTTAATTTTGGTGAGAGCAAATTATCTGTAGATTAGACCCCCTAACTTATTTCACATGAAGATTAACCACCTAACCTTCCAAGTACCTGTAGATTAGTCCCTAGGTTGCTTCACCTAAAAGATTAACCACTAACAAGCTAACCTCACCTGACCTCCCAGTAGCATTAGGGTGTTTAACCTTCAGGTGTAATAAGTAACTAATTGTCTTATCATCAGGAGTTACATCTTCACTAACTTTAAACTCCACTCAACCTTACCAGACAGGACTGTGAACCACTCAGCTTGTGGAACACCGACCTCAATAACTTCCAGGTCAATTGGAGCGTTGTTGAGAATTTTGTAGAAGGGCGAGAAAATGACAATCTTGGTCAAGCCAGAACTTCCCAGCTTGATGTCCACACCTAGCTGAAGAGAAACATTAAACATGTTTTTGAGTACTGTAACACCGTCTGTCCCTTAAATGAACATAAGGTGATCCAGGCAAGAAAAGAGACAACCAACAAAGCAGCTTAATATGTGTTTATTATACTGTACAATTATATTCTTCAAACTTCTTTCTTATTACCTGGAGCACCTCGTATAAGAGCAAGTGGTTGTGGCTTCATAACAACTTAAGGGATTTAATAGTATCAATGACAATAATAATAATATCTACTCAGTAAAATCAACATACAAGTTTACAGATAACCTTACCTGATAGTTCCTGTTGGGCGCCTTACAAGTGACGGATCCTGAACTGCCCACAACGTCCAGGGAGAATTTTTCAGACCAGTCACCGTCCATCACCTTAACTGTGGCTTTCTTCTTGCCAAAAAATGCCTTTGATTTGAAGGAGAAAAGGATGGCCTCCGAGCTGTCTTCCTCATGGACCACGATGTTGTTGGGTGTGTCTCCCTGTGTCGTGACAAGTACTGTTTATACATGTTACTTTATGGTGGAGTGAAGGTGAGGTTAGTTTAGGTTAAGTTAGGTAAAGTAAAGTAAGGTGTGGTAAGGTAAGGTCAGATAAGTTAGGAGTGGTATGTTAAGGTAAGTTAACTTCATGTCAGGTTAGGTAAGGAAAGATAAGGTAAGATCAGGTTAGGTTAGGTAAAGTATGGCCAATTAGAACAAAGAACATATACAAGTCAACCTGCAGCACATAGGACATATGAGCCGCGCATCACACACCATACACAGGGTATAATTACCAACTGCTCTTTGTCTAAGTAAAGTACATGTGAATCAGTCAGGGTTTTAATGACAAGCTTTTAGTTATTACGACAAGATCAACAGCGTTACGTAATATAAACTGGCTGGCGGATATAGGTATGTCTAACATTTTAACTCGTGGTAATATGATTCTAAAATGTCTCCTCTACAAAACTATCTGACACTATGATTCTAAAATGTCTCATCTACAAATGTTTCGTCTAAAATAATTCATTAATAATATACCTAAAATATCTCGCATATAATCATAATGAAATTGGACGACACGACACGATAAGTAAAGCCAGAAAATGTCACCGCTGATAATGTTAATGTTTTCATGACATATTTATGAATATTACTTGTACTGTATTTGTTTATTAAATGATTATGGTAATGATGATTATAATGATGTTGATGATGATGACAATAATGATGATGACAATTTTAATAACAGGTCTTCAATCATGTTCCCCTTCAATAACTCACTATTCACACAATTCATGCTCTCAGTGTGCTCAAAAATCCTCCATGCAGCAAAATACAAAATCTTGAAACATTATCATTTCTACTTCTTTATCACACAGGAGGAGTTAATATTTGGGAAGATTTCTAAATGCCATCAATCAATTGTAATTAGCAGTGTTATGTAATGATCAGTTCTCCATTTTACAGTATGGTATATTTTCTTGTTCCACAGTTAACGTAATCGCACACACAAAAGTGATACAAATTAATCGTTAGTTGGTGAATGGGCATTATGGTAGTTTATTAAAAATAATGACAATTCAGTCCAGTACTATAGTCTGTTCACTCAAACCTTTCATCTGAGGCCTAGGATCAGTTTGTAGCCAGGCAGCTGATTGGCTGATAGATGAACACAGGAAGTCACTACAGTTTATTCTGTGTTGATCCCTGACAATTTCTATATTTGAGGAAGCAAAAATAAGCATGTAAAACAATGTGGTAACATAAATATATTGAAGAGAACAAGAAAAAGGTTAAAAAATTTCAGCAACATCCTCCACTGGGCTGCATGTTCAACATGGTCATATTCTGTTCAAGTAATTTATGTTACCAGAGTGTTTCACAAGCTAATTTTTCTTCCTCAAGTGTGGAAATTATCAGAGATCAACACAAAATAGTTATCATCCTTGAAAATATTATAATATAAATATGATAGATTAAGTACTAAAGACTAGTGACTTTTCCAGTGTCCTGCCAGCCAATCAGCTGCCTGGGTACAAACTGACCCTTGGCCTCAGTTACAAGGTTTGAGTGAACAGACTATAGCTGGTAAACTTGTGTTAAGGAAGTTCATCAAAAATTTTAAAAAATTCATTGCTAGTTGGGCGAGTGCTATGGTAGTTCATCAAAACCACACACAAGTATAAAGGATAGATTGAGCAGCACCACTCACCAGCCTACCAATACTGGATGTTGTGGACGCCAGAGATACAACTGATGCCCAACGCTGCAATAAAACCAAATGTCACTTGCAGTTTGCCCTTGTTGCTTTACATCATTAGAGTTCTTATTCTACAATTGTTAGCAGCAGTCTAGAGGTTCCCATGTTAATACATAATACTGATTGTTGCAGTTACTTTACATGAGCCAGTTCTAAAAGTACTATACTATACTATACTCATTTTATAGTCACCTGGACAACAAATAATAAGACTTAAACCATTAAAATCTTTGAAGACATTTTCCATCACAATTACCATCCCAAGTGGGGAGAGTACATTTGTCTACCCAAAGTGAGGAGAGCACTTTGTCCACACCTAGTGAAGAGTACCTTTGTCTACCCCAAGTGTGAAGAGTACCTTTGTCTACCCCAAGTGAGGAGAGTACATTTGTCTACCCAAAGTGAGGAGAGTACTTTGTCCACACCAAGTGATGAGAGTACCTTTGTCTACCCCAAGATAGGGAAACACCTTTATCTTCCAGATCTTATACAATCTTCTTTTTGCCTTTATCACTCTGTCTACTTCATCATTTCCCCACCATGTTACTGCATGCCTTGCTGGGCCCTAAGTCCAGCCACACATCTTGTCAACCGCACTCAGCAGAACATCCTTTATTACGGCTCAAGATCCCACTACACAACTTCTCTCATGGTCACTAGGTGTTTCCAGTTTCTCAACTCGGCATAAAATCCTTCTCGTACATTCTGTTCCTTCAACTTTAACACTCTCCTTCTTGGAACATACTACACCTTCTGAACAACATGTCACACATAAACAATCTGTGCTGAAGGCCACATTCTTCCTCTGCTCTTACCTTTACATCCTCTACATTCCCAAGATGTCTGTCTGTCTGTCAATCATTCCTGAAGCCTCTTACACTTAAATATGATTCATAATAATATCATAAACAATAATTTACATTTTGATTCTTAGAATAAAAACTAAAAGGGCAGTATTTCATGCATAAATGGGACTAATCTCAACCCTTAAACAGTGGCCATCATCAGAAGAAGTTAGCTGTAGGGACGGTGGCCACCATCAATGTAAATTTCATATTCTTATATTCATTGCATATCATTTCTTCACATATACGGGGGCATTAGGGGATCCTCAGCCGCCGGTTAAGGGTTAAAGGTAACGAATTAAACTACAGTATAAATATCAAACATAAAACCATCCATTAAGAGAGACCAACCGGGTGTTCATAAATTATATCCCACAACAAAACTTAATAACCTCAACAATACTAAGGACAGAACACAAGACACACATGAAAGTCAATTATGCCAAGAAAAAACTTATGAATTCTTTGTCAAGTATAATAAAACTGGAGAGTTTTATCTATAATGCTTTTGAGGTTAACCCCTTCACTACAGGGATGCCACTTTTAATATCTAATTTGGTTAATGCCAGATGATTTTATTCAGCACAGAGGGAAGCCTGTACACAAGTGGTAAGTTATAAAATGGGTCAGACAATTTATGGCCACCCTGTACAATAAATACATAGATAATAAAAACACATGTAAGATAAATTGACAAAATATAATTACTGTACACACTAAGTGAAGTATCGTATGCACTAAAGAGAGTATCCGACACACTAAGTAGGTACCACGCTAACTATCTATCATACATACAAAATTAATATCAAACACACTATGTGAATTATCAAAAACTACTGGATTCAAATTTTGGTCATAGTTTCACCTACTAGAGTACAGTATTATAAACTACATCGTCATACAGAAATAGCTTAATTATTATGCTTACAATACATTTATGTTAATTTATAACATATACAACATTATGAGTTTTCAATCTGTAATTTATTTTGTGAATGTGCACCTTGTGAGTTAACTGTTATCAGTGAGTTTTGTGAGTAAACTGTGTGCTGAATGTCTTCTGTGAGTAAGCTGTGTTGGGCGAGTCCTTCTGTGAGTAAGCTGTGTTGAGTGAGCGCTTCTGTGAGTAAGCTGTGTTGAGTGAGCCCTCCTGTGAATAAGCTGTGTTGAGTGAGCCCTCCTGTGAGTAAGCTGTGTTGAATGAGTCCTTCTGTGAGTAAGCTGTGTTGAATGAGTCCTTCTGTGAGTAAGCTGTGTTGAATGAGTCCTTCTGTAAGCTGTGTTGAATGAGTCCTTTTGTGAGTAAGCTGTGTTGAATGAGTCCTTCTGTGAGTAAGCTGTGTTGAGTGAGTCCTTTTGTGAGAAAGCTGTGTTGAATGACCTTCTGTGAGTAAGCTGTGTTGAGTGAGTCCTTTTGTGAGTAAGCTGTGTTGAGTGAGTAATTTTGAGAGAGAATTGGGTTACAGGTGGGTAAGTTTGAGAGGCTGGTGAGTAATGAGCAAATTAGCCGGATGCAGGGCAATGGTATAAGTCTCAGGACTATGGTACAGTCTCAGGGCAATGGGACACTCACACGGCAATGGTACAGTCTCAGGGCAATGGTACAGTCTCAGGGCAATGGTACAGTCTCAGGGCAATGGGACACTCACATGGCAATGGTACAGTCTCAGGGCAATGGTACAGTCTCAGGGCAATGGGACACTCACACGGCAATGGTACAGTCTCAGGGCAATGGTACAGTCTCAGGGCAATGGGACACTCACACGGCAATGGTACAGTCTCAGGGCAATGGTACAGTCTCAAGGCAATGGTACAGTCTCAGGGCAATGGGACACTCACACGGCAATGGTACAGTCTCAGGGCAATGGTACAGTCTCAAGGCAATGGTACAGTCTCAGGGCAATGGTACAGTCTCAAGGCAATGGTACACTCTTAGGGCAATACTGCACTAATGTCATTTTGAATGTGAACTATGTATCACCTCTAACACCAGTGCACTACCATTGACACCATTACCACCATCAGATTACCATTACCACCATCACATGTAAGAGTTTCCTCCATGTATCATCTACTGGGTATGTTAAGAGTTTCCTCCATGTATCATCTATGTTAAGAGTTTCCTCCATGTGTCATCTACATTAAGAGTTTCCTCCATGTATCATCTATGTCAAGAGTTTCCTTCATGTGTCACTGTACAGTTTTAATGAGCAGCTCAGTTCTGTTAAGTTTTTCATTTTACTTGCACAATAATTAATGCTGCTGTAAATTATAAAATCTAATTAAACAATGAAGATCATGCAACTAATGAATGGTGAAAATATTATAAATGCAACGATGCAAATTAATAAAATAAAATAATAAACGAACTTAAGAGGTGCATTGAGAGCAGCCATGTTTGCAAAATGTCTATTGCAGAGGCGGAGCGATGTGCAACATATGAGTCAGAGATCAACAGCCATAGTATATACCTTGAGTGGGCTACTGGGAGAGTCTGTTGAAGACGTCGATGATGTTCGCTCTATTTTACGAGATTTCTGCACATTGTATGGTGGAGGGAGGGAGAGTTGGGTTTAAGCATACCATAAGCCTATCATCTACAACACTTCTTAAATCATTATTATTCATCACAATCATGTAATTAAATTTCTTTGGGGATTATTTCTGCATCAAAGTTTATAATTTATTTGTGAGGTGCAAATTTTTTTAAAAATACCCAGGGTGAAATAATGTAAAATATTTAAGAAAATACACAAGAAAACAAAATTGATTTTATACAAATATTAAATTCAGATAAAGCTGACTACATTGACCCAGAGGATAAGACACACAATGACGGACACTATACATATACAGCCAATCCAAAAGGTATCGAGACCCAAAGCATCCAAAAGACCATGAAACGTTGGGTGAAGACCAACCAAACCCAACTGATATTTGAAAGCCTGTGAGGTTATCGCTTGTTTTCTACTCCACTGGACCCTAGGGTCACGATACTTTTGGGATTGGCTGTACAAACACATACGGTATACACAGCAACAAGTATATGCACACTTACAAATGCAGTACATAGGTCAAGTAAATCACAAAAGGTACAGTAGAGGTAACGTGGCAGCGCAACATACCCTGTACGTCAACATGAGTCCCGTCTTGTTGACCATCCAGAAGGGGCAGTAAAGACTAAGTGAGAAGCTCGCACCAGACTTAGCGACCAGCATACCAAGGTCGAGGTGCAGGGGCCCACCCATGATGTCTCCCCGCGACTCAAATGTCCACACACTCAACTCTGGGGGGTTCATCTCCAGGGACTTACCACAGACCCAGTCCCGAGACTGATAGTCCAGCAGCTGAAATATAACAATGGTACCTATATTAGCATTTGTTGTAAGAATTATCAGTACAGTAGTTATGTTAATAAAGTTAGCCTAGGCACTGTTAGTTGCTGATACAGTTAGCTGAGAAGTACAAACAGATCCTGGCTCACTGTGTGGTAGAATAACCCACACCTGGGTAGAAAAATACTTGTAATTAACCCTCTTGTGCATGATAATGCAATTCACGTCATATTCATGATAAGACCAACTTCACGGTGATGTAAATCAAGTCACCAAACTTTAAAAAATTCGGCCAAATTAAGTTTTCAACAGAATTGCATCAAATTTTGATGCATCATAGAAGCAAATAAGTTATATCAAATAAACTAATTGGAAACTCTCGAGGCCCATAGGAATGGAAGACTGGAACAATAAATGCGCAGTATTATCTCCATGCGGGCTGCCTCAACAACTGGATTACAGTGCTTATAGTGGCATATGTATATAGGGGAGCGGGGCACTCGGTCATGTCCTCACCACTACTACTACTACTCCTTTACAACTTCTTCCCTTGAACTGTTTGTCCACAAAGATACGGAAGTGAATTGTGATGATGTTGATCAATGAATTAGGTCATAAGAACAGATTACTTGACTTTGGACTTCATAAGTAAGCTGATACTATGTTCTCTCTCTCTCTCTCTTCACAAGTAAGCTAGTACAGTACTCTCATTTTCTCTCTCTCATCACAAGTATGCTAGTACTGTACTGTTCTCTCTCTCTCTTCACAAGTAAGCTTGTACTCTTTCTCTCTTTACAAGTAAGCTTGTACTCTTTCTCCCTTTACAAGTAAGCTTGTACTCTTTCTCTCTTTACAAGTAAGCTAGTACTCTTTCTCCCTTTACAAGTAAGCTAGTACTCTCTCTCTCTCTCTCTCTCTCTATCAACTCCATTGCCAAGAACTTAATTTTTCAACAATCCTAGAAGTGAAAATGGGTTTTCTTTTTACATGTATGTATATTTTTTGATAAGGAAATGTTGTGTTCTATGAATACTTTATAATTTTTTTTATAACAGTTTCCAAAAATGCAACTGCAAATTAAACCTACTGTATATCTGCTTATTTTATTGTTATGTAAATAAAATATGTTTGCTAAAAAAAGCGAATGAAAAAAAAGTATCTTTTTACAAAGCCTTTATCTTGAGACTTGCCCCCCCCCCCTTTTTCCATGAACATATATGCGTCATTCAGTGCTTACCCTACTCCCTGAAATAATTTATTTTTAGTGTTAGAGAAGCGAAGTGATGGTTGTGTAACGTAATATTTTTCATATTTACAGGGAAAGTGTTTAGTTTTCGAAAGCCGTTACAGTGTCAGGCTATACAACCTCGTTATAGTGACAATGTCTCAAAAAAAGTCTCTGAAAGAAGATGATTTTCTAGAACTCCTGTTTAGGGACAGTGAGGATCAAGTGGATAGTGATAATAAAGAGCCTGGTAGTGAAAATAATCATGATAACAACAAAAAAAGTCTTGAATATGAGGAAGAAATTGTGTCGGTTGCATCCACATTATCACACGGCTCACACCACCAGCGACTCCCTCTACCACCAACAACGTACCACCCTCACTCTCTTCACCACAACCCACATCCCAAGCTTCTCCTTCATATCTCTTGCATTATTCAAGCCTCATACCACCTGCTACCTCCCTTCCTCACCACCCAGGTGGTCCACCATCCCACCACATGCCTCCCACGATCACCAAGTACCTCCCACACTCCACTTATCAGCTACATTACATTGAAATCCCTCTCCTTCTCTACTCCACACTCATCCACACCCATCTGCATCCCCACTCACTCCACACACACAATTATTCACTCTCTTATCCATTTTACTCAGGCTCATTCACTCACTTCCTCCCCCAAAGTCCATCTACAAGTTCTGGAAGTCTTCCACCTCACTGAAGGACGTGAGTACAGAATGGTCTTATTTTATATCAGTACAGAATGAATTTATTTTATTATATATTTTCTGTTATTTTATATTGCATTTTGTTATAAGATATTGTGTTACTTTCTTTTACTATATGACAATCATGCGATGTGGTTGAATTCCCATCCACCTATACAGTACTGTATACAGTATATGATCATATTTTATATTATAATACAATTTGTTAGTATGGTATATTTTTTTTATAATTTGTTATTCTCGTACATTATACTATATACCCGTACCATGAGTCATGCAATGCGGTCAACGCACTCCAGCGTGTATATTAAAAAAAATAAAAAATCAAGCGTTACAAGAATTTTATCAGTACCATTCTCTTCATTATAGTGCTGGTTACAAGGTGCAATATAATTTATATCGATATAAAACATAGGTAAAAATAATAATAAAAAAAAAGAATTCCCATTTCAGAATAAATTTTTTGCTATTTTCTCAAAAACGTTTGGTCATATCAGAAATCTGATTACTGCGTTGGAAAGCTCATTAAATTCTGCTTCTAGCAGTGTACAATATAGGTATAGTACTTAAAAAGTTGGCTCAGACAATTTTGAGCTAAAAAGTTGTTGACATATTGGTGTGTATTTTTTTCTCTCATGTTTATTAGAAGTGACAAAAAAGCTATATACTGTACTTGTATTATTATTTCTTTTGTTTTCACCTAAGTTGTAGAGCAATCAGTTACAAAGCCAAAGATATATTGCTTATGCCAGTAAAAACAAGTCTGGGGGAGGAAGTTGATAAAGCAAAAAAATTATTCACTGTGCGCTGTCTCGTCTGCCCTGGGGGCCTCAGAGATGAGATACTGGAAATGGAAAACTTAAAACTTATCTCGTGCATGAGAGGGTTAACTGCATGACAGGAAGTTACAACGTGTTATTTGTAGTTACATATACTAGGTCTGAAAAATGGCAGATGAAATTGGTCTGAAAAATGGCAGATGAAATTCAATGTGGACAAATGTAAAGTACTCAGTTTAGAAGATGTAAACAGGGAAACCAGATCCCAGATGAACAACGATGTACAAAGGAGTGTTAGTTACAAGACTAGCGAGGTCATCCTAAAACTATATCTTGTGCTTTTGAGACCTTACTTGGATTACACAGATCAATTCTGGTCACCGTATTACAGAATGGATATAGAATCCTTGGAAAAAATTCAGAGGAGAATGACAAGACTAATCCCAGCAATTAGGAACCTTGTTGAGTACAGAGACAGGTTAAAGCATCCTAATTTGCACTCCCTCGAGAGACGTAGAGTGAAGGGCGATATGATAGAGGTGTATAAATGGAAGTCGAGCTAAACAAAGGGGACATTACAAAGGTACTCAAACTATCCAACCAAGAGCGAACTCATAACAATAGTTTTAAATTAGACAAATTTAGATTTAGGCGCGAAATAGGTAAACACTGGTTTGAAAACAGAGTAGTGGACTAGTGGAACAAGTTACCAAATATCATCATTAACTCAAATACACTGGATAGCTTCAAACATAGGTTGGATGGATATATGAGCAATAGGGGTTGGGTGTAAATGGGACTGCCCAGTATGGGCCAATAGGCCCGCTGCAGTTTCCTCCATTCTTATGTTCTTATGTGCCATCTGTAGTTCCAGATACAGTACATGGTATAACGTGTCAACTGTAATTCCATCCATGGTACAGTATAATGTGTCACCTTAAGTTCCAGATACATGGAGCCCAGTCGAGCCTTGGTGAGGTGAAGGGATGAGCCAGGCATGATGACACAAGAGACGATGGTGCCGGGAGGGTCCAGGGAGATGGGCACTGGCAGGAGGTTGTGTAGCACCATAGGCGGCCGCAAGTGAACCTTGTACAGCGCACTCTTCATGGTGCGGCGGCTCGTGTTCTCCCACAAGATTTGTTCCACATCTCCTGTTGCCTGTTAACACAACACAGGACACAAAGTAGTCTTGGGTCCACTATCACAAGTGATGACTGTTATACAGTACAATACAAGGCACCAAGTAGAGGCAAAATTGATAAGGTCATAAACTGTGTACAAAAAACTAATGTAATATTCACAAAAATTCTCCAATAATAAAAAATAAAAAAATTGAGGAAACATTAAAAGATAATTCCTAAAATCTGTGTCAAACTTTTTACATTTTGTTGCCAATTAATACTTTATAAAATTACATGTTTTAGATACAATGTTTTAGTAACCTTAAGACAAGTCATGGAAGTACAGTACACCTTTATCATTAACTGGACAATGAGCATCATAACATAGAACAGACAAATGCCCAAATGGCTCGCAAGTTGATAATATAATAAAGAAATATGGTGGCATGAGTAACGACCATTATTCACAGCAGCAATAAGGGGATGGTATGGTGGTACACTATTACTAATAACAAAGAGAAAGATGGTGGCATGGGAGAGAACCATTACTCACAGCAATAAGGAAGGGTATGGCGTGCACCTCATGAACATCTCTGGGTACACACTGCAGCTCTTGTACGTGGCCGGGGTTGTTCTGGAGGACACGCCACACAAATGGTACGATGCACACCGAATGTCTGGAACATAACAGGTTACAATTTATTTATTTTAAAGTTTTACCTCTGCATCCAAACTTATTTCTTTGCTTTGTATTTCAAAACTGATGAGAGGATGACCAACGATAATCCTTGAAGATAACACACATTATTTATCTACTGTACAGTACTTCTTGTGTAGTAAAGTAATAACTCACCCTTTAACAGAGAAGAACAGTTCAGCAGTAGGGGTGTAGACAGCAAGTAGGGGCAACATAGCACACTCGTCCTGCTCCAGTGACAACACAAACTCCACCTCATTTCCTCGTTCTGTCATGTAGTAAACGTCCACCGTCACGTCCAAATGGTTGGTCACCTGTAGAGTTAATAATATTAATAACTATTTCATAATATTTCAAATATCCATAAAACTGATGAGAAAAAAACTGCCACAGTTGTTTTATATACAGTACTGATATATGTTAACTCTGACACAAACACCAGACAACACTGGTAATGATGTATGTGTGAGCCACGAGTTAATGTTGTCCTCTGTACTGTAATGTATGGTGGGTGAGCCATGACACACCCTGTACAGTATGGTGGGTGAGCCATGACACACCCTGTACAGTATGGTGGGTGAGCCATGACACACCCTGTACAGTATGGTGGGTGAGCCATGACACACCCTGTACAGTATGGTGGGTGAGCCATGACACACCCTGTACAGTATGGTGGGTGAGCCAGGACTGCTGAATCTAAAAAACTCCATAGCCTTTAAGAGTTTTCAAAATGTGTGAGAATACTGTATCTTGAAAACTCGGAGTGATGGAAACAAACTTCGCTGCACAAAATGTATACATTGTAAGTCTTATTGGAGCATATATAATACTCCATGACTGACAGATCCATGCTTGTGGTGGTGATGTGTTTGTGTGAGAGAGGGACTGACTCTGATACGGTTATGCAATACACACTGGTCCTCTGCTCTCTTCCCGAGAGGATACCATCACCACTCTTAGAATTATTTTACCTTTAAACCTTACCATTTTTCTGACCTGAATATGTGTTGAACTGTTGAAGCCTGGGCTGTCAGCTGATATTTTGTCAACATTAATTTAGTACCTTTATTCAACGCTAGTGTACAATATTGATTACTAAATGTCCATTCACCATCTTTTACTGTGCATTGATGGTGCCTCGGTGAGTCAGCTGATGAGCCTTAAACAATATGCATCCATTCTCCCACACATTGTTTTTAGCACTATATTTTTATTATACCAATACTGTAGTCCTATAGAGAAACTGGGGTAAATTAGCAAACTGTTCAATACAAATTATTTCAATATAACATCTTTCAAAATCATATGTTCTATATATGAGGTCTCCTTCACTTTTGCAGAAGGCAAAATTCTCATTCACCTGACAGTCTATTGATTTTTTAATCGGACTTGCCCTAAATATTTTCCACTCGCCACGAAAGAGCGGGCGTATATGATTGGACAGCCTTGGTGACCTATGTCACACCCTATACAGTATGGTGGGTGACCTATGAAAAACCCTGTACAGTATGGTGGATGACCTAGGAGAAACCCTGTACAGTATGGTGGATGACCTAGGAAAAACCCTGTACAGTATGGTGGGTGACCCCTGACATCCTGTACAGTGGTGGATGACCTATGATACCCTGTACACCTGTTCATCACCTGTACACAGGAGCTGAGGGTGATGGTCTTACAGCCATTCTCCACCGTTATTCCGGCCACAAGACCCCACTTCTCACCGCCCTTCATGTGATTCACTTCAAAAAACCTCTTGTCGGCTCGAGCGACGGGAATGGAACACGAACATTCGAGACTTGGGATCTGTCATAAAAAAAGTCATAGGAGCAAATTAATTTTTTCATGGCAAATGGCATTTTTGGGGGATCCGGCCATGGAAACGAAATAAGTGTCCAAAAGGTTAAAACTCTTTCAAAGGCAAAAATATGGTACAAAAGGACATGGATGATTCGGTTAGTTTTAACAGTCAATACTGTACCTTAAGAAGAATGTTGCGGTCCTGGATGGTCTGACACTCGGCCACCAGTGACATCACTCTCTTGTGTTTGGGTGTCAGTGGTTTCATTTCAAACAGGTCAACTTGAGCCCCTGACTCCACCGTCACTTGTTCCACTTTTTCTCCGCCGTCTGATGCAACCTGACGACAGAGTGACAAAGATTGACGACTAGTCTGCATCAGCTTAACCCATGAGGATGATGGTTTAACACATTGTGCAATATAGATTAAAAAATTGTCTGCAAAGGGTTGTCATACATGTGGTTAACAAAAATTTTCATAACCACATCATGTACATTATGTAAACACTAACAGTACTGTATACAAGCACATCTCTTATTGCGGACAAGATGTGTTCCTGAAGAGTGTCCTTTAGAGTGAGGCTCTGTTATAAGAGGTCTGCTTCTATTAACTTATTGGATGAGTGAGGTGAGGGAGTTGAACTTGTAAGCCTGGAATCTAACACTTATTTCCACTGGCCCTTAGTATTTTTGTATAACATTTCTATTTGCTCCGTGTTTATCAAAAACATAACCGCCGTGTACATCAAGGGTCAACTATATAGCAAATACACCAAAAGTGAAAAATACAATAAGTACAGAAAACTAAAAACATGTTTGTGAAAATCATCAGTCCTCTGTTTCATGAATGGAAGTATGCATGGAAAACAGCCATAAAGTGATAAATGATAATGATATACAACAGAAAATTAATTCACAAAACTGACCCGAAAACCTGACTGCATGACGGACACACTGATGTGCATCCCAGTGCGATTTACAATGCGGTATGGAGCACGAGGCGCCTTGGCCCCTGTCACACTCCTATTATACGCCTCGGAGAATGCTTCAGACACTGACGTAAACACTTCTATTGACGTTCTGGTCACCGTCAGTTCAAGTGAATCCTGTAATTTATGACATAATTTAAAAAATAATTAGTACATTTATAAGACATAAAATTACAACATGATAACCTACAACTTTATTACTAATAAAGATACAACATTATCTACCTCACTATCAACTGTGAGTGTGTGAAGATTTCTTTCTTAGAAGTTTCCTGTCACTTTCTACAGTTTTTCTAGGCACTCTCCTGTCACTTTCCTGTTATTTACAATATCCTAAGAAGTCTTCACTGTTGAATATTCCATGATCTCCCCACAAACACACACACACATATCATCTTACAAGTGAATCAACACAAACACGGTAAGTCATACCTTAGCGGTAACAGACACAGTACACAGGGGGTCTGGAAGTGGATATTCTTCAAATTCTTCAACCTCGTCAGCATCTGGAGAAGCCACGGGACTAACAGTTGAAGACGCTTGTGATGTTCCCCCGGACAGTTCCTTGGTCACCTGTGAAGAGTGAACAGTATATACAGAGTACAGTAAAATATGCCTTAAAATAAAATTAAAACACTATACAGTAATTATCATATATACTGACTTACATGTCGACTTTTGAAGCTTAAAAATTCCCCCAAAATCCAGAGGTTGACTTATGCCCACAGTAAAATACTTGAACCTTTAATTACTGATGAATAACATCCAAACTAGAACAGAAATGATCCCACACAATGTAGGTGGTATTTCTATTAAATTGTACAAACATAAAATCAGTATTTTACTATACAGTATTGCAAAAAATGATCTATAAATACAAAATGCAAAAATATGACCAATCTATTTGCCTCTGGGATCAAAAAAGGTCAGTGATGGCTAATAATCATATTGCAAGTTAGAGTTGTCTTTTGATTGTAGAAATTATTAAGCTACAACCAATGGCAGTAAAATAAGTCACACTACTACACATTCTCACCTCAAATTGTAGTGTCCAGGGTGTGTGTTCAGGAGCACCATATTTACCTCGCATCTCCACGGGCTCCAACAGTGGCTCCCACACTGCCAGTCTGGGGTTGTAGTATGCCAACTCGGTGCTCAGTTGCCCATTAAGGTTGACCTACAAGTGTGTGATATTTAAATAGTATTAGCTCAATATTTTGCTTTTCACTTATACTGAATCAAGGAAATTATACATACAGTATAAGAAATAAAATACAACAAATTAACAATGTCAGTGGATCAAGAGAGTATGACAAAGGCAAATTTCTTGAGACATCCTTTACAGCAGGGCCAGATTTAGGTGTGGGCAGAGGGGCCTCTACCACTGCAGGTAATAATTATTAACAACTATAAAATAAGTGTGTAGTGTTCCCCAAATTTACAGTGTTCACCATAATATGTGCAATTGTGCAGTGCTCATGCTGGTTTTGTGTAGTTAAAGTATCTACAATAATATTGCTTAGATTATTTCAAGAAGACTTCTTAAAAAAACATGACACAAAAAATGACACTAGATTTCCTAATCTAGTGACTTTTAGGTCACAATATTGACTCGGAATTCGGACAGAACGAGTTAACAACAGTGTTGCTCGTTCAGTCGCTGACAGGTCCAATATAGTGCGGGGCAGGACTCGCACGCTATTTAAGACCTTTATTTTATTTTAGTTTTTTATTTATTTATTTATTTTTTTTTTTTATAAATGCAATGTGCTTTGTGTATTTGTTCACTGTTGTGCTATGCAGTACTTCATTATGAAACACCCTGCCCAGCACATTTACACACTTACCCTCTGAGAACGGAAGCCCGTGGCAGTTGCTGAGATGCTGGCCTGAAGCTTGATAAGTGGAATGGGTGAGGTGAGTGAACCAGCCTCAAGAGTGACCAAGAGGCACTCCATCGCCACTAAGGCCATCTCCCCACCAAGGCTGCCACTGACTGGTGACACGGCTTCCGTGACATCTACTGCGAAGGCCTCAAATGCCTCCTCTGTACAGACGAACAAATTGGAATATGCTCATTGAAATTAAAAAGTCACAGGTTAACACACACACACTAACACACCTACAGGTTAACACATAAACCTTATAATTTGTCCTGTTGACTGCATAATGAGGAGTTCCACCATGATGCAGACAGTCTCTCAATAGAACTACATGCACTTTGTACATCCTCTTTCTTCTTCTCTTCTCCAACATCAACAACCAGCTATATCCAAGTCACAAGTCAGGGAACAGTTTCTTACAGGAGTTTGAACAACACCGGCGCTCGTTCACCAAATCACTTAACTCATAACAGAAGCAAACATATGTAAGGAAGGCACTCACAACCACCTCACTGATTACAAAGGTTATGATCAGCTACCAATACAACCACAAAAATAAAAGACTATTGGTGAAGTTTTGCATAGAGGAAGGCCGAGATGATTTGGGCAAGTGGAGAGAATGGATGAGACCAACTGGATCAAGAAGTACATGAATCTAATTGTGGGAGGGAAGAGAGCTACTGGTAGGGCAAAAGGGACATGGGGATAGGTTGTAAGAAATAACATCAGAGTTTAAGACCCTGAAAAGAGAAGCTATAAGAGACAGTGCAACATGGAGAGAACTGCCATTAGGTACTACAGCTGACCCATGCAAGTGTATAAAGTGAGATAATGATGGAGAGGATGATGAAGAGGATGATGCTGATGAAGAGGATGATGCTGATGAAGAGGATGATAATATTGAAGAAGAGGAGGATGATGACGATGACTCACCGACAGCCAAGAAGGAAAACTCGACATGATTCAGGGGCTTCGGCTTCCAAATTCCTGTCCAGTCACGCACATCTTCTTTCATATCTTCTGATGGTGTCTCCAAGGTTGACAACACTGTCAGGATGCTGCTCAACAATTCAATGGTCCCTGTTGGTGAAGAAGAGCATGGAGAATTAACCCTTAAACTGCAATGTCTCTCATGAGAACAGCTTTTTGTTTACACCTCCAGTAATAGGTGTAAACAATCAATGCTACTTGTTTACACCTCCAGTAATAGGTATAAACAATCAACATTACTTGTTTACACCTCCAGTAATAGGTGTAAACAATCAACATTACATGTTTAAACCTCCGGTAACAATCAACATTACTTGACTCACCAGGAGACACACGTAGATCCACCTGACTCAGCTTCAGGTCGACGTGCTCGGCGTGGCTGGGCGTCACACTGCACATTAGAGACAACTCACACGGGTTCAAGATCTACAAGGAACGAAAATTTTTACAAACATCAACTTGATCACAAGAACACTGTAGAAGTCACTCCAAAAGGTAAAGAAAAATTAATCTAACACTAACCACATAATCAGTTAAGGCAATGTGATAAAAGTGCAGTAATGTGTTGAATGACTTTTGTTGTACATCAGGAATTCAATAAGAGTGACGTTTCTTCCTGTATGGCAAATTACAAAATTGTGATATTTCAATCATTTTTGCACTACTTATGATGATCAGGCTCCCAAGTTTATTTTGTCTGAAGAGTAACCACCCTAATGCTACCTGGGGATTGTGTAGGGTAGGGTAAGGTAGGGTACATTTGGTAAGGTAAGGTAAGGTAAGGGTAGATTAGGTTAGGTTAGTATTACATTAGGTTAGGTTAGCATTAGGGTGATTCATCTTCAGGTGATCAAACATTACCAACAACAGAACATCAGCAACAAGAGAGAGAGATAGAGAGAGAGAGGGAGCATCAGCCATCAACACACCTGTGAGAGGGTCTTATGTCTCTTCTCTGGGTTATAACAACAAGTGTACATCTGGATATTGGTGATGCTGGCGTTGATGTGCTGGTGCATCGGTGTCTGTTTGATGTCGCTGTTCACCTCCGCCTGTGGTACAAAAAGATATAATGGTGTCTAACTTTTACTCATTAAAGTGTATTAGACTCATTCTTCCCATGTAAACTTGGAACAGAGTGGAAGTGTGTTAAAGCAATGTTGTATTGTGAAATGAACCTTTATGTTCACCTCCAGTCTATTTCCAACAACTCTACCAAGTATCAGAAAAATTACCAGAAAATTGTAAAAGTTGATTATACAAACAAACTATTGGATTGACTTAATCTGGGATGAACAAACAGAAAGACAGAGAGGGATAGAACAGTGTACAGAGGTATTACAAAAAGTGAATGTTTGTAATTCTACTTCTAACATCATTTGTCGGCTAAAAAAAGTCACAAATATTACTCCAGAACACTGCTTAGGTGCATTGTCTAAAAAAAAAAAAATCAATAATTCAATACTGAGAATAACTCTTCAGGACTAAAGTGCCCATTAATAGTATACAAATACACACACACATTAAGAAGTGTGAATATGTATGATTCTTTAATGAACACCCTGTATTTATGTGTAAGAATCTTTTATGGACACCCTGTACAGTATTATATGCAAGAATACTTTATGGACACCCTGTATTATCAAGTGTAAACTCACATGAAGAATAATGCAGGAAGTATCAGTGGTGGATACGTTATCAACCAGTGCGATGTCGGGCTGCTCCACCTTCACACGGAGAGTCATGATGCTACTTGGCTGGCCGTCATCATTCTTGGTGTCAGTCTGTCCGGTGTAAAAGGAAAAGAAAAAGAAAACACATCTAGGTTGAATAAAGGTGTACAAGTCACTCCTCTCCATATAGGAAATTCCACATTACACAAATAACCAAAAATCATAAATTTTCCCAAGTTGAAAGGACCATAACTCAAATTGTATTACTGTATGTGTAATTGATTTCCCCCTCCCCTCCCCACTCACTCAAGCTCTTTCTTGTATACTGCTATGGAGGCTGAATCTTGAGTAAACAGGCACCCACTTCATTCACTCACACTTATGATTGTGACAAATGTTTATCACTATGGTGTAAACCTCCACAACATGGGCCCAGATACATAATCATTTAGACTGAAGAAGGTACACATACAAACTCTTGACTGACTCATACAGAATACTCTCCTAATTCACATTCAACAACAGCATTTTAATTTAGTGACTCAATCTAACAATGACACAAATTTTATTGCTGTTGTTAAAATGTTAATAACATTACCAAGTCAATGGGCAGAAGTCAGATATCAAATCTCATACTCAAAAATAATGACTTATATCATCTTGATACGAATTATATAGGAGTAAACTATATTATACAGCAAACTAACCCATTTATTCCTTGGAACAAAAACTTACATTTGGTTCCACAGTAAAAATATCTGATCCCGTACCTTTGTCTTGGCGATGTCTTTAGGTTTAGCAGGTTGTGGAGATGGTGCCTCAGGCCGCTGAGGCATGTTGTCCATAAAGAAGCGCTGGATCCTCAACAAGTAGGGCAGGTGCAGCACCAGCACAAACCCAGAGATGCGCAAGTCCACTGTAACCAATACTTTACCATTAATGGCCATCTCTAAAATTAATGATCTTGGCTGATCACCTGAAGATTAGTACTGTACCTACTGCTTTATTTACCTGATAATTTAGTACCTTAATGATAAGCTAACATACACCCCTCCCTGATTTTATTAGGATGTTTTAATCACCAAGCCCCGTTGTGGGTCGATGACCTGTGCATGGGTAGGCTATTCCCCATAAAATAAAAAGGAAAAACCTTGGGGTACTAATCTTCAGGTGATATTCTAGCCATCTAAATTATCTAAAATGGTTTTTTTTTCGGCATAAAAACCTATAATTGTTATCAGAATACTGTACAGTAATACTGTATCTCCATTAGCCGAAATCCCTCAAACCCGGTACAGTGAGTTCTGCTATAACGCGTGTTTTGATAACGCGAATTTGCTCTAACGCGATTTATGAATTAGGACCGATATTTGTATAACGCGAACGCTTGTTTGCTATAACGCGATTTTCTCTTACTATTTCTCCAATTTTGTGGTAATAACTGTGAATATAGTAAAGAAGAATATCAACAAGAAGCGTTCTCCCGGTGATGATCGTAAAAGAAAGGATATAACCCTATTTTATCATTCCCCCAGGTAAAGTTACATTTACTGTATGGATTACATTTATTTAGACTGTGCTATCCTTTGTGTTAGGCTAACTACTAAATTTTTTCGATTTCGAGTAATCTGCACCTAACCCTATTTTCTCCATAAGCCCTGTTATTTCTATTACGCGATTTTCTATAACACGACATTTTACAAGAACACAATTATCGCGTTATAGCAGAACTACCTGTACTCTCCAATTGCCAGAATCAAAATTTACTTGGAATTTTTCCAGAAAATTCCCTAAATTCCAGGTTTGGGAACAAATTCCGAGGTTGAAAATCAGGAGCATTTTCTGAAAATTAAAAAAAGAAAAAAGAAAAGGAAAATCTGTTCAAATTTTTATTTCTGGGTCTGGGAGCAAATATTGATTATGAAATAATGCGCAATTACCAGGAAATCTGAGAAAATTTAAGAAAATCACTCCAAACCTTTCTGCTCAGGGCCTGAGGACAAGGGCTCCTGGCATTATGAAAGATTGCATCATGTTTAGCCACATCCTCACATGGTTGGTGAGTGGGTGGGAAAACCAACCGCTTGGGTAACGCTGGATTTTTCTGCTTGTGGTCTATTTATAATTACTGTGCAAATATAAATATTTCTTTAAATGTAAATACAACACTAAAAAAGTAAATTATACAGTAATAAATCAATGTAATTCCGAGCTGAGCTAACAAGGCAAAGGGTTAGGTGACTGAGTCAGGTGGTTAGGTGATATGCCAAGACACTTACACAGCACACACATTAACAGCACTACTAAATCAATGTCTTCTTACATTTGACTTTATAATTTCTAATTTAAAATTAATTGATACATGATGGCTCGATTTGGCTACTTTTGCACTTAGACAACTGATCAGTGAATAAACCAGGGCATATGGGGAGGCATTATACACTAGTGATGCCACGAAACTGCAACCAGCTGAGCAACCGCATAAATTAGCCCTGGAAGTGCTCTGCACCAACTGTTTCAGCTGTACCTATTGACTTTAATAACTAAATAATATTATAGTGGCAGGAAATTACTGGTACACAATGAAGTACAGCTGAACTCCACTATCTGTATTTGTGTTTGTACCACAAGGCAACACCACCACTCGTTTCCTCAGACCTAGATATGAATTAAAAACAGATTATTTATATGTCACAAAAAATCAAAACAAAATGCAATCTGATCTGAGAACATACTGTACTAAGAAAAATATTTTTAAGATTCATGAAAGTGAGTTTAAACAGAGGACTAATATATTTTATCTTAATACAGACTTGCTGTTGTGAGATGAAAACTTAGTTGTCCATCAACAATGGCTGAACTTAAAATTTCACTGAGAAGACTCACCAAATATGTCCTTGGTGGGTTCCTGATGATAAGTGAGATCTATCATGCCACGCTCACCACTCCTCTTCCTCCTCTCCATCATCCTGGTGATGAACCCTTCCTGACCTGAACACCACCATCAGACAAAAATGAATTACTGTACAAATCAAGTATAAAAGTATAAAAGTAGGCAATTCAAAACTGAAAAAGTTTAAAGAATAACATTAGTACGAGATTTCACAGTTTTATGGCAGAACATTCTTGCAACTGAAGTGTCCCAGGTTTGATTCCTATAAGTGAAGGACTGGGTTCCCTCCTTGTAAGTAACACTTATACATCACCAATAAACAAATACACTACTGGATGACCTCAAGGTGGGAACAACCATTCGGTGGATGAACACACAAACAGAGGGCCGAGTGTACCAAATCCTGATCAGTGCCGAGAAGCGGAGGATCAGTATCTTCTATAATGGGCATCAATGGTTCCTTATCCCTGAAACTGTCATGTTCCTCATATGATATCAGCAATTTGTTTTTTAATCGCATGCCAATTTGAGCATTCATAAAGCACATATGGTGTCTCAGTAGAAATCCTCACATTACCCACAATGCTATAGGGAATTCTGTTGCCTTTGTCATCATGGAAGATGCACAATCATCAGTGATGTGGCAGTCTTTCCCCTAACTCCTCCTCATAGTCATTCAGCTCCCACATACTCACTTAAAAACTCCTGCATGTGTATCTTTAATTCTATAAGAATATACAGTGGTCCCTCGGTTAACGAACACAATCCGTTCCAGCAGGTTGTTCGTTAACCGAAAAATTCGTTAACCGAAACCATTGTTTCAATGGGTTTTTGGGTAATTGGTTCCAGCTACCGAAAATTGCCTAAATTCAACAAAAATGGTAGAAAAGTTCACTTATACTTTGAGGTGTGTATGTAGAAGGCTCCTGGATGATGATGATGATGATGGGAATTAGAATGGGGGTGGAGGAGAAGGAAGAAGAGAAGGCATTGGGGTGGAAGAGAAGTCACCCCATGGCACCATTTCACCCATAAAATTTTAGTTCTCTTGGTGTATTTCAAGATTATTTTCTTTAAATCAACACTGCACTGCATTATATATTGTCAATATGTAAAATATATTTCAAAATGACCAATAATTTGCTTGGAAACACAGAAAAAAAGCATTTAGTTGAAGAGAGTCTCAAGCAAGATGTTACCTCCAGTGAAAACAGAGAGAGACTAACGCCTGTTTGCTGTGTTAAGAGGCTGGATGCCGCGCATTAAACTAGTCACTTTACCTTCAATTATGTTCAATAATTGTTAAAATGACTAAAAAATTGAATATTAAACTTTTAAAATTATTGAATAGTATATAAACTTCTTGATATTTACTAAAATAGTAAGGAATTTAAGCCCTAGAACCGATTACTGTATTGGCGGACTAATACTAAAGCTGGTTGACCAGCCAGTGCAAGCGAAAACATGTTGAGGTCGGTTCGTAAGAAATTCGTTAACCGAATTTTTGTTCGTTAACCGAATTTAAGAATCTTATGGGAGGCAGTTCGTTAACCGAAATTTCATTAACCGAGGCGTTCGTTAACCGAGGGACCACTGTAATTTTTTTCAGTTTTTATTTCATTGTGTGTTTAATGTATACAGTATGCCCCCCATGTTCGCGGACTTTTACTTTGCGGTTCACGGTTATTCACAGATGACACCCTGGATGTACCCAAGAAAGTCTGTGGGTAGTTTTGAAGTTGTCGGCATTTTTGCGGCTGGGACAGGGAGCCATTCGTTCTAGAGACAGTAATTTCCTTTATCTGTATTGTAAATGTGTGTGTGTGTGTGTGTGTGTAGACAAATGCACACAAAACATACAATAAATAATAATGTGAAAAACTCTCACAAATACAGTAATCAGAAATAAATTTACTAAAAATGTGACAGTCTACACTCAAGTCCGTGCTCTATTACTTTAATAATAAAACACGGACTTGAGGGTAGACTGTCACATTTTTAGTAAATTTGTTTCTGATTATTTCTGATAGGATTTCCAATTATTATTTATTTGTATGTATTTTGTGTATGTCTTTACACACACACACACATATACAATACTACAGGTAAAAGAAATAATTGTCCTAAGGGCAAGCACATAGAGGGAATATACATTTCTTTGTACACGGGAAAAAAAATTAATCCGCAAATGTTATTCGCGGATTTGGCGATTCGCGGCCATTTTTGAAAACTTAACCCCCATAAATTTGGGAGACCCCGCCCCCTTTATACAGCAGTTAGCAAGATTTACCATGGCTGAAGGCTATGAGTTACAGATGGAGTTGTATGTTGTGCTCACCTGGTCGTGTGTCCTGTAGTATACAGTCAAAGAGGACGAGATTGGCAGCCAGCGACCCATCAGACATCATGTCCCCCTTGATCCTCACTAACTGTAGGCTGACCTCTGCCAGCGCTTCTCTTGGGTTCATTATTTTACTGCCAGAAGATACTCGATGAACTTCAGAACCTTCAGCCGATGACAGGGAAAACACATGCGAAGGTGAAAACTGAGATTTACTTGTTTCTCCAAGTGTGACTCTCGGAAAACTTGATGCAGCATTAACGTTGGTGTGTGATGAATGAGGTAGTTCACCAGAGGCAGTGTCACTCACTTGTAGTAAACCACTAACGTTACTTGTATCACTTGGCATGGATGGTGCATTCTGCAACATATATTATTTAATTTACAACTTCTATTAGTACTGTATGCTTTGCCTTAGAGAGTAAGAGAGGGTAGAGCAGTGTGTTCATGAGTGAGAGACTTCACTACACCTTAATTCCTCCAGGATTTAATGACTATTCTTAATATACTGTACACTTCCTAATCATTTTGAAGTTACAAGTTGACATATTATCTTACTGACTAAACTCCTTCCAGTTTTGCCTTCTCTAACACTCCAACCTACTGTTGTGCCTATTTGTTTACAAATCTGTCAATCACTTGATTAAAGATACAACTTAAGACACCCAGAGCTACTAAGACCACACCCCATGAGCTCCTCTCAGTCCCAGACCTCCATAAAATACCATGGTGTGAAGGTGTGGAACAACTTATCCCCACCCATCCAAGCAAAGACTACGCTCCCTTCCTTTAAATCATGTCTTTAAAAATATCTATTGTCTAAGTATTAATATTTTTGTAATATCTACTTTATATTCCTACTTTTATTATACCCTGTACCACAAAAACCATTATATCAGAAATTGTCATGTAGATAGATAGAAATTACCATTGCAATTATCATATTTGCCGACAGGACGTGATACTGACAGCTTCTGTCCTCTTGTTCCACTTAGTACAACCCAGATTGTACTGCTTCTCTTTCTATCTTATTATTGTATATCAACTCCACTGTAAAATATGTACAGTATTTTCTCGATTTAACGAACTAATTCCAGCCACCCGTTCGTTAAATCGAAATTTCCGCTAAATCAAGCTCTCAGTCAACTAAGTGTACACTGCAGCACCTTAACTTTTGTCTTTACTCAAGACATCTTCAGAGGCAACTGAATTTACAGGGATGAAATGTCAGGTCACCCTTTCTTGGGTGGGGGATTAGTGGGTCTCATGACCTGAAGATGTCTTGAATAAAGACAAAAGCCAAATTATTTGGGGGGAGACCTGACCTGACCTGACCTGATGCAATGTCAGTTGGAGGTAGGGTGGGGGATTAGTGGTCTCATATTACTGACCTTCTGATGCAATGTCAGGACACCCTTTCTTGGGTGGGGATTAGTGGGTCTCATGACCTGAAGATGTCTTGAATAAATAAATGAGCAAAGTAGTATCCATTCAACATTACGTTACATAACATTTTAAAACATGGAGTGAAAAAGCAGAAAGGTGTGAGTAATTAGAGAGATGTGTGTTGTCTTAATTCCTCTGTGTGTGTGTGTGTGTGTGTGTGTGTGTGTGTGTCAGGAACACACCTCAACATCACATACACACATCCCTAACACCACCAACACACACCCTCCAACATTTATTATTTTATATTCTTGTGTGATCTTCCTCTTATGGTGTACTGTATGTTTTATCAATTATACAGTAATATCAAATATTAAATACTACTATTGAAAAAATACAATATACCTGTATAATCAGTAATTTGCATAAAAATTAACAAACCGAATAATAAGGAAAAAATAAGATATTGTACTGTAACAGTATATGAAGGGTACTGGTATTAATAAGCTCAAATTATTACAGTAACATATATTTACTAATTAATAAATAATTAAGAAATAAAAAATATTTTGTCGATTTCCAGTAAGAATGACAGAGGCAGGGGTGGGGGTGGGCGGTCAGTTTCTCCCACTCTGTAACATTCAATGCCATAATATCCTGACCACTGGGGTTAGTTATACAGACTTTTCCCAGTGAAGAAGCCATAATTTTGAGCAACTTATTACTGTACTCACTTTGTATCCAAATGTACTATGCTAAAGGACTAAACTTTCTATCTCTTGTGCAAACTATGAGATGTTCATACATGTACTCAAAATTAATCGCTATCTTGCAAGGATTCCAGCAATGCAAGTTATATTCTGTTAAGTCAAGTCTGTGACATTTTATAAAAGAAAAACTTTAAGCCTAAAATCACCTTCATTCCATTAATCTTTATCACCCACTGCCATCTGCCTCCCCTGCTGGCTGGCTGGGAGGAGGGGGGGGGGGGTGTTGACAGCCAGGAACAGGAGCTAGGTATCAGTTGAGGGGTCAGGAGGGACTCAAGATTATAAAAGACAGGGAGTTTAAGTTTTTGGCTTATAGAATGTCACTGAATGACTTAACAGATGGTGATTAATTTGAGTATAAACATCCCATAGTTTGCACTAGACATAAAATTTAGAGTAATTAACTTAGTACATTTGAGTACAGGTTGTGATACCTTATGCGTTTTATTGCTTATAAAATGTCACTGACTTGATTTATTAGAATAAAATTTGCATTGCTGGAATTCTTGCAAGATGGTGATTAATTTGAGTATAAACATCTCATAGTTTGTATTAGACATACAAAAATTTAGTAATTAATTAAGTAAATTTGAGTACAGGTTGTGATAATTTCTGCACTGTGGTTGCAGTTGCCAAGCTTTGTGACATCACTAGGTTATAATGCGTAAAGTAGCCAAATTGAGCCATCGGGTATCAATTAATTTTAAAATAGAAATTATAAAGTCAAATGTTATAAGAAAAAGGTTTAGTAGTGCTGTTAATGTGTGTGCTGTGTAAATGTCTTGGCATGTTACCTCACTCTTCCCACCAACCATGTGAGGATGCGGCTAAACATGGTGCAATCTTTCATAATGCTGAGAACCTTTGTCCCCGGGCCCAGAGCAAAAAGGTTTGGAGTGATTTTCTCAGATTTTCCGGTAATTACTTTGTGTCATTATTTATCGTTTTTATACATTTAGTACATTCACCGTAGGCTGAAGTAGGTTTTACTGTATCATGTGTCTGAGGTGTCTCCATAGGTGTGAATGCATTAACGGAATTAATCTTGATTTAGCAAACTAGTTCACTAAATCGAGTGAAAAATAAAGAAAAAATGCCTTCCGCTATATCAAGAGTTCATTATATCAGATTCCATTAAATCGAGAGTATATTGTAACTTATAATTCAAGTGTAAGAAAAATAAATAAAATAACTAACAAAGTGATAACCGTGGTAACATTCTGATATGTTCTTATTACCACCATGTTACATGTACTATTCCAGATGATCCTAAATGTTACATAATACTTCCTTGAGATAAATGTACAGTATACTGTATATCAGGTGCCTTTAAGAGAGCTCAGACTCTCAATTGGCTCAGCCATGCCAATATCTTTATTATTATCCACTCTGTATGTGTATTTTTTTGGCTAAAAAACTGTTTCAATATCAATATCTGCAGATGACCATATCAGACACTCAATAACATAACTAACATTAAACTTACATGACCTCAAAGGACATCATCAGGTTTCCTCTGGGTGCTACAGTTACCTCCTGAATTAACACTAGACAATAAAGGTCATAACAATGTAACAAAGAACAGACTACCAGAAACTGTCCAGAAGGCAAATAAACTGATAAGTGGTTGAAATTATAAATAAAAATGAAAAAAAATAAAATAAAATAAATAAAAAATTAAAATAAAAAAATCATAAACAGTCAACTTACCTGAGCATCACTACCACCAGTCAGCAGTGCCAGGGTCACCACCTCCATAGTGAACGAGAACTTGATCTTGGTGAAGATGTGTCCATGTTGTGCCAGCACCCGCTCTATGTCTTTTTCACTCTCTGTCGCCTCTGTTAATTTATTGATAATGAGCATCACTGGACCAACTATGTCAACACTAAACTCACTAGAAACTCTGTTAATTACGTATTAATAAAGGACAACTACACCACACACACACAAAACACTGCAGTAGCTATAAGCAATTTCATATTTCAGTTCAAACTTTGTCATCACACTACTGTTCTGTACTAACAAACTACAGTACGGATACTAGGTAGTAGGCAGCTACCAAACAGGGAGGTACTACTGCCTGGGAAGATATTGGAAGCATAATGTGTTGTCTAATGGTAGACCCTGCTGCCATATGGCATCACGAAAATTGTGACCAGGTCCCAGGTTGTTGATCTGACTTTCTGCCTCATTTACAGACAATTTCAGGGCCTCAATTGTTTCTCTTACTATTGACAACACAACATACATATATTGTTTCTCACTCTTGATCACTTTTGTATTATTATTATTATTATTATTATTTCATTATTTTTATTTTTATTTATTTATTTATTTTATCATGAATTATCATTATTATTACAATATTATTAATATTATTACATTTTCGCCCCCCAGGCTCCGATTTGGGTCAGTGACCTGTGCCTGGGTGGGCTAATCCTAGTTAAAAAATAAATAAATAAATAGAAAATAAATAAAGAAATAAATATCCAAAAAAGTTATTTAACAATAATTCATCCCATACACCACTGTTTGTGACAGTCTACCAATGTTAATACGATCACATTGCTAACTGTAATACTGTGCCACCAATATAGGTTTACCACCACTTACATCAACACATCCTTCAAGACATTTTTATAGATAGGCTGAGCACACTGATTTGCAGATATCACTCTCTCACATAAATACTGTACGTACAATACCTCTCTCTTCTATGCACTCTTCAGCTGACACATAAGAGTACAACAAGGTTTATTGCAAACACATTATTTTACCCAGGATGAACCCACAGTAATGATGTACCACAGAAGCCAACACTATGAGGGGTATAATGCTGTACTGTACTATAGTACTCTAATCCTCTACTTGGATACACACAAGATGTACAGCACCAGAGACTAAAATAATTTACAATGATATTTTAACATACAACACAACAATGAACTGTACAGGGCGTATCACAGGTAACGCACCATCAAAAAATTAAGATTTTTTCTTTTTCAAGTGAAGGAATCATGAGAATCAAAGAAGACAACAGAGAAATGAACACTACAGGAAAAAGTCTGTTCAGATTATTGTATGGAAAACAAAATAACACACACACAAGAACTTTATCAACAATACCCAGGGATATGGATGTTGTTGATTATATTATTTTCCAACTGATCAGTGTGTGGCAGCTAGGTTTCCATACAATAATATTAAATGGACTCCTTCCTCAAGCGTTAATTTTTTAGCCATCTTGGTTGATTTCATACAATTCTCTCACCTGGAAAAAAAAGAGGGAAGAATATTAATTTTCTTATTGTACAGTCTCGTTCAAGATTCTTCGAACACTGCTGAAGACAGCTGGCAACTCGAGGCCGTTTGTTTACATTATGAATAAATGTAAAAGTGATTGGTAATTGGTTACTTAGTTCCCCGTTGCTTAATTTAATGGTTGGGCTTTGTTGTTTCGTATTATATTATTCTACGTACTATAGTAAACAAACGGCCTCAAGTTGCCACCTGTCTCCAGCAGTGTTCGAAGAATCTTGAATGAGACTGTACATGACCTATGGACACCCTGTGCACTATGGTGTGTGACCTATAAGACAGCCAGTACAGTACAGTATATACAACACAAACACCAAAACACCAGCAACACACAACAACAACTCACAACATTCACTACCATTCTCCAAGCCCTGTGTAATACTGTACTACACTACATTATAAAATAAATTGTACATTACGGTACTCTAAAAATCAATCTGAAATACTGCAAGACTGTCATCAATAAGAAAACACCATTTATAATTACAGATCTATACTTCAATTCATAATAAAATAAACTTGTTAATGGTAATAATAACAACATTGTAGCTCAGTGGACGGACACATTGACGAGGGAAGAAGGATTTAGTGTACATACCTTTCTTAGTGATCCTTGTAATTTCTATAAAGCCGCAGTGAACAAGCACAGAGAAGATAGCTGTTAATAAATTCTTGTGCAGCTGTGTAATGTAACAGTGACATTGGCAGTAAGAGATGAAATGATGAAGGACAGTGAAAGTCAACACTGGTAATTCTTTCTCCAACACTCACCCCAAAACAGTGAAAGACAACACTGGTAATTCTTTCTCCAACACTTGCCCCAAAACAAAATGATTAACTGTGAAGCTTTATGTAGGATTAAATTGAGTTACCAAGACTTTCTACACAAACACAGTACTGTACCTATATAAATAATGCTTTTAATTGGTTTTTTTTTCATGTTAATAATCGTTAATCAGAAAGACTTTTGTTCCACTGTAATAAAATTCCTCGGCCAATTTCTTGGAGGGATGGGATAAGGGGATAAGTGGGGTTGGCTGTTGTTGGAGTAAGGTGAGGTTGGCTGTTGTTGGAGTAAGGTGGGGTTGGCTGTTGGAGTAAAGGGTGTTGGCTGTTGGAGTAAAGAGGGTTGGCTGTTGGAGTAAGAATCTTATCACCGAGACACCACAGAAGGCATTTATAGTGATAGTAAATAGAGAAAAAGTTTATAGTTTATTTAGTAAAAGATGTAAACATTAACCAATTTATTTCAAATCATTTATTATGTACAGTACAGATATCTAACTCTTCAGCTATATAATGTATCTGACTATAATAATGTGATTTTCTTGTTCAATTTGTTCTAAATGACTTGTGTATAATGCCTCATCATTGTTCAACTTGTTCTTAGTGATTTGTGAAGGTGTGTATAATGCCTATCATTATTCAGCTTGTTTATAGTTTCAAAATTGAGCATTACCTTAACTTCTCATAAAAATTACATGCAATAAACATGAGTTAATTTTACTTCATTTGCACACATCACAATGCACTATCTCTTCAGAAAATATTAATGAACTTGTTTATGGTGAGTGACCCACATGTTTCCTAACCCTTAATTGGCAGCTAGGGATTCCCTTCTCCCCTCCCCATATACCGGTACTGTATGTGCAAAACGGAACGCAAAGAATCTGGAACTTCCACTGACGATGGCTGCTGTCCCTCTAGCTAACTCTGCAGCTAACTTCCACAGATGATGGCTGCCATTTATGGATTAATAATTATGAAATGATGATGCACGGTGATTACTTCAGGGTCAAGAGCCATTCATTTCTACATAAGAATATGGCCAAAGTACTTCTGGAGGCTGGTTGGTTGCCAAGCAGGTAACAAGGTTACCAAGCGAATGAGTCACGATGCTGCAATGTTATTCTTTCTTTTAGTTAGCTTTCTGTCATCTTCGTCACATGCACAATATCAAAGCTCAAAGCTGATGTTATTAAAGCTAACTGTCTAAACTGAGATAAAAAATCAATTCTAGTCAGGCAATTACTACATTATAAATGTTAATAAAAGAACATGACAGAGGGAGGTCTCATCGCGATCATGTATTTTTCCCACATTTTCATATTTTTCATATACATGTATACAGTACCAACAGTACCAGGAAACATGAACTTGGACCCAACTACTACAGTACCATCCACTCTATATTAATACAAGGCATGATAGATGTAGTCCCATCATCACTACTTGTCATATGCATTCCTGTTTTTCATTCTTTCACATTTTTCCAATATCCAGTACCAAGAAAATTAAACATAAGACCACCCAGGCATCTCTCTCTCTCTTTCAGATGTTGATGATCCTTAGTCTGTATTGTAAAGACACATAGAGTACATTTTGTTGCTTGCCTTTAGTGTCATTGAGGGTTTTCTTAACTTAGTGGGGGAGAGTTAAATGTTCACCAGAGTAAGAGCTTTGTGCTGTACAACTTGTTAGGTTTAGTTAGGTTAGGGTTTGGTAAAGGAAAAGACACCTACCCTTTTCTTACCTATCCAAAGGTAAACTAATCTAACCTTACCTTTTCCACACCTAACTTAAGCTGCCCTATTCCCCACTAAAGTGACTGTACAGTACACTTGCTTCACTATCTTACAGTTTGAGTTTAAAAAAATGAAATATGGGTGAAGGTGAGATGATAAGAGAGTGACAAGGAAAGAATAAAGGAAGAAGTATGTGTATGTGCAGGTGAGGTGCAAGTGTTACACACACGACCAAATATTTCTTCAGTGAATGTGAAAATATAAATGACACACACACACACACACACACACACACACACAAACAGAGTGGAACAACAAAATATCTATAATAAAAGTTAACTTGTCACTAATCAATATTACATGAATACATTTTTCTTTTATTAATCGATTAATTTTAAAAAATGCATTGTTCAATAAATTACCAAGAATCCCCTTAAAAAAAGGTAATTCAACTTGTGTACAATATTTACACGATCACACGAGTGGATCATCTGAAGCTTAGACACCCCAAATTATTTCACCTGATGGTCAGATACCCTTATACCACCAGTGAGGTTAGGTTAGCATTAGGGTGTTTCTTATTCAGACAAAATAACTGGGGTGTCTAAACTTCAGGTGATCCACACAATCTTCCCTAATATTTTTTAAAGACAAGATCAATATTACAACTTTATAATGTTACCCTTAAGTTTTCACACTCTTACCACCCATGCAACAGGTAACCCACGGTATAGGAAGCACACATGCAGTACAATATACTGTACAGTACAATATAGCTAAATATGAAAATGGTCACTGGAAAGGTTGGCTTGGCTGGAATATGAGCCACCATTAGTTAGTTATACTACACTTGAACAACACCATTCACTGACCAGTAATTTCAGCTGTAGGAACGTCTTCTGTGGAGATGGCTATGCTCTCCTCCCCCAGATTGTCTTGAAGTACTGTCAGTGTCACCAGCAGGTCTTCCTCACTTAAACACACCTGTAAAACAATTTTATAACCATTTATATAACCCTTTAAGGATGATGATTTTACCTCAAGTTGGTTCAACAGCCTTAGGATGATGATGGACTTAGTTAAAGATTTAATCAAGTGTGATCATGTGTAATGTTTGTCTCAAGTGAATTGACTTGTAAATTTTCTGAGAATGTCTAGAGAGCAAAGTGTTACGGGCCTGGAAGGGAGATACAAGGCAATGCTGATATTGGTGATGAACTCAACGTTTATGAGAAAATCCGTTTTCTGTGGTAATTTCTCCCGAGGCTGTAGAAGAGAACGAACAATATCCCAAGATGCCAAGTCATCAAAAGTATCGCGAAAATTAAATATACAGTCTTTGAAGGGGTTGAAGGATGAAGTTTAGTGAAATTTACTGAGGAATAATATACAGTATAATATAAATAACATTTACTCTATGAAACATTAAATAAAATATATATTCAGAAACTCACACTTTATTAACATAAGCTAAAATATACATATACTTTAGTACCATCAGCTAAGATATACAAAACATGGAATCTTACCTTAATGGGTGCGACCTTAGCCTGAATATCTATCTCTGGTCGCTGCTTGTGCCAGGAGATGGTCAAGTTCCGGCATATGAGGATGGTGAGGGAGATGGGCTGCAGCAGCTCATACTCTCGTTCCAGTGACCCCGTGACCGACAGCTCCACCCTGACGACATACAACGAAACCGTACACTTGGACAACAACAAACGACACACCTAAACTCTTCATGCTTGAGGTGAGATTACAAACCTACTTACAAATCTCCTTGATAACGATGCAGCTTTCCCTCATGCAGGGTGAGAGAAGCCACAACCATCACCAAACAAACTGTTTCTTCATTCTACTCTTAATACTGTTTTCTGCAATGGTATTCTCCTTCCACAACAAGACCTTAATTATCTATTAATTTTATTTTTTACTCTTCACAATCTAGAGATGTCATTCATCGGATCACCCCAGAATTAGCCCTGTCAGCTTATTTCACCTGGTGGTTAAATACCCTAATGCTACCTGGGCTACAGGGGTTAGCTTAAATAAGGTGCGATTAGATTAAACGAGATTAGGTTAGCATTAGGTTACATAAGTTAGTGTGGTTAGGAAATGTGAGGTAAGGGAAGGTGAGATTAGGTTAGCATTGAGTTATGTTACATAAAGTTAATACAGTATTAGGTTAGGTTAGCGCTAGGTTACTCAATCTTCAGGTAAATAAGCTAGGGTGTCTAATTTTCATGTGATCCAGAAAAACTATAAGTGCTGACCTGGATAACTTTACATTGTGAAGCTTGAGGTCGATCATGTCATATATAGCTGGGTAGCCCAGCTCATTACGCTCCTGACCCAATTCAAACTTGTTGTTGATGGAGATCTGACCAAGATCAATCATCAGGCCAGACAGACTCTTGGAGTCTTGGGGAACTAAGATCAATGGTGCCTATGGGAGACAATACTTTAGTTAACTCCAACGTGGGGATAAATACATAAATTAAAGATCTTAATACAGCAATACCTCGATTTGCATAAGAGTTCTGTTCTCAAAAAAACATTTGTTAACCCCTTCACTGTGGGGAAACAGCTTTTAATATTTTATTTAGCTAATGCCAGATGTTTTATTCAGCTCAGAGGGGACCCTGTTAACAAATCCTTTAAAAATCAAGAGATAACTGTACAGTATTATACAAATGGGGATGTTGGTCATGCAGAAGTTTCACACTTGCTTCTCACCACCACATCCAGGGTTCAATCCTAGGTCAGATGCGAGAAAGGTGTTATCAAGTTTGACCTTTTCAAACACGGCAGGTTTCTCCAGGTACTCCAGTTTCCTCCTGAACTAACACTGGACAATGAAGGTCATAACAGAGAACAGACCAGCCACCTGACTGGTCAGTAGGATGATAAATGGTGGTGATGGTAAATTAAGGTAAAATAAATTAAGGTAATAGTACTGTAATTAAAAATTTAAATGGTATTCAGTAAATACATAATATGTCTTTTCTCTCTACCCTGGGGTGAGTCTTAAAATAATGCTTCTGGGCCAAATAGGAAGGTCAGTTGTACTTATCATCACAGTTAACATACCAATATAAAAAATAAAAATAAAAATAAAAGGGAAAATACAGACCCTAAGAGTGAGAGAGAGGCTGATACGAGAACACTCTTTGTAGGCTTCCTGAAGTGTTGCCTGAGCAGCTGCTGCTGCTGCCACACTAGCCGAGGCCAAAGCTTCCTTTGCTGACTGGAACTTGTCGACCCAACCCTTAAAAAAAAAAGAGTTGGTATGTGAGGTCATTATTAAACTGCATCTTTGAAATATACAATCCTCATTGAAGCATTTTGGGGAAAGTTTTAACTGGCTAACATCAAGGTAAAAAAGCTTCAAGTACGTATATCATCATCAACACTGACTGATACATAATAAAACTATTAAACCCTAATATCATTAATACTTTCTGACAAATGAAACAATTATACACTAATATATAACCAACACTTACCAACACATCTGCAATAAACTTATTCAAGAAGACAATGCGAGCACATCCAAATGTGAGAGTGATGCTGGTGTCCACACACTGCATGTTGAGGTACTGAGCCCCGTCTGTTGCTTCACCATAGAGAGACACCTTGGCGTCCCAAGCCTCTGTCCCGACCACCTCCACTATCTGACGACCCAACAATTTATGTTAAGTACAAAGTTAATGTCATTAAGAGGACACCTTACCTGTATATTAAAACACCTGAACAACAAACACCTTCCCTGTCAACTTATACAATACTGTAAACACCTGGTATTACTTTCAATGATTTTTCACTCTTTCTAACTCTTTTCTTTTATATTACAGAGTGAGCAGCATGAAGAACATGCCCACCTGCCCAGTCACTCTATCTCTTTCACTATACTTCTCTGCTGCCATCAATATATTCTTAGTGTTGTTACACATGTGTTCAGCTATGGTGCTCTTGAGCCAAAATAAGGCCCCAAATATGTATCTGGTTCATTCTTGTTACTCCACACAATCCAGCTTCATCCATCACATATGTTTGCATGTCAAGTTATTCCTGTAGGCAACTATAAGAAATATTCATTACCTACAGATCTAATATGTTTGAAATTAATTTCTAATATGTTTGAAATTAATAAGTTTGAGAGTTGGAGCACAGCTGTATAGATTCAGACATCTGCTGTACAATGCATATCCACATTCTTGTTTACTAAGCAAGAAAACTAACACTCTAGTGAACAAGCTACAAGACTAAGTGTGAGTATCAGACAGCCACAGCTGTGAACACTACACAAGAGGTGATATGGTGCCTAACAACCCTACATACAGTATACACAGTAAGTGGGGGCATCCTGCTCAAATATTTGCATATACTGTATTACTACTGTACCTTTGTACCTACTTCTTAAAATAAATAAACCAGCATAAGTAACTTGCCAGAACATGTGTATATTAATTGACACTTCTAACATAGTGCCTCACACAGTTACTTCATACAATATAGCTAATACACACATTATACAGCAGCAGGATGCTTTCCAATATGTCTACAAGAACAGTTAACACAAGCACCGTGCTGTGTCAACTACAAGAGTTCTACAGTAGCATCCACCAAGACTGTATCTTGAGTTATCATAACATATTTATGCTGCATTGCACTGCCAAAGTAGTGTTAACTACTCTATGTACTAATGCAGTATTCAACAAGCCTACCGGTAGGTCACAAGTAATAAATTATTTCCTCTTACTTTCCATGAAAATGCTTCCTCCTGGGCTATCTGTAACATTAATCATTATGTTAAGTTATGCCAGGTCAGGTCAACCAAAGTAATCTCCGTGAGTTTAAATTACGTTTAGTTAGATTAAGTTTGGTAAGGTTAAGCAAGGTCAGGTTAAATAAAGTCGGAATGTTTACTTGTTATCTTGGCCCATTTCTGTTGCCTTTTACTCTTGCATTATATAACTCTTCACGTTTATTTTATCCCACGCATCATTCCACAAAAAAACGGAGCAAAATAAAGACGAAACACAGATGGAGCAACAGAATTAAAACCACGCAACATCTCTAAAATATATACAGTGAATATATCAAGTATAATCACAGTACTGACCTTAGGGTGGAGAGCAGCACGGGCTGGATCTATGACAGTAAAATCTTTGAGTTGAGAAGTGATGGTAATGTCCTTTCCTCTCATCAGAACATTTACAATCAAACCTACAAGTATAAATTAATAATTAAACAGAATATTGTGCAGTACAGTATATTCAATGATAAATATCAAATACCCTCATGGATGTAAATCTTTAGCGACAACTTCTCAAATAAGTATTTATGATTGGATTGTATGAAGATCAACACCCCAGCTTACTTCCCAAGGATAACACACCTTAATGCTAGTCTAGCCACTCCCAGCCCCCGAAGGAAAGTTTTCAATTTGTATGAGTGTGTTGATATTATTATCCTCCTGATATCAATGCTACCAATAATAAATAATAATAATAATAATAATAATTAAAAGGAGGACAGCCTCTCTACTGTTTCAGGTGAACGACCATAAGATATGAAGCTTCTAAATTTATTTCGTAGGGCCAAGTGAAAATGTTGCCAAAGGAGTTATTTTAGTGTTCTGGAATGGTAATGTTTCATAGTATAGTACATACAGTACAGTACAGTATTTCATATACTCTGTCTTTATTTTGACTGACCCAAAGTGCTATTGTAGAAGTAGTAGTAGATGAAAACAGGAACCCATCAGGCCTCTATATAACAAACTTCACGGCCCTAAGATGAGATACCATCATATAGTCAACTGACGGAACTACGCAGGGGGACCCTGTCGCTATGGCAATGTATGCACTAGGCCTATCCATGCTCCAACATATAATAAAATTCAAAACAACTGGAGTCAAGCAGGTGGCATATGCTGATGACCTTACAGGAGCAAGAAAAGTGGAGGACATCAAAAAGTGGTGGGACCTGATAACACCACATGGTCCACAAATAAGGAACAACCCAAATGCCTCATTGTGAAGCTAGAACACTATGAACAGGCAATGGAGGTGTTCGGTGGAAGTGAAGTCAAAATAACGAAGGACGGCCAAAGACACCTAGGTGCGGTAATCTGCACGAACGATTTCAGGACCGAGTACATAATGGGAAAGGTAAACGAGTGGGTGAAAGAAATTCAAGCTCTGTCGGACATTGCTAAAACTGAGCCACATACCAATGAATTAAACAAGATTTGACTGTTCATTACGACAGAATGGCAGCACACCCAAAGTGATAAACATCAACAACTGATGCTGTAACTGTCAGAGCAGAGAACTTGAAAAAAATAGCTGTAGAACAGGAGGTGGGTGCCTCGAACTGGCTAACAACGTTACCGATAAGGACAAAATGCTTCAGCCTTAATAAACAAGAATTCACAGATGCCATTCCTCTAAGGTATGGATGGCCAATAGAAGGTTTGTCCTCCCAATGCGCGTGTGGCTCATCCTACGACATCGATCACGCCATGGTGCGTAAGAAAGGGAGGCTTCGCATGCATAAGGCATGACGAAATAAGGGATCTAACAGCAAATATGTTGAAGGAAATTTGCCATGATGTCATGGTGGAACCGACTCTCCTTCCACTGGACGGTGAGATTCTCCATCACAGGACTTTAAACACATCCACTGAAGCCCACGTCAAAGTCAGCACTCAAGGATTCTGGACGCAGGGACAGCAAGCCTTCTTTGACATAAGGATTTTCGACCTCATGGCCGCAAGAATGACAAGAACAGGGCGTAAGGGGAGAGAATTTTGAATGTTGATCAAGGAAGCTTCACTCCTCTGGTGTTCACAACCTTTGGTGGGATGGGACCAAGTGCAAGATGTTTCTATGCAAGACTGGTTGAGGTGTTATCCGAACAGAAGTAACAGCCCAGAAGTTACATTATAGCTTGGTTGAGATGTCGGCTGCCCTTCTCTCTGCTTAGGTCTGCATTGCTTTGCGTAAAGGGAACAAGATCTTTGGTCCCAAAGCCAACAACGGTCACAGATACTGATTTTGAGGCAACATTCACCGAATATCGCATAGATATGCAGCTTAACTAACTCATCGCAGCTAGGGTAGCTACTTTTGTATTAGAATATTTAATTTTAAGGCAAAGGTGTGGCTATTGGGGGAGGCTGGAGGCCACATCTATAAAAAAAAAAATAGTAGTAGTACTGTAGTAGTATAGAATCAAGGATACCATAAACAGATTCTGAAGAGTAATATATTAACAAAATAATAATAATGGCTTTATGACTGTGTTAAAGGTGAGAAACAGGAGAGGTGAAAGATAGTTTTTATCCCCAAAGATCATTCACAATACTAACACCTTCAACACACTCCTTCCTAACAGCCTTCATCACTCACCTGCTACATCCACTTGGGCAACCTCTCGTGACCGCAGGCCAATGATCACACTCACTTGACCCAACTTGGCAACGATCTTCAGAGTAATCACATCTGACGTGTGTTTCTTCTGGCGGACTGCAACAATTAAAGTGGCTATCAGTTTATAAAAAGAGACAGCAAAATGAATCTGTAATCATGTGGAAGACTGAATGTGGAACTTAATAAGAGGTCTATGGCTGGAGAATCTTCTTTCATTAACAGCTACAACACACATGTTCTGTTATCATCTTACCCTTCCACAACAAGGCCCTGACTATCTATCTGGTTTACCCATGTTACTTCAAACAACCCAGCATCACCCATCAACAGTGTGTCTATCCCCAAACACCACTGGAGGACCTGCTTGCCTATCTTAAACACACACATGCACACACATTAAACTGCCACCTGGGTGTTCATCCCTCTAACTTCTAATGTCCCTCATCTTTCCTATCTCATCCTTCCACCTCCTCTTTGATCTTGTCTTCTCTTTCTTACCATCAACAACTAAGTGATAAACTACTTTTAAGTAATAAACTCCTTTTAGCAATTTTTCTCTTCCCATTCTTTTAAACCTTAAATGGCAACCATTACTAGTGGAAATTTGCTGTAGGGACGGTGGACATCATCAGAGGACATTTCATGCTCCTTCTGCTCCATTTTTGTCCATATGGGGCTGGAGTAGGGAATCCTTAGCTCCTAGTTAGGATTAAGATGTTCGTGACACCTTCACACACCTTGGTCAACTCTCCACTCTACATATGATTTATAATATCCTTGGATTGAGTCTTTCTTTTTCATCACATAATTCTTCGTTTTATCTCCCACCACCATCACCACCACACCCATCACCCTTATCTTCTCACACATCCCTGACTTATAATTACCTTCAGCACAACTCTCCAGTGACCTTCAAGTTTGATTCACATAAAAACAAGAAGTTCCAATGAATAAAAAAAAATAATCATAAGTATTACCCAAGGCTTTTGTTTTGATCTTGTCTGATGGTTCAGCTGGCAGGTTCTCGGGAGGTTGCTGTGGGGTGGTTGTTGCTTCTCTGGCCGGCTCAGCGGGTGTTGGTGTCAGCTGGCTCAGTTTATAGTCGAGTTGTTCCACAAAAGCCAGTATGCTGAGGATTGCCGACTGTTCCAGCTGGGCTTTCATGTTGCTGACATCAACACGCAGTAGCTGGGACGTTGAGTTGTGTTTACTCTGGAAGTCTGGGCTCTTGGGGTCCACCTGTTTACCAGAGCAACATTAAATACAAGATCAATTACATTGGTCTTTAGTCAATGTATAGTACACTGTATTAACCAAGGCTACCATGTTAGTGGTTCAGCACCAATTTGTTTCTTGCTACTTAAAGAAAACTTATATGAGAAATAGATACACAGTAAACTTATATGACAAGAAGATACACAAGTCTCGAGTATAAATAAAGACATTACCCTATTTTCAAATGATATGACTTAAGCTATACCTGAGTGAACTTCATGACGAGAAGAGCCTCACTGCTGCCTTCAGCCAGCGGTGTACTCAACAACCGCCGCTCTCCTCCCTCCAGGTGCTGTTAGGTGTAGCTACTTATAAATACATCCTTCATTGATATATAAATTAAGTAATGCAAAAGTTTCCTACATTTGCTTTCATTAATTTCACAGTATTGTCAATCATGGAAAATGGCTGTAAAATAATATATAATAATGATGACAATAATTTAATGGATCATGGTGATTGTTTTTTCTCAAAATCAAATAATTTCAATCTTTCTTCAAAATATTTATATTAAGTTTAAATATCTCAGGATCCTAGTTTAAAAAATAAATAAATAAAAAATAAAAAATTTAAAAAACTACAAGACTATGTTTTCCTTCAGTGAGGTAAAGCAACTTACATCAACCAACACCCCACCAAGGATAACTGACATATTCAAGTCAAATGTGCGCTGCGTCAACTCCACACTGGCCGAGAGCGCAGCAACTTTCATCAGTGGCTGGGACTGGGTGCCAGAGGCCTTCTTTAGCTCTATACTTATCTCTGAAAATTTTTAGCAGCTTTAATCACTATTGAAAGATGGTGCAAGATGTCTGGAGGCAAAAGTTACATAGACTGTCTTATCATTCATTGTTGTGTATGAAATTCACTGAAAATTCAATCACTCTCACTTTATACAGTACCATAATAATGCAGAGTTATATACAAACACACACACACCTTATTTTAAATTTGAGAACCAGCTTAATGCAGTAAGTACTGTCCTGCTGTCTAGCAAGTAACTTACCACACACTGACTTTGAAGGTTAGTGAAGTAAGTACTGGCCACCATCATGTGACTTACCATTGACGGTGAAGGCAAGAGCCAGCTGGGTGAACTGAGGTGTCTCCTGCTGTTCACCGCAGGGGTTGAGTTCCGCACGTTCCAGCCGGGCCAGCGCCACATCCTCCGTGATCACATTCATATTGACGTCTATATCCTGTAACAGTCATTGATGTCTTTGAAAATACTGAAAGGTAAATTACACATACAGTCACGGACAAAGGTGTTCCCCTGTGCTCGTGATTATACAGGGTATCTGACAAGGGTTGTTCAAAGAGACACAGAGTTAACATAAACCAAAGACTTGAAGTGTTTAGTGCACCTGTCTAATAGCTTCCTCACAGGTGCTGGAAAATACCTAAACCAAATCCCCTCTTCTCATACATGACTACAGTTTTGGCTCAGAGTATCCCAATATTCTCCTGAACTAGACAATGTTTCAATCATATTCTCCATTGCCATTTATATAAGACAAGAAAACATAAATTAAACATATTCAGAAGTGTTGTTGCTCTCAGTAGTTTCTTTGTGCATTCGAGAAGATATAAATCACAAATTCACAGTACAGAATAAAAAAGCTTTTCATAAATTACTGAAATGCGTGATTAAACTTACAAACAAATATCGTATAAAGTTGAAAATATATCAAATGAATAATTCCAATAGTTTCTTAAATCTTAACATATCAAAGCAAAGAAACATTGTGTGTATGGCCCGCAATTGTAAGGAAGTGATCTCAAAGCTCACCTGATCGAAGGTAGACACAGGTTCTTCTTCCTCTTTCTTCTGCACCAGAGGAATACTGTGAGCAATGTAGGCCAGCTGGAGCAACCTCTGATCTGTAATGGATATAGAGATGTTTTCAATGGCTACAGCTTGACAACACTAATTCTGGTGGGACATTGTGATAAGCTCTTGGAAAGAAAGTTTAGTGGATAGACAGACATATATATATATTCCAGTTGTGTAGTAGAGACTATGAATGAGACCATTTGTAATTTTAGCCTTCATGAATCAACTCAGGTGAACACTTTGGGGTAATTCTTAGGTGATCTATAAAGGCTAAAATTGTGAATAATCTCATTCATGGTCTCATTCTTCTCATTCTTAACTACATCACTGGCATAAAATACACTGTACACAGATGATCAACAGGTAGACAGATGGATGGAGAGATGGTCATATACCAGTAAATAGACAGATACTGTACATAAATAAATAGACAGGCACACAAATAAATGATTAAGACATATATAACTTACAGATGGAGATAAAAATATTATGCTAATAATAATGATCATTTTAACCAACATCATCAGTGAGAGTTCAATGAGCAGTAAGCCCTATGTAGAGACAACAGTATTACTAACTCACAATTGATTCTGTCACTAACCCACAACAGTGGCACTTACCCACAACAGAGAGTGCCACATCGTTTAAGGTCACATTGATCTTCACTTTAGGCAGGTTGGGGTCGTTGGTGAGAAGGCACTTGTAGAAGTCAACACGGAGGGTGGTGGGCTGCAGGAGGTGGAGTGGTGTGGCCTCGTGGCAGCACAGAGTCGACTTCCAATCTTCATCGCACAGAGACACGATCGCCTGGAAAACATTCACATAAAATTCCAACTCCAAACTAATACTACACCTAAGATATGAAATGAAAGTATATACTGTACATTATTGTACTTAAAATGCCAAACCACAAACTTTCACCTCAAATGCTGACTTTTCATCTACAATACAATTACTGTACTGCAGACTGTCAGGACATGATAACTAGAAGAGGGAAGTTGAACTCAAGATTCTGAGATGACAACATTTCTACTTGACAACTTTCAATAATTTGTTTTATTATCTTTGACCCTGAATACAGTACAAGATAATCTTAAAAATATTGGTCTACTTTTATTGAATGAAAATTATCTATGATGCATTATCCTCCATACATTTTCTCTCTAAACCCGTTACCAAAAGTCCAATAAAACTAACTACAATATCCGGTACAGTAATGAGGAGCACAGAACTGAAGTAGAACAAGCACCAGTATGCTCGAAACAATCAATATGATGTCTTTCACTAGAATCAATTAAATCTGCACTAATAATGCTAAAATCACTTCAATATCTTCACTGGTTCCAAATTTATGGTAATTTGAAGGTTTGCAAACTTTAGCTGCATTTTTCTGTTTTTTTTTTTTCCATTTACAGTGCTTATCCTACTTTGGTTCTGTGCGCCTCAAATAATGCAACATATTTCAGCCTTAAGTGTCTTGTCAGAGGAAACCTGTTTAAAATATAAATAAGAAATTTTATCAGATACAATTGTTGCTTACAGCCACATAGACTACACTGTATCTAAGAATGATTACTATAAGCCTGATAGACTGACTATACCTGGATGTCGATCAGCTCAATAGTAAAGTGGTCATAAGAATAAGACCGGACAGTCTCCATGACCTCCTCCTGACTGTGGCCCAGAGACACTAGGTCGGCCACTGCTGGGACGGCTTTGGGTCGGGGCACACTCTTCATCTTCATGCTACCTAGAGTCACAACCAGGGCTGAACAACCTCTGAAAGTCATCAATAACCTTGTAATGTAGCTCCCAGGGTGATGATCTCATAACAATAGTCCTGATAAGTCTCTTTTTGTTGCAGAAAATAACAAAGAATAAGAGAGAAAAAGGTTAAAACTAAGTAATCATGTCATGTAGTGCAAGTTCCCAGGTTGTTAGTCTCATAACATAGTCCTGATATACTTGTTTTGTTGCAGAAAATGACAAAGAATGAGAGAGAAAAAGGTTAAAACCAAAGTTATGAAACATTTTATGCAGAGAAACTGATAATGTTCAGCATCTGTTCCACATAGAATTGTGCCAAAACAAAAAGTCCACAAAATATTATTTTTGAAGTTCATCACAAAATATATTATATAACTTTTTTAGGGAAATAAAAACTTAAAATTTACATGAATAGTTTATGTCCATTACAGAATAGAGTAATCTTTCATGGCATATTGAAGCTTCTACACAAGCTGGACACCATCTCTCTTAATGTAGTCTGAACTTCTTTTATGAGCATTAAATAGAAGAATTGACCTACAGCCATAAAGTGACCCCATACAGTGGGTCACAATGCAGACCACTAGTTTAGTTCAAACTAGGGTTTCAGGATGAAGATGTGAAACACGGCTGCCTTTCTCATGTTTCCCTTAAATGTCAACATAACATATACAAACTTACCTGGAGTATGATCCTCTCTCTGGAATGATGATGTGGGAAGCAGCAAATGCAATGTTGAGGTCCAGGACGCTGTGGTTGTCAATAGCAGACTGTAAGCCAGTGACACTCCTCTCCTTCACCACCTCCAACTGGCTCAGTGCTGCAGCCTGTAGCCTGTTGTAACACAAACAAGACACAGGCTGACTCCACACACTTGATCTATGTTCTCACAACATCTATATTTCCCTCCAGTATTCTTTAAAACATCTAAATAATTATAAATTTTTTAGTTATATAAAACCATACTGAAGAGAATTGGAATAAAAAAAAGAGACTAATACAGTATTTTCTCAATTTAACGAATTAATTCAAGCAAACCGTTCATTAAATCTAAAATTACACTAAACCAGGGAGACGGAGGAGGTAGCTCCCAGCTGGACTGTCTGTTACTATGGTGAAGCAAGGAGTGTTAGCAAATGGCGACTGTATTAAACTTTCATTTGGCTTTCATTTACTGGTTTGGCAATACAGTATATTTTGTTGTACAATATTGTATCATTAATGAAAGTCATAGTAGAATGAGTGAGAGAGGCAGAGTGTCGGTGAGATGCAGTGGGTGGGAAGGAGGGAAGAAGGTGAAATTATGATTTTGGTGGTGATAATAAGAGGTGATGGTGGTGATCATGGAGCAGGATGAGGAAGCAGAAAGGTGGGGGCAACTTACCTTTCATAATAGAACATTGTTTCGTTAATCAGCAAAAGGGTAGTAAACACTTCCTTTCATTATATTGGAGATTCGTTCAAAAGATGAACGCTCAATGAGGACTTACTGTACAGTACAGTACCTATTTCTTTGCACAAGAGTGAGCGTATTAATGGAATTAAATCGAGCGAAAAATAACGGAAAAAATGCCTTCCGCTAAATTGAGAGTTTGTTATATCTGATTCCATTAAATCGAGAGTATACTGTAATAATAATCTCTATAAAATTTAGTGATACAAGTTGAATACACTGTACGTATACGTATATGTTTCATGCTGGCAGGCTCTCCAGATGCCAGATTAACATACATAAGCATTAGATAGAATTGAACAGTTGGGATTTGATTTGTCACACACTGTTACTCTTACTCCAGTGACTCACAAGCCTGAGGTCTCAACACCACCTTCATCAAGCCTCTCCATGTCTGTCTCTCTCTGTCTGTGGTGATATACTACCAATTCTCTTCCCATTGCCATATATCAATAAATAATTTGTGTACCTCTACATCCCATATGCTCTAGTAGTTTGGTTGCTATACCATCACAGACATGGGGCTTTATTTTATTTCAGATGATTCATGGTTTTTCCTACTTCTGGGTGTGTGGGTTCTCTTGTCTGGATTTCTGTCCTCCCTATCATGTTGTGGCTCCTCTTCTGATACTGGATTATTATGTTCTGATCTGTTTAGGTCAGTAAAGTACCTCTCCAACTGCTCTAGCACATCAACTTCATTCAATAACCTATCATTATTCAGACCTTTAACAATGTACGGTATGGCTTGACACTTATGAGTCAAATAAGATGCAGAGTTTAATTTAGCAAGAGTTTACAACTACAGTATAAGTAAATAAATCCCTCACCACAACCATGTTCAACATCTATCAAGAGTAATGATGAAAAAATGATCATTAAACTAGTCTAAGATCTTGTTGCTATAATCTTCAAGTAACTTACTGCTGAAGGGAAACATTCTTAGGTGGAGCGAAGACATCAGCTAGCTGGTTAATGGTGGCAGCGTCATACACTACATGTACCGGCTCTGACGACACCTGCACCCGCTGGTCACACAAACCATCAAGTGGATTAGTTTCAAAGGTGACATCCAACAGTGGAGAGTCGACGGCAATGTTTTGTGACGTCACCAGCCTGGGTGGTGAGCCGTCCACACAATAACCCTCGACAACAAACTCTCGTACACTTGCTTCAACTCTGGAAAATTAAAAGTTAAATATATCTAACTACTGTACTGTATCTACATGTCTATATCTATCTGTATCTCTGATGACGAGTGTGTACAACCGTCAGTTGTTTGTGGGGTGAAGACCTTAAGTTCATCACCTTCACATCTATGAGAAATTGACGACACAATATGTAGTAACAATCTGTAAGGCCTTGTTCTGTCTGACTTGAGGTTCAACCAAATTTTAACATCTTTCCTCAATATTGTAGTTAAAGATCATCTTCATAACTTTAAATGTTCAAATCTGTGAAGCAACATTCATGAGATAAAATTCCAAAATAATGTAGAACATAATCTATAAATATTACTTGTGTAAACCACAAACGTTAATTTTGTCACTTACCTCAAGGCATCGGCACCAGATCTATTCTGAACAACAGATGCCACTTGTTCTAGTTTCACCCTAGTAACAATTGCTTCATGAGCGTCCTCGTCCGTGACGGTCAACACAAGCTGCTTTAACAGGAAGTGCAAACGTAAATTCACAAACTCCGGAGGAAAGTCAGGAGGCGGACCACTCTCTGAGTAACCAATGGCTTCGAACAATTTCTGTTTTTCTTCATCGTTTATCTCAGCTTTAAGTTTCTTTACTGTAAAACAAAACTAATAGTGAACACTAAAGGAAAATTTACATGAAAATAGACAAACTATCAAATTACAGTCAGACCTCTAATGATGGAGCCTCACCAAACATATTTTCACTTAACAGAGGCTCTTCAAGAGTATATCATGTCTGTTACAAGAGGTCTGACTGTATAATACATCATGTCTGTTACAAGAGATCTGACTGTATAATACATCATGTCTGTTACAAGAGATCTGACTGTATAATGCATTATACTGTATCTGTTACAAGAGGTCTGACTGTATAATACATCATGTCTGTTACAATAGATCTGACTGTATAATGCACTATATCTGTTACAAAAGAACTGACTGTATGATACATCATGTCTGTTACAATAGATCTGACTGTATAATGCACTATATCTGTTACAAAAGATCTGATTGTATAATCTGTCATGCATGTTACAAGAGGTCTGTCTGGCCTGTATGTCTGATACAAACAAAACATTGTCATTCTGTGCTCTCAGTCAGCTCTATGAATGCCAATCCTGAGTTACCAATTGACTGACATACTGACTGATGGAGACAGAATTCTAACTATTCAATGTTGATGCAGCTTATGATCCATTCTCAGCCATTTTTTATTTTGTATACAGGTATGTGATGAAATAGTTTCAATAAATTAAAGAAAAAATTGACAACACAAAGATTAAAAAATTGCATACATTGCTATACAATTTTAATACATTGGCTGTACAATACACTAAGGGAGTCGTCTGCAATAGTATAACATTAATTACGTAGTCCATTTGGGTTGCCTTTATTCTGGGTCATGTGTCGTGTGTACATTATTTTTCGGGTGATGATGGTAGTATTAAGGTCTTCAAAAATACATAACATCCAAAGAACAGACAAGACCAAGAACTAATAAAAAAAGTGTGAGAAATGGTTGCAAAAATGGCAGTGGTGGTGGCGATGAGTCAATTGGTCCGGCAGTTAGTCAGTTGAAGTCAAACAAGATTTGTATTCATAGAGGGTGACAAATGCTTCTAAATCAGTCACATCACATAGTACAAGAGAGAGTTATTGGGTGGAGTATATAATAAAAACAAAACACAATGTGTACTTAAAAGACTCTCTCTCTTACCTAAATTTGGGTTTGAAATTGACTTATTCGCCCAAATTACAGTTAGGGTACAACAGATTTACTCAAGTTACCCCCAGATTTACCCAAGTTAAAATTAGAGCAGACAACTCACCCAGATTATCTTCGTCCTTGGCAGTATCTTCACTCTCCTTCTCTGCGCTCCCGAAGAACCAGCCACTAAACCAGCCCCTCTTTTGTTTCTCTTGCCTCTGTAGCTCTCCCTCGCGCTCCACCTACAAGACAACACGTACCCGGTGTCACGTACGTAAAATAATCCTACAGAGCGCTCGGTAAATTATCCGACCCGTTCCAAGGCATTGTATAGATTGAACACGCTGGGTTTATTTTACTTGACGAACAACTCTTAAGTTTTTTCTTGGGTCTGTAGACTTCCATGTGTGTCTACTGTGTTCTGTCTTTAATATGTTTGAGGTTATTGTGTTTAAAAATGGGTCAAATAATTAATGGATTTGCAGACACACACTATCTTGACACCTCATACATTATTATTATCTGCTATATATACACATTACATACACCTCGGGTCCTAAATCTCTGATGATCAGGGCTATGATGTAAATAGCAGTAGTCACAATAGTTTAATGGTCGCACTAAATTCTTCAAATCTCCACTCTAATAATTCCTCATAATTCACTTTAAACTACTCTGATATGTTACCAAAATCTTGTATTGTATTTTTTTCCCCCTTAACACAGATTCAATTTACAGTACTGTACTGTAGTTCTCTCTAATTCACTCAAGATTTCAATAAAAGATCATCTCCAACAGAGACACACAGGTGATGGAGGATGTTCAGTAGTAAACATCAACAGATAAACAAGATAAAAATATTTGGGTCACATTATAATTGAGCAACACCATAAAAATTATAACTATGACAAGAATTAGAAAAAAATAGATAAAAGTGAATGATGGGAGAATCAGCTAGTGTTGGATCTCCTCATGTGAGAGCTTACAGGAATAGTGACAAAAACATACCATTGCCATTATTCAGTAGAACCTCTGAAATTTGTCATTCTAAAGTTTGTGAAACTCTAAAATTTGGATGATTTCTAGCATGGATCTTGAATTACAAAACCTCCAGAATTCAGAAATTTCTTCATGTAAGTAAATTAAATAAATTTTCTTTTTCTTTTTGCCAATTGTTTTTTCTTAGCTTTCAGTACATGTGTCAGTTATAGTATATACAGCATGCCCTTCAAATTCGCGGGAGTTAGGTTCTCAAACTGGCCACGAATCGCCCAATCTGCGAATAACATTTGCTGACCGGGGGGGGGAGGGGGGTTACATTTTTACTTAAGTGCAAAGAAATGTATATTCCCTTTATGTGTTTGCCCTTAGGACAATTATTTCTTTTACCTGTATTGTATATGTGTGTTGACTTACACACAAAACACATACAAATTAATATTAATGGGAAAATCCGTCTCACAAATAATCAGAAACAAATGTATTTTAATAATGTTGAGTCTACCCTCAAGTCCCCTCCGTGCTTTGTTATAAATAAAGCACGGAGTGGACTTGTGGGTAGACTCAACATTATTAAAATACATTTGTTTCTGATTATTTGCGAGAGGATTTTCCCATTAATATTTATTTGTATGTGTTTTGTGTGTGTCTACACACACACACACACACACATATATACAATAATGTATAGGTAAAGGAAATTATTGTCTCTAGAACGAATGGCTCCTTGTCCCGGCCGTGAAGATGCCAGGAACTTAAAACTACCCGCAACATTCTTGGATACATCCAGGGTGTCATCCGCGAATAATAGAGGGCCGCGAAATAAAAATCTGCAAATTATCCGGGCGTACTGTATATAGTTTTGTGTACTGCATTCATTATCGTCTTGGATTATTTGAAGTTGTTAAGTTTTCTGTACACGTTATCTCTCTTGGTTTAGTCCAAAGATTCAGAAAGGGTCAAGTCCTAACTCGTCTGTACATTACAGTATCTTAGAGATTCCACTGTAACATCCTCTACACCCACCTCCATCTCTGCTTGCCGCCTCACAAGTGTTAAGTTGAACACGTCCAGGGAATATTCACTCTCTTTAATATCTTGAACCTGAGCTGTTGTAAGTCTCTTGTTCTCCAGTTTGGCCTTGTAGGCAGCCTTGTACCTGTGACACATACCTCGGTGCTCCTTGATGTGTTTCCAAGACCAATTGTGGTGTACACGTCGGATGTTCTCCAGTTTACAGTTGTAGGCATAAAGCCACCTAGTGCACAAATAACACCAACAGTAATCACTACCAGCCACTTGTTAAATGTCATATCACAAACAAAATCAATGGAGCTTATCAAGATGAATAAAGAACTAGAGTGTATTTTACTACAATTTGCCTGACAGGGATTTAGTTATCGTGTGGATATCATTTGTTCACCAACAGACATATATACAGCAACATGATTATGTACCCAAGACCCTGTCCAGTCTGGCAGATAAGAAAACAACCTAAGTACACTGCTTGTATATCTGCAGTTTATATACATGGTATGTATACCTGTGTTATCTATATACATGCTGAACTGTGTACCTGCAAGATCTATATACATGCTGAACTGTGTACCTGCATTATCTATATACATGCTGAGCTGTGTACCTGCATTGTCTATATACTGTACATGCTGAACTGTGTACCTGCAATATCTAGATACATGCTGAACTATGTACCTGCAATGTCTAGATACATGCTGAACTGTGTACCTGCAATATCTAGATACATGCTGAACTGTGTACCTGCATTGTCTATATACATGCTGAACTGTATTACATGCATTGCCTATATGCTGAACTGTATTACATGTATTGCCTATACATGCTGAACTGTATATAGTACAGTATCTGCATTGTCTATATACATGCTGAACTGTGTACTTGCAATGTCTATATATATACTGTACATGCTGAACCAATAGTAAAACTTATACTGTACGATGATTTCAATGAATAAATATCTATCATCTATCACTTAAAGAAAGGCCACAACTTATGAGAGACGACTCACCATTCCCGAGCGTGTCCCTTGATCCCGCTGATGGCTGGTCGGTACTTACGGTACTTGGAGGATATTTTCAGTCTATCGAATGAGTCGAGCAGCGCCATGATATTCGAGTACTGGTGACGGCTCAGTCCTGCCAAATACAACACTCTGTCAAACTCTTTGTTTTTGTGTGGTTTCTACATATGTTACATGGTAATACTGATAATGGATGGTTCATTTTTTACATTTAAACAGTGGCCATCATCAGCAGAAGTTAGACTATTTGAAGTTAAGTTAGACAATTTTAAGTTAAGTTAGACTGTTTTAAGTTAAGTTAGAATGTTTTAAGTTAAGTTAGACTGCTTTAGGTTTAATTAGCTTGTTTTAGGTTAGGTTACTATTAGGGAGTTAATCATCAGGAATGAATAGGATGGTAGCGAAGGAAACACAGACCCAAGAGAAAAAATTTATCTCTTACGTTTCGTCACAATGGGCTTTATCCAAGTCCTTTGTGATGAATGTTCGGAGTAATATTATCCAAGTCTGTGTATCCATTTCCACTATATAACATAAGCTAGCGAGTGTCTAATCTGCATATGACTCAGTAATTCTAGGAGTCCTGAGAGTGTATCAACTATCAACCCACCTATAGCCAGCTCATCCATGACAAAATCAAGATTAAACACAGGAATGGAGAAGCTTGGGTCGTCGTCCTCAGGTTTGGAGTCTATCTGAAGCTTAGATGTCGAGCATATTGGTCCAATAACTGTGAAGAGAAATTATTCGACTCAGTAGATGATAGAAATGGTATATGTTAGACAGAGTAGATGATACAAATGGTAGATGTTAGACTCGGTAGATGATACAAATGGTAGATGTTAGACTCGGTAGATGATACAAATGGTAGATGTTAGACTCGGTAGATGATACAATTGGTAGATGTTAGACTCAGTAGATAATAGAAATGGTAGACATTAGACTCGGTAGATGATACAAATGGTAGACATTAGACTCAGTAAGCAATAAGAATGACTAATGCACGCGCGCACACACACACACGCGCACACACACACACACACACACAACAATTCTGCTCCCGACTATACCGCCCTTCAGGATTTATTGAACAGTCTCCAAAACTTGGCCACCATCAACCATACCAAGACCATGGTTATGCACATCAACCTCTCCTCCGACGTTGTCCCACCCCCTTCCATTACTTCAGGTCCCAACACACTCCAGGTTGTAGATTTCACTAAGCTCCTCGGCGTCACCATAGACAACAAACTAAATTGGAAACCACACATCAGTGAAGTTGTCAAATCCTCCAGTTTCCGTCTCCACCTCCTCAGCTTACTCAAGTCCCTCGGAGTTCCTGCACCCGAGCTCCTCAATGTTTACTCAACATTCATACTTCCCAAGCTCACCTATGCTTTCCCTACCTGGTCTTCCTCCCTAAATGCCACACAACATAAACACCTAGAAAAAGTGCAAAAGAGGGCATGCAAGATTATTCTCTCCCCTTCCTACTCCACATATCATGAAGCGCTCAACACACTGACCCTCTCGGCTCTCACTGACCATTACCACAACCTCATCTGCAAATTTGGTGAGAAACTTCTGCACCATCCTCGACACCGGCACCTACTACCACCTGAGATCCCTCACCCGAGAATTGCTGTTCGACACCACAACCGCATCCAGCCCATACGAGCACGAACTGATCGCTATAAGAACAGCCCAGTCCCAACCATTGTAAGAATTATCAATAACTTGTAATCAACCAGTGTATTCACTCCCAATCAATCTTATTTTTCGCACTGTCATATGTTGAAATGCCCTGTAGTTTGAGCTACTCCCCACCTAGTTATTATATATTATATTTGTATCACTTATGTTACCTGTATATTATTTGTAAATCAAGAGACCCATTCCCCAATTATGTAACTGTATATTTTCAGCCTTCCGGCTGCCATGCTCTTTAAATAAACCGTAAATTATCGCACACGCACGCACGCACACACAAACACACACGCACACACACACACACACACACACACACACACATGCACACTCTCTCTCTCTCTCTCTACTCACTGTATTTCATGGTCTGAGGTAGGTGGTCCTGGTAAGCTATAAGATCAGTAAGGCACTGAATCATCTTCTCCTTGGGCTGGTTCATCTCCGACAGCAGCTCAGCGTTGGGGTTCCAGTAGATGCCCAGACCATCCAAACTGTTCAGCTACAGAGGGGGAGGGGAGCACACAAGGTCACACACCACTAAAATGTAATGTAACACTTTTGTATGTCTCGCCTGTAAAAAAATATATACCTTCTCATCAAGTTTGACAAAGGCTTGGACAAAATATAAAGGATGGATGACTTGAAGATTAAACCTGAACCCCCCTCTGCTTATTTCACGGTCTCTACCTGTCTACCATGATGTACACTGTCTCTCTACCTGTCTACCATGATGTACACTGCCTCTCTACCTGTCTGCCATGATGTACACTGTCCCTCTACCTGTCTGCCATGATGTACACTGTCCCTCTACCTGTCTACCATGATGTACACTGTCCCTCTACCTGTCTACCATGATGTACACTGTCTCTCTACCTGTCTACCATGATGTACACTGTCCCTCTACCTGTCTACCATGATGTACCTGCCTCTCCTGCCTGTCTACCATGATGTGCACTGTCCCTCTACCTGTCTACCATGATGTGCCTGTCTCTCTACCCTGTCTACCATGATGTGCCTGTCCCTCTACCTGTCTCTGATGTACACTGTCCCTCTGCCTGTCTGCCATGATGTACACTGCCTCCCTACCTGTCTACCACACCAGTGTACTGTCTCTCTACCTGTCTGCTGCATGATGTACACTGTCTCTCTACCTGTCTACTTGATGTACACTGTCCCTCTACCTGTCTGCAGTGTTACACTGTCTCTCTACCTGTCTACCATGATGTACACTGTCCCTCTACCTGTCTACCATAGTGTGCTGTCCCTCTACCTGTCTGCCAGTGTACTGTCTCTCCTACCTGTCTACCATGATGTGCACTGTCTCTCTACCTGTCTGCCATGATCCTTGCACACTGTCTCTACCTGTCTACCATGATGTACACACTGTCCCTCTACCTGTCTACCATGATGCCCTGTCTCTCTACTACCTGTCTACCATGATGTACACTGTCTCTCTGTCTACCACCAGTAGCACACTGTCCCCTCTACCTGTCTACCATGATATTTTGCACTGTCCCTCTACCACTGTCTACCACACTGTCCCTCTACCTGTCTACACACTGTCCCTCTACCTGTCTACCATGATGTACACTGTCTCTCTACCTGTCTACCATGATGTACACTGTCCCTCTACCTGTCTACCATGATGTACACTGTCTCTCTACCTGTCTACCATGATGTTCTCACTCTCTCTACCATGATGTACACTATCTCTGTCATGATATACCATAAACAGTCTTTTAACCATGATGTACTGTCTCCCACTACCCATCACCATTGGCACTTAAGCCCTTGTACCTTCTCCAAGTTGCCTCTCTCTTTCTCCATCTCTCTCTTTCTCCATCTCTTTCTTTATCTCTCTCTTTCTCCATCTCTCTCTTTCTCCATCGCTCTTTTTCTCCATCTCTCTCTTTCTCCATCTCTCTCTTTCTCCATCTCTCTCTTTCTTCATCTCTCTCTCTTTCTCCATCTCTCTCTCTTTCTCCATCTCTCTCTCTTTTCCATCTCTCTCTCTTTCTCCATCTCTCTCTCTTTCTCCTCTCTCTTTTTCTCCATCTCTCTCTTTCTCCATCTCCTTTTTCTCCATCTCTCTCTTCTCCATCTCCTTTTCTCCCTCTCTCTTTCTCCATCTCTCTCTTTCTCCATCTCTCTCTCTTTCTCCATCTCTCTTTTCTCTCTCTCATCTCTCTTTTTCTCCATCTCTCTCTCTTTCTCCATCTCTCTCTCTTTCTCCATCTCTCTCTCTTTTCTCCATCTCTCTCTCCTCCATCTCTCTCTCTTTCTCCATCTCTCTCTCTCTCTCCATCTCTCTCTTTTTCTCCGCTCTCTCTCTTTCTCCATCTCTCTCTTTTCTCCATCTTCTCTCTCTTTCTCCCTTTTCTCTCTTTCTCCATCTCTCTCTTTCTCATCTCTCTCTCTTTCTCCATCTCTCTCTCTTTCTCCATCTCTCTCTGCTCCATCTCTCTTTTCCCATCTCTCTCTTTTTCTCCATCTCTCTCTCTCTCTTTCTCCTCATCTCTCTCTTTCTCCATCTCTCTCTTTTCCCATCTCTCTCTTTCTCCATCTCTCTCTTTCTCCATCTCTCTCTTTCTCCATCTCTCTCTCTTTCTCCATCTCTCTCTCTTTCTCCATCTCTCTCTCTTTCTCCATCTCTCTCTTTCTCCATCTCTCTCTCTTTCTCCATCTCTCTCTCTTTCTCCATCTCTCTCTTTTTCTCCATCTCTCTCTCTCTTTCTCCATCTCTCTCTCTCTTTCTCCATCTCTCTCTTTCTCCAATTGTATTTAAATGAATTCTTTAAAACTTTGAACTGTAAAAGTAGAACAGTTTTGTCCATGTATCGAGATGAATTTAAGCTTAAGTTTTTGCCTTTGAGCATGTACGGTAGGATGAGTCTGGGTGACTTATTAAAACTTTTGGAAAGTGAAAACTAATATTTTTATAGAGTAAAGATAATTTATATTTTTTCAGAAAATGTATACAGTACTGAACAAAGGTGACTTAAAATTTACAAGCACAGTATAATTGACTTTTTAAATATTCTAAATATCTTTAACTATTTCAAAGGTCATTAATTAACACTAATTACTCAAATATTTAAAATGCGAACCCAAATTCTTAATCATCATGTAAAATGGTATCTTTGTATGAAATGTGAACAACATCCATGGCATGACCCTAAGTGCCAAAATGAAAGGTATTATTGGGTCAAGCATATGTTTGACATCCAACTAGTACATTTTTTTTTAAAGGGAAAAGTAACTTGTTTATATAGTAAAGATAGTCTATATTCTTAACAAAATATATATAAAGGCAAGACTTACATTCTCCCTTCATTTACAGTCATTTATACTTACTGCTGTAGTACAGTATATGTGCAGAATGTTCTGTCATCCTACTCCCTTTCCTCAACAAGACCCCAAATACTGGCTGATTACATATGATCTTCCCAATTTTAAACATTTGTTACGAAAAAAATAAAGAAGCAACAGTTCAATGCAAGTTCCTTTTGTGGTTGTGTAGACATCAAAGTGATACAGCTCCCAAGTTACTGCTGGCATTGGTGGAACAAACACTACATTTTTTACATAGTCCCAGAGGAGAAAGTAGCTTTGTTACTTTTACATAATACCGTATAATTATGTTTATAATAAGGATGATCATTTGTAATAATCTGGTATAAATATGATCACTCAGCCTAGCAAAACAACGATCCCCCAAAATCACAACTCATCACCCCCCCTCCCCCCCACGCACACATACTGTAAAACACTGGTGCTACATAAACACAATGACATACCTTATAGATCAGTTTATCTGTATCTAAGCAAGGTTTCCAGCTAGAATCTGTGCTCTTCATGGATAGGTCATGTAGGGTCACTCCCACGGCAAATGGTGAGTTGGGGCAGCTTACAGAGTCCTCATACCTACAAATACAGTACATCAGTCAATTTTAATACTTAAATTTGCTGTCTCCTAATGCAAATCTTGCAGCAAAATCCTACCTAGAAAAGTGTGAAAGAAACTGCAGTAAGTAATTTGTTTTTAATTGTAGAGGAGTGGTTGGGATATTTCATAGGATTGGAAGACTGGATACTGAAAGAAAGAGTGTGTGTGTGTGTGGTGTGTGTGTGTGTGTGTGTGAGTGTGTGTGTGTAGTTTGTGAGAGAGAGTAACAAGAAATGACAGTCGATCTATGTGTCTGCTTGTTTGGATGTTGCAGATAACCTGAGCAATTACAGTACAGTATCTATCTATCCATCCATCTCTTTTCTACATATCTACAGTAACTATCCACCTCACCTAATGTGGATGTCCTGGATGGTGACTTGGATGTTGCGGATGACTTGGGCAATAAGCTTCTCCTGAAAGCTGTCTTGGGATTTGGTTTTGGTGCCTGTGTGAAGAAAAGTCAAGGTGGAGTTATTGAGGTCAATGTTTATTGGTAGGGATTAATTCAACTAAATAATGGTACAACATCACATGGAAAATGACCGTAAAACATCATCGACGACATGATGAATTAATTCACCTTTCTCAATTTCCTGAAGCTTGATCTTAGCATCCTCAGCTCTCTGTAGGGCGGCCATCTTTGTCTCGTGCAGTAGCTTTTCTTCCCCCTTGGGGTCGTACTTGATGGATGTGTTGGGCACCACAACTACCATCACCCTCTCCACCACAGCCACCCATTGTGCCTGGTACAAGTTGGACCAAGGGATCTTCAAGGTTAAACATCCTGAAAGTGAGAATAACATCCATTGGCTACACCTGATATACACCAGAGTCCTTCAGAGGTTACAAGTTAACAACCACTAACTACACCTGATGTGACAAAGTTAACAACCACTAACTACACCAGATGTGACTTAAAGTTAACAACCACTAACTACACCTGACCTAACAGGTTAACAACCATCAACTACACCTGACATACACCAGTGTCCTCCTGAGAGTAACAAGTTAAAATGTCAAGTTTGATACTGTACCCTCACACAGGATAATATTTTACCCTCCTCACATCTGACCCAAGGACTGAAGCCAAAATGAAGTCGCGAGCGGCACACATACTCTTGTTGTACAGTACTGACAAGCAACAAATAATAAAAGTAAGTAAAAAAATTATCTGAGGGGAAAGAAAAGTCTCTCTCACTGGCAGCATTACCACCAAGCATTTGACACTCAGCTCAGTACATCATCACTTACCGATGTGGCCAAACACAGGTCGTACAGGCAGGTTGAGCTCATCGAGGGCGCTCTGCTTCACCTCCAGGTCCTTGAGTGCCACATCCCCTGTAACAACATACTGTATTAATTTTACTGGCATCAGGTCATGGAAGGTCACTTGGTGGTCATGGTAGGTTACTGGCAGAATTGTAAAAAGTACGTACTGGACGTTGCTACTTAAGTAAAAGTGTTGTTACATTGAAAATTGTTACTCATGTAGAAGTAAAAAAAAGTATCTCATTCATAAAGTACTCAAGTACTGACAAAAAAATAATAATACGTAATAATAATTAATTGTCACAAATATTAAAATAAATCCACAATAAATTATGAAAAACTAGTTAACTAAAGATAATGAAAGACACAGCATCACACATGTTTATTTGAAAGTCTTTCTATTTAGATTAATCGTTAACTGGTTCTCGAAATAATGGTTGTCCAATCAAGAATTTTTAAGACCTAAATATAAGCACAGCATGACCTATGGAAAGAGTATACATTAAGCCACTCTTCTCCCCACAATCCATTGCAGGGATAGTGAATGAGCTGAAAATATATCTACCCAACACTATGATCACTTTCTTCCTTATCCACACAAGTATCGTCAACATGGACTTATGGTCGGCAGACATAATGTTGTCTCTGCTCACATTAAGTTAGGGTACAGACCTATCTGGCAAGTATCTGAGGTGGGGATGACCCACACTTCTCTTCCTGTAAACTCTGTAACTGTCCCAACACCCTTCAACACTATTGCCTTGACTGTCCCACTGTCAGGGACCTCCTACCACAGGTCGAGTCACTAACCACTATATATCACCACCTATTTATTCGTAATAATTTAGATTTAATTCTTATACACTACCCACACTTTGGTGGGTGCTAACTCCCATTGTCCTTAAATCATATAAATATTGTGTTCATATCACAAGTCATAGCGTGTCCTGTGGAACACGAGTACCAATGTACAGTATTAGTGTCTGACCGCATGGTCTTGTGACAAGGCTTGTTGCCCCCTGGGGTGTAATAAATTAATTAAATAATAAATAATAAGCCCAGCATGACTAAACAGATGCTCACAAGCAGCAGATAGAGGTAGTAGGGTGTTAAGCTTCAGAAATAAGTTACATAATGTCGAGAAAGACCTCAATAGCTGCATTTCATCCCCTGGGCATGCCAAGTAGTTATCAAGCTCCTTCAGTTGAGGAGTTTGTGGATGAATGATGCCTCCATAGCGACTGAGTCTGACAAAAACTCACCGCGAACTGTCCCTCTATTGGGGTGTGGCTGTGGTGACGTCACTGTTTTATTCTAATTGATGAGCGACTGAATTTTTTGCACCACGTAACATATGGCAGGTGCTGGAGGGGGGGGGAGTGGTACAGGTGCTCCTCTACTTACGAATGAGTTACGTTCCTGAGGCTTGTTCGTAAGCCCAATTGTTTGTAAGTCCAACTTTACTCTTGTAGATACCAAAAATATTGTAAAAAATGAAAGATAATGGATGTTTAATACAGCTATACTCTACAATACAGCCTTAAAACCTGGCTCATTCTTCTCCTCTTAGATAATATATGTTCTATTTGGAATTTTCTTGAAAATAATCCAGTCTCATCCACATCAAATATGGGTTTTTTCAATTGTATTGGACTAAAAGTATTAGAAAAACATACTTAAGTTAGAGTAAAAGTACTGAAAAATTTGAGTACTGTACTTTTTAAAAATTAAATATTGTACAGTATTCAAAATGTTACTTGAATATAGTACTGTACTCAAGTAAATTTATTTAGTTACTTTACAACTCTGGTCACTGGTGGTCATGGTAGGTCACTTGTCATCATGGTAGGTCACTTGGTGGTCCTGGTAGATCACTTGGTGGTCATGGTAGGTCACTTGGTGGATATGGTAGGTCACTTGGTGGATATGGTAGGTCACTTGGTGGATATGGTAGGTCACTTGGTGGATATGGTAGGTCACTTGGTGGTCATGGTAGATCACCTTGTGCTCAGGTAGGTCACTTGGTGATCATGGTAGGTCACTTGGTCATGGTAGGTCACTTGGTGGTCATGGTAGGTCACTTGGTGGTCATGGTAGGTCACTTGGTGGTCATGGTAGGTCACTTGGTGGTCATGGTAGGTCACTTGGTGGTCATGGAAGGTCACTGGTGGTCATGGTAGATCACCTGGTGCTCAGGTAGGTCACTTGGTGGTCATGGTAGGTCACTTGGTGGTCATGGTAGGTCACTTGGTGGGCATGGTAGGTCACTTGGTGGTCATGTTAACCTAACCAAATCTAATGCTAACCCCGCGCAGGGTGAAACTATGGGCAAGTTTATTTATGCCATTTGCCTCTGTCTACCCAGCAGTAATTGGGGACTTTGATGTTATCGATTTGCGGATAGTGTTCCGGGGTAATGGTTAGCCAGTGCAGCTGGCAAGTTGTCTGGTCTTCTTGGAATATTCCTTGACACTGGGTCATGCAGCTCGTTAACTCAGGGTGTGGTTGTGGTGTTGGCAACAGCTTCTACACCTTAAACAAATTCATGCCTAGGTGGCCCTTGGGTCGGCCATCCTCGATTTCGAGGGGCATCCATTATTCCATTATAATGCTAATAACCAAACCTAATGCTTACCCAAACCTAACTAAACCAAATGCTAACCTAATCAAACCTAATTCTAATGCTAACCAATCCAAACCTAACCTAACCAAACCAAATGCTAACCTAACCAAACCTCCAAACATAATGATATCCTAACAAAACTTAATCTAACCAAATCTAATGCAAACATAACCTAACAAAACCTAGCATAACATAACCCAACCTCAACCCCCGCCCAGGAATCATTAGTGTATTTAATCAATAGGTGGTGTAATAAGCTGTAAGGGGGGGGGGAGACTAATCCTCAGGTGAACCTAAAAACTGACTCGCCTAACCTAACCTCATGTCAACACTCATAAAACACGAACTCCAAAATAAATGAGGTGAGAATGGGAATAGCTATGTTAACCTGTCATGTTAACCGGTCGCTGTCATATTAACCGGTCATGTCGTGTCTGGTCAGTGGAGGAATTCTGATGGCATTCCAGATAAGATTAGGGGGTGAGGTAAGGAGGAACAAGAGGTGGGAGAGGAACAAGAGGTGGGAAGGGGGGAACAAGAGGTGGGAAGGAGGGAACAAGAGGTGGGAAGAGGAACAAGAGGTGGGAAGGAGGGAACAAGAGGGAAAGAGGAACAAGAGGGAAGGGGCACAAGAGGTGGGGAAGGGAATGAGGGAAGGGGGGGAACAAGAGGTGGGAAGGGGGGAACAAGAGGTGGGAAGGGGAACAAGAGGTGGGAAGGAGGAACATGAGGTGGGGAGGAGGAACATGAGGTGGGAAGGAGGGAACATGAGGGTGGGAAGGAGGGAACAAGAGGTGGGAAGGAGGAACAAGAGGTGGGAAGGAGGGAACAAGAGGTGGGAAGGAGGAACAAGAGGTGGGAAGGAGGAACAAGAGGTGGAAGGGGAACAAGAGGTGGGGGGGGGGGCACAAGAAGGGAAGGGGACAAGAGGTGGGAAGGAGGGAACAAGAGGTGGGAAGGCACAAGAGGTGGGAAGGGGCACAAGAAGTGGGAAGGGGAACAAGAGGTGGGAAGGAGGGAACAAGAGGTGGAAGGGGAACAAGAGGGAAGGGAACAAGAGGTGGGAAGGGGGAACAAGAGGTGGGAAGGGGGCACAAGAGGTAAGGGGGCACAAGAGGTGGGAAGGGGGGCACAAGAAGTGGGAAGGGGAACAAGAGGTGGGGAGGAGGAACAAGAGGTGGGAAGGAGGGAACAAGAGGTGGGAAGGAGGAAGAGGTGGGAAAGGGGGAACAAGAGGTGGGAAAAGGGGGAAACAAGAGGTGGGAAAGGGACAAGAGGTGGGAAAGGGGAACAAGAGGTGGGAAAGGGGGGACAAGAAGTGGAAGGGAACAAGACGGGGGAACAAAGGTAAGAAAGAAAAAATAATACAGTAATCTGAAAATCACTTAAATTAAAAAAAGTGACCATCAATGACCAGCCTAAACCATGGTATATTATGAGTTAGGTTAGGGTTTGAGGGGTAGGGAAGGTTAGGGGTTAGGTTTGTTGGGTAGGGTAGGGTGGGGTTAGGGTTTGTTGGTAGAAGGTTAGGTTAGGTTTGTTGGAGGGAAGGTTAGGTTAGGTTTGTTGGAGGTTAGGTAGGTTAGGTTTGAGGTATGTTAGGGTGTATGTGTCATGTTTGTATGTTATTGTATAGGTTAGGTTGTCTGTTAGGCTAGGTTGGGTATATTGTTTTTTAGGCTCTATGTCATTTGGTGTATAGTATATTGTTTTGTATGTAGGTTATAGGCAGGGTTGTTAGAGTTTGTTGTATCTGTTAGGTTGGGCTTGGTGTTTGTAGGCAGGTTAGGCTTAGCAGGCTGTGCTAGGTTAGGTTTGTGTTTGTATGTGTGGCTAGGTGTTGTATTGGAATTGTCAGGCTTGGTGTTGGTCAGTCTGTTGCAGGCTAGGCAAGTGTTAGGTTAGGCAGTCTGGTTGCAGGTTAGGTTAGGTTGTGCTAGGCTTGTTGGGCAGGTTAGAGTTAGGTAGGCTTGTTGCAGGTTAGGTAGTTTGTTGGGCAGGTTAGTTAGGTTAGGTTAGGTTTTGCTGTGTTAGGTTAGGTTGAGGTTAGGGTTTGTTGGGCAGGTTAGGTTTAGTTAGGTTAGGTTTGTTGGGTAGGTTAGGTTAGGTTAGGTTTGTTGGAGGTTAGGTTAGGTTTGTTGGAGGGTAGGTTAGTATTATGTTGGTTAATTTTCAGGTGAAATAAGCTGGAGTGCTAATATTCAGGTGCATAAACTGGGGTGCCTAATAAGGTGACAGCTGGAGGTTATATTCAGGTGACATAAGCTGGAGTGTCTAATATTCAGGATATAAGCTGGGGGCCTAATATTCAGGTGACATAAGCTGGGGTTCATTATTCAGGTGACATAAGCTGGAGTGTCTAATATTCAGGTACATAAGCTGGAGTGTCTATTCAGGTGACATAAGCTGGGGTGCCTAATATTCAGGTGACATAAGCTGGAGTGTC